TATCTATGAACAGTCTTTAACAAAGTACGTTGCTTTAATTCGTTAGATAGAACGGGGAGAAAAGAAAAGTGATCTGGGACGTCGATACGGACTTCGCCGTCGACTGTATCCACGATTTAGAAGTGCAAAGAAAAAATCATTCCGGCTGAAACGGCAGGCAGTTCTAGTAAAAAACTAAGAAAGCCAACAGTGGTTCCAACAGCAACGTCTTACCTCTGGACCTATCGTAAAACTATCGATTTCAAGGCTCCATAAGGATGGTTGAAGAAAGTTCAGAGACATGGTATAAATTATGGACAGTTAAGTGGCGAAGCAAGTGATGTCGACAGAAACGTCACTAACGAATGGCTGGAGAAGACGTGGCCAAAACTAGCAGAAAAGTACCCTGCTGACGACATTTTTAATGCTGACGAAACTGGTATTTTTTTACAAAATGACCCCAGATAAAGAGAGAGAGAAAAAAGAAAACAGCCGATGGACCAGAGAGTAATAAAAAGCCTTAAGAGTCGATACAGATAAAACATTTTATTGGAAATGATCGACTCCGAAGACAAATTTTCTATTAATATGCTAGATGCAGTCAACTGTATTAGCAAAGCTTGAAAAAAGATGACAGCAGAAACAATTCAACACTCCTATCATCATGCGGGACTTATTACCGAGACAGAATGCGAACAGGAATTGGAAGATGATCAGCCACTAAGCAAGTGAAGAAAGCAGTTTCAAACAACCATTACGTGTACAAGTGAGTAGTTGCAAGATTTTATGGGGCAGATCAGGATTTGCCTACAACAGCAGACTTGACAGAGGGAGCCATATTACAACAAGCAAGAAAGGGTGAGGAAGAGCACCAAGACGAAGAAGAAGTTGATCTGGGACCACCAACGACCATTCAACAAGCCCTATATTCAGTTAAGTTGCTGACTTTGACGATCGGTTAATTTAGATCAGTCTGTATAATATTAATGTTAATCGAAAGCAGGCTATTTATATAGATTACGGCTTTCACAGGACGCTTATAATGTTTTAACGATTATATAAGGTTCTATTGCGATTGATTTAAACGTCAAGACCGTTCGTACTTCTCGGAAAGATTTGGGTTAAGAGGTATTATCTCAAGTCGTGTACTAACCACGGTATAAATTCCTAATCTTTTGAAATAATATTTATACCTGACGTACACGGAGAAGTCAAAATGCTCGGACAGTTTCCGATGGCTGTCGTTATTTTAGTGGGTGTCTGTGCGGTGGTCGTGAACTGCGACTGGATGGAATACGAAAGGTTTTTAAGTCCCGCGGAGGACGTCAGGGGCGCTAACATAGTCAAGACTAAGCCCAAATGCGGTAAAAACAAAGTCAGGGTGTTTAACGGTGAATGCAAGACCGTGATAAAATGGTACGTGGTAACTTTTATCAATAAATAGATAAAAAATAAATGTATTGGGGATTTATCGTGCCGCCACGATTCGAAAACTGAATAATTAAACTTATGTGTGGTATAGTCCAGCACTCCATAAATCAAGAACTTTAACAATTCAAAAGAGGGCCCCCTATTATTGCAAATTGCCGATAATTAAAAATCTGTGTTTTAGATGTCAGTTTCTTTTACATGATGATATAGCCCATATACACAGCTAGAACATTTGTATTCAAGGTTTTTAAGTATTGTACAGCGTGTTTGCGATATTCCGTGCAATATTAAAAAACATGATGAGTGCCCCAAATTTGCAGCTACAGACTTCAGACTTGGGAGAGAAGTAGAAGTCTGGACCCGCATTTAGACTCTTTAAATTGGGTGCAATCAATTAACGCAAAGTTTTTTTTTTTGGTTATTTTGTCATCCAGAAAAACATATATTCCTCCAAAACCGTTCATCCGATTGGAAAAAATTGACATTCATACTAAGGAGATCCAGGGCTATAGCCTCTATTTCAAACGTTGTTGGACTAATATACAGTGTCGTTGTTTGTGGGCAAAAAATTTTAATAGATCCACCGCTTTTGTGGGTGAATTATTAGCGATAAATTAAAAAACTTTTAAAGATGTGACAATTTGATATGAACAGTATCGTAAACTGTGTCGAGAGAGAGTTTAAGGTTTCGTCTATAATACGGGGGGCGCGAGATATTTGAAAAAATATCCTTTTAAATTGCAATTACCAGTACAAATTTTAGTATTTACCCAAGTTTCCGTAACTTTGAAGTTCGGCGAGATGTGAAGGACACAGGGTGCATTCATAATTAAATTACATCGATTTTGCGAAAGTTCCAAAGTGAATTGAAAGAGGTCATTAAAAGAAAAAGATAAATAATAAGTTCTATTTACTGGTATTAGTTGTTGGTTTTATATTGAATTTAAGTAATTACTGTTTTTAAAAAACCAACATTTTTGCAAAGATCTGTTTTTCCGTAAAAAAATTGAAATGTTTCTCAAAAACTAATCGAAATTTTGTATGCGATGTGATGACAAAAATACTCAAAATCAACAGAATAATTAGAATTTTGTACAGATAAAAGACACAATTTTCTTTCCGGAAAGTTCAAAAAACATATATTTATCAATTGTTTCTATAACTGGTATTCTTGAATTATTATTATTTTATTTATTTTTTGTTATAATGACAGATAAGATTTTTGCACATTTCTATGTAAGAATCAATAAATAAAAAAAAAATGTTACAATCTCTTTTTCCTGTTTCACTTATATTTATTCAAATAGGTCTGTGGTCCATGATATACGTTGTTAAAGATTGAGTTTTTTTAATAATTATTTGCCGACTGTTCCCTGGTATTAATTTTAGTTGGATCTCGTTAATGCAACTACTAATACGCTACTAAAATAAATATATCTTCTTTTTAAATAAGGTTTTTATTGGTTTATTGAGTATAAAGGCCTCGTTTATGACAGACCAGACAACTCATGACAGTTTATCGTGTGATGGACTATAACTTAGTGCGCATTACTAAACTACGCACTTTTACTTCTAACGACACTTAATCCTATCGCATATCGGATTTCCACAAATCGGTGAACCCGTAAGTCGGCTCTAAAAATAACGATGAGACAAAACCCTAGGCGGGATGCGTGACAAATTCGTTTTCGACGCGTGTGTTAGATCTCTGGTAGTACAACAATATCCGACCACATCCTATTCGCATCTAATAGTAAGTACATTTACTGTGTGTTTTTGGAATTGTTTCCAAGTCGAAATATTAGTTTGTAACTGCTGTTAGATTGGTTGATTTCGTTAAATATAATCGGTTGGCACGACCGACTTTTTTGACAGTCGACATTATTCTGGAGTTTCAGTTTGTTTTGAATAATAATACAGCAGTTTTTTCCTGAGTTTTCTACGGAATTGAATCGAATTTTTTACTTGCGATTAAATATTATTTAATCGTGTATTGTTATTCGCAGACGCAAGTGATAAATTTGTATGGGTATTAGCTTCCCGCACGAAGAAGGGATCGACATGAAAGTACTGAAATATAACTCGTGTGTCTATAAAAAAAAAGAAAAACCCCCGGAGTGGATTAGTTGTGAAGAGACAGAACGTGGGAAAAGATTGTCGACGTGGAAAGCTGATAACTGCCAATACAGAAATTTTGCGCAGTGATATTAACTTTAAAGTTCAGTGACAAATATTTGCTTTTTGTATATATATTTTATCGTGGGGCCGAGGAAATAAAGGAAGGAATGGAATTCTGCGGCAACATGGACCGAAAAATTATAGTGGTAGATGTAGCGGCATAAAAAAGGGAGACCCCGATAACGTTGAATCGGAGACTACACAAGGAATTGATAGAAGAGTGAAGGTGAGGACGAAGGCAACGATATTTTGCATACCAATAAGGCTTCAACGAGCCAACGTGACCCATTTCAATCCATAAACCATTAAATTTTCCACTTGTTACAAGCCATTTTGCAAGACACGAAGAGTTTCGCCAGCATTTCGGATGTCTGATAATTTAGTTTTTGGCAAATTTAAAATGAAGATAGAAGGTTGATATGTGTTATTATTATGTTTAGGTTTTTTATGTTTATAAATAGAACAGTTTATTCCCAAACTTTCAAGTTTGTCGACTTTCATGTTTTTTTTTTTCCGACATCCTATGAATGTACCTGCGCGGTCCCGCTTCAGAAAAACTACCAGGCAAATCCAAAAAAAAACTTTATTTCTCGTTCTCTACCCCCAAAGATCACCGACCATCGAACACACACGTCCTCGGCCGCCCTGCCTCTGGCGTTGAACCGTAAAACTAATAGGAAGCACAACGCGACAATGGTTTACTTTCACTTCGGCACGTTAGATGGCGCGAGTAGTTAAGGTTTTAAAAACGAAATCGTATTAAAAATGATGCAAGATTACCATCTCATGCAGCGATTTGAATCCCGTCGAATGATACGGGACGAATTTTAAAAAGTAAGAAGCGATAATATAAACTCGGCCACGTGATTGACGTAATCAAATCGGAATGGGATCTAGTAGCAGAGCGCAATTGGAGAGAACATGTCAATGGTGACTTTAGAGTGCAGTTTATATCCTTTAACGATAGCGACAGCACAATTTGGTTGGTTTGTTTTTATTATTTATGTAAAACAATACAATCTATAATAAATTAATGCTGGTAAAAATTGTAATAATTGTAAAATTCATTCGATCTTTCGTAACGTTTATGGTGGGACGTGGGATTTTTTTTTATTCTAAAACAACCGGTCTATAGCGTCGGCTTTGAACTCGATTAGAAATACCGGTACAAAGTGGAACAACCGTAGTCGCCAAAAATGAGTCGCGTTTACGTTTTCGTCATCGTACTGCTCTCCTTGGTCGTTATCGCCGCGCCCGTTTTCGTCGAATATGAAACGCACCTAAATAATCGAACTGCGAGGCCGAAGGAGGGCCAACTATTCTGGACGTCTAAGTGCAAGCTCGGCTACGTTAACGTCGGAAATATGGGTTGCAAAAAAATCTTCGGAGCGTGACGGAAAGGTTAGTTTATACTGTGCGCGGCGTACCCACGGATAAAGGAATGAGTTAGACGTTTAAGTTAAATCGAAGAAGAAGAAATTTATTGCAGCTTCCGCCACAACCGCTTGTTGCATTTCGTTTCGTAAGGGCCCCTTTGTTAAGAGAGAGCTTACATTTAGTTGTCTGTGCCATGTTGTGGGTCTGTGCTTGCGCGGTTGGGTTGTGCTTGGGGTGTGTGTGCTTGTATATAAAATATTGAAAATAATAACTATTGAATGCTTATTTTAAAATGTAATTCTTGGAAAAAATTTCATTAATAATAAATATAAAAATTTAACATCTTTGGTCCGGATCCACTGACTCACGAAACACAGGAGAAACAAAAAAAAATCCTTTCACCGACGCTGGAGGAATCTAGAAGTTAGCAAAAATTAACATTGTTTGGCTTAACATAGAAATATGGCCATTTAGAATGCATTTTTTGCTTGTCTTGAACAATATGTGGAATTTTAGAATGGTAGAGAATTTACTGCATTTTGGTAGAACTACTAAAAGGATGTCGAACTTCCATTGCCTTTATTTTTAACTTACACCTTTTTTAACATTTCGGACAATTGTATCACTACCCGTTATCAAGTGTAAATTAAACTTGATTCTAAGGCTACAAGGTTTATATACTAGGCGAGGGCGCCCATCGATGACGGGGTCGGGTGTAGTCAAGCGTGAAGTTGTTCATCTAGAACGCCAGCATTGGTGCGCCTTATTAAAGGTTGCCAAATTGTTGGTATATCCACGCCAATATATGATTCTTCGCATTCACAGGGTATCTGGTAGATACACTCTTTCTCTTGAGTCGTTTCAGGATTTGTTTTTGTGAGTAAACTTCTTAATGTTGATCCAGATTTAAATACAGTTTTAACGTGATATTGTTTAGCTATTCGCCTAATCTTTAAGTGTAAGTTAAAAATAATGGCAATGGAAGACATCTTTTAGTATTTTTACTGCATTTTATTGTATAGTAACAGCAATTTACCTGTTCAATTATCTAAACAAAATTATCCAAATACTCAACTACCACAACAACCAACAACTCTCTAGGAAACTTTCTGACCCAACAGTGAAAGAAAATTTAAGAAAAAAATTTGGGCTGGCTTCAAAATCCTAAAAAATATTTCAGAGGTTGTTATAGGTTGTTTTTTCCACTTTTAAAGGTACGTTTAGAGATAAAAGACACAATTTTCTTTTTTGTTTTTAGAAATTTGCAAATTGTTTGTTAATTTACGAATCGTGTATTGTTCAAGTTGCTATTATCTGAATCTATTGTCGGTATTGTTGAATTATTAATTATATTATAATATAATCGCAAAGAATACTCTATGACTGTAAGATTTTAAGTTTTGCAATTTACTACGTAAGTATCAATGTGTGTATCTACGAATAAAAAACTTTTGTTATGATTTGTTTTGTTTTATTTACGTTTATTTACATAGGTCTGTGGTGTCGGTGAAAAATTGAAGAAATGGTTTAGTTTTAAACAAATAGTTCTGGCTTTATTTAGAATAGCATTTCGGGCACGTGGCTTTTAGACTAATTAAAGTGAAGTGAAGAAAATGTCCGAAGAACGTGTTTGTCACATTTTAAATCATAACGGCGTGACCATCCTCCGCGCTCACCAGATCTAGCCCCAAGCGACTTTTTCTAGTGAGGATGCAATCACCGTGAACAATTATTTTGCAGAGAAAAACGCAATGTGTAATTTTAGAAAAAATTGTCTCGTTGGAAACTTTTTAAGTGGACCTCGTACTATGAAAATTGTACGCATTGTGCATAGGATTCTCCTTTACGCTTCTGTTTTTCGTTTCAGATACTACTCGGGTGTTAAGAAATCAAACCAAGGACAAATTTAATCATCTCATGGATCTAGCGAAAGCTGCCGAATTATCAACATATTTTAAGTGCTACGAATTTGTTGACGTATCTGTAAGAATTGTCTGAAATGTTAGAATCTTTGTCAAGTAAAACGTTTTCGTATTATGGCGTGAGATTTTGTCACCAACTCTTACCGTACTACTCACCTGTTTGTTTTCAACCGGTGGTGTCCTTGGTCGAGGTAGCATTAAACTCGCGTAGGGAGAACGGTTCCAGGCAAGTTCCTTTGTGGGTACGTACGGTGCCCTTCGGGCATGACGATGGGACGTCCATAAACCTCCTGCCTTTGGGCGTAACTGCGAGGGACATGGGAAAAACGAAAGCTTTCAAATATCGGCAAAGTTCTGGAGGAGTACTACAACGCTATCGTCCTATGTCCTTAATGTCCTTAATGATCGGTAGACGCTCTCCGATTTACAAACCAAGATTACCCCTTCGACCTATTGTCAGCATCATGGGTTCCCCAACATATTCTTTAGCAAAATATTTAGTTTCCACCAAAACCCTTTGCAGGGAAAAGTGACAGTTTCGCACTCAATTCCTTTCACTTCATGGAACAATTAAAAAGCATTACATTAGATACACAAGATATTCTAGTTTCGACGTAGAATCCCTATTTACCAAAGATATTGATGTCTTAGATCAATTTAATATTATACCCACCTAAATGAAAAATGACACACAATGAAAAAGATGGCGCATCATCTCAATGATAAAAAAAGACTTTGGATAGGTAAGCAATGGCCTGCCGATAGCCCCGACCTGAATCCTCGTGACATTTTTTTTGTGGGGATAATACGCCTGTGATAAGAAAAAGACTTAATATCGTTTTACAGGATCTAAACAGAGAAAACTCTGATTTTATCACCTCCTCTATTAATATTGTCCGATGTATAGAAAATCTAAAAAAAAATCTAGGTTATGTGGAAAATGTTTAGCATTAATTATTAATATTTTTATTGTTTGAATAATATGCTTTTATTACTTGGCGTTTTTCTTCCTCTGTATAACCTTACGGTGCATATCTTTAGTTTTGATTAGTTGCTAAAAATAATATCGCCGTCATTTTGACAGCTTGCGATCGTAGTTTGTTTTTTCTGACATTTGCATAAGATAATATAGCAAAAATGTTCATTTAATTCTAAAGAACTTTTCTTAGTGCCGTTTGACAGTTTCAATTAAGCGCCGAAGAAGCCAACACCAGCCTGTAATTAGTATTACACTAACCTTCTTTTCCGGTAGAATTTTCCCTGTCGCTTCCGTAGTTTATCTCTGTAGTTACCTCGACTCCGTTGACTATTTGTATGCGGATGGGTTCGATTTTCCTGCTAGGATCGTGAACTATCGTCCTGCTGATGGTGCTGTTGTAAACTTTCTCGTCTACGTAAGTCTTGGATATGTTCGTCGGCACGCTGGTGAAGTTCTTAGTGTCGGAATTAATGCTGACTTTGTAACGTCTAGGCTGAGAGTGTCTTGCGTAAAAAGAATCGCCACGATCGGGTAAACCTAGCACTTGACGCTGGTACTCCGGCGATACGTCTATTATCTCGGCTCGGACGTTACTCGGGGCCATGTTTTGTGCCGGATAACCATACCGATAAGGCCAAGATGGCGGTCCGGGGTTGTATCCTTGCGGCAGCCTGTACGGTTGATTCAAAACCTAAATTATTAAACATTTTTTAAACACAGAAAGGGAAATTAGTACAGGACGGAAACTTCTAACTAACTAACAGAAAGTTTACAGAGTTATCTTGTTCCGTCTCTATAGTAAATTTTATGCGGTTATGTATCGAGTTAATATGGTTCAAAAAGGACTGTAGTTGTCTTTAGGTTCCAGTGAAACAAGCAAAAACATCATCTACGTATCTATACCACCGGAGGAGGTTTATGTATGATATTTTCTAAATGGTCCGTGAAAATTTCTGCAAGTAGTGGACTAAGTGGGTTTCCCATAACCAAACATTCCTTAGAGATGTAAATCTGTCCATTAAATTCCAATTCTTGTTTTATGATAGGGTTAACTTGTCTCTGCGTGAGAATATTGTCTATTATGTTTGTTACGTCAATTGGTGGAATGCTAGGAAATAAGTTTTGAACGTCAAATGAAACTACAATTCTTAGGTCTTTAACCTTGTTAATTAGTTCGAATGAATTTTTGATAGCATATCTAGGCTTAAAGGAAGTATTATGTTCTAAAATTTTAATTAATCTTGTTGAAAATTTAACTGATTGTGCTGTTACAAAAGAAACTACAGGCCTTATTGGCATTTGCTGTTTGCGTAATTTAATTAAAGAATATAACTTGGCAGGTTGAGGGTTCATGATTATTAGTTGGTATTTATCCTTGTCATTATAAAGTAAGGAATCGGTAATTACTGTTTTGATTTGTTTTTGATATAATTCGGTGGGATCATACAATATACTATATATATATATTATATATATATATATATATATATATATATATATATATATATATATATATATATATATATATATATATGTATATATATATATATATATATATATATATATATATATATATATATATATATATATATATATATATATATAAAGCGAAGGACAGTAACGGGGCTACTGGTAACACACAAACAAACTGTTAATTATTGGGATCACCCCAACTTCGATGGATAGCCGTAAAGGGAGCAATAAAAGATGTTGAAGCTCAAAGCAAAGTGGCAATTTATTGTAATATCTAGCTTTCGCCCATGGATACAGGCTTCATCAGGACACTAAGTCATATAGAGAACAAAAAAAAAACACTTCATCAGAGTTAACAATCTAACCAAAAAATAGTGAAAAAAACTTACACAACACGCCTCTTTCAACCTCTTCATATAGAGAGATGACATTGGTATATAAAATAAAGTGTTTCGCCCGCTCTAACTATCAACATAACACTCGATGGATGAAATTTATGGAAAAAATTTACAATTGTAAAAAAAATATTAACATCCACCACAACGTTACAAAACAATCCCACTAACATAAAACGTTAAGGTCAATAAAATATCCGGATTGATAAAATTTTAAAAGATGAAAAAAAAGGCCGATTTGTTACAACTGACACTCCGTATTGTCGAGAAAAGGAAAACTAAATGTGCGGGAACTTATTAACAATTCGCAATAACCTAAAAAAGCCACAACCAAAAAACCAGTCAATGATACCAACTGTACAGCCAACCATAACATATGTAAAACACCAAACAAGGGAGGGAATTTTAAACAAGAATTCTTTCAAATATGCACCCATTGTACACTATTTATATAACTATGTTTACATTATTGAAGTTAACGTTAAGGGTAATTAGAAACAATCCTTTAGGACGGGGAGAAAGAAACAAAGAAAGGAAACTGTTTTTTAAACATTAATAGCAACAAATTTAGCAACCCACTACAACCTGACCGTATCAAAAAACTCTGGTAGCTTATGCTTCGCAGTACGACTCTGATTAAGAAGATAGGTGTAGATGCTACTAAGACCCTCAACATCCTTCTTTCTGTTGAGGCTATTACTACAACAGTTAATATAACACATCTCTAAAAACTTACGTTTGAAGAGGTTCTTTTCACTCTTTAATACTACCGCTTCATCGTACATGACACTATGTCCGGTATCATTGACATGAGCACTTAAACTAGTAATATTTGGTTTTAACTTACAATCACTTTTATGAAGTGTTAGCCGTTTTTTTAACTTCTGTGAAGTATGACCAATGTAAATTAAATTGCAAGAGCAACGTCTGACTTATGTAACGATGGGGTAATGTCTTTAAGATTGGAATAGAAAGATTTGAGGGGTCTTAAGTTGTAATTGGCAATTTTTATATTAGTATCTTTAAAGATCCTAATCAGAGCCGGGGACAATCTATCTATATACTGTAGTTTGCCAAAACTAGGCAACTCATTATTAACATTAAGCTGTGGTTGTAAAGCATTAGGCAGGTCTGTAGTGGCACTATTACAGGAGAGAATTTTATTTATTAACGATGGTGGGTATTTATTATTAATTAGTAGGTTCCTTAATAACATTAAGTTCTTATTTAACAGACTATGGTGACAAATTTTTTTTATACGATCAATCAATGCTACAATCAAATTGATCTTTTGTTTTTTAGGGTGATACGATGTGAAAGGAATGTATCTACCGGAACTAGTAACTTTTCTATGCCAATCAAGAATAACTAAATTTTCACTAGTGCGAATGACCTTTGTGTCAAGGAAAGGGACTGAACGATCTGTCTCCGTCTCCACCGTGAAAGTGAGATCGGAATGAAAGGAATTGAAAATTTCAAGTGTGGATTCGATGAGGTTAAATGGAACTGCTGTTAATAAATCATCCACATATTGATATATGAAGGGGAATTCAAAACTAACTCTGTGTATCACATAATAAAGTAATTTGTTCATAACAATCTCAGCAATCACAGGGGAGGCCGCACCCCCCATATATATATATATATATATATATATATATATATATATATATATATATATATATATATATATATATATATATATATATATATATATATATATATATATATATATATATATATATATATATATATTGGATTCGATGAGGTTAAGTGGAACTGCTGTTAATAAATCATCCACATATTGATATATGAAGGGGAATTCAAAACTAACTCTGTGTATCACATAATAAAGTAATTTGTTCATAACAATCTCAGCAATCACAGGGGAGGCCGCACCCCCCATATATATATATATATATATATATATATATATATATATATATATATATATATATATATATATATATATATATATATATATATATATATATATATATATATATGGATTCGATGAGGTTAAGTGGAACTGCTGTTAATAAATCATCCACATATTGATATATGAAGGGGAATTCAAAACTAACTCTGTGTATCACATAATAAAGTAATTTGTTCATAACAATCTCAGCAATCACAGGGGAGGCCGCACCCCCCATATATATATATATATATATATATATATATATATATATATATATATATATATATATATATATATATATATATATATATATATATATATATATATATATATATATATATATATATATATATATATATATATATATATATATATATATATATATATATATATATATATATATATATATATATATATATATATATATATATATATATATATATATATATATATATATATATATGATGACACTATATTCCGGGATATCATCCGTTCGCTCGTTGAACTCCGACTGGAATCCTGAATCCGACTGGAATCCTGCAAATCTTGCATATATATATATATATATATATATATATAAATCTTGCATATATATATATATATATATGGATTAAGAAAGTGTTTGGTTTTTGTAATATATTCTAGAAAATGGGTAGCAATGATTGATTTTACCATAGACATATGTGAAAGATCATTGAATTTACTGCTAGTATTAAGCTGCCATAAAGCATTAAACACTGTGAAAATCTGGCCATTTTTTGTTCTAATTTAATTTGTGTTAATTGGATTTTCATCAAGTAAAAGCCACCTCAGTCCGATAAAATTTATCATACTAATAAGGCACGTCTAACTAACTAATACGTCTTCTATCGCGCCCGATAACATGCATCCCAACTTACCGCCAATAAAGGATTATAATTCTGGGCCGGCGCGTAGGGGTAGGGTTGGGAATTTATTCCGTAGGGGTCGTATCCATACGACTGACAAGACGCTACCCCGATGCATACCAAGAGGACGAAATCCGTTAAATATGCACACATTCTGCTCGAGTTGGTCAAGTTGTGAGGCAATAAGCTTCGCCACTTTTATCTTTATCCTCGTGACCTTTGCTCCACATTGTCGTTAGACTCAGATAAGTTTTTATAAGCAAACGTGTCGACTGCAACTTGAGCGGTTCCCGGTACCCGAAGAAATCGACATTCGTCAAAACTTTTCGTCAACATCGTGAGAAATGAGAAAGGCGACGTTCCTTTTCGGTTTAATTGTGTGGTGTTTCGTCAGCGATGTGCAACCGACAGGACTGATGAATCTTGTAAAGAATGCGGTGGGCAAGACGAAATGCGGATTACACAAGCTAGGAAACGCCATAGTTCAGCACGATCACAAACACGGAGATCCTTGTCTTTCTACCGACGACCATAAAGTGCCAGATTCGAACGGTTCCAACTCTCTAGGTGAGGAAAATCAGCGTGCTGTCCCAATTCGTTTATTCGAGTTCTAATAGGTAATTAAACTCAGCAATCATGACTTTGCATTGTATTGCAATCCTTGGTTAAAATAAAGGTCACTTTATTGAGAAATTCCCATTCAAATTTTGCATAGTTTAAGCAGAAATTGAGGTTATGTGTGTTTTTTTTTCATATTTTTATGGCCCCATATAAAATTGTGTTGTGACGCTACTGATGAAGGTATTGCAACGAAAATTTAATCACATGCTAAGGAGATGATGCACTACTCAACCAGTTTGACAGATTCGGCTCGACTTATACAGGGTGTCCCAAATAGGTGGTGCCGTTTTCGCGAATTCAATTAACGAATTCTCAAGATTTTCAAATGGAACACACTATATTTTTATTCAGATATCAATTCTAATGCAAAAAATTTTTGTTCCTTTTTGAGATATTCCAGGTTTAAGTCAACATTTGGTCACTCGTTGGAAATATTAGGTACTTTTTAAATAGCAAAGACATGATCCTACTTCTTTTAAAGATATAATACTCCAGATATACGAATAAAACCTATTGCGAACAATACAGATTTAACAAAAATTCACATTTAAAGAAGAAAGTTTATTGGCTAACTAACCAAGGTAACAAATTTGAATAAATTAATCTATTAAAAAAAAGTTAACTAAAAAGATTTCGTTAATTCGGTCCATAAAACTTAGTTTAAAATGTTCCTCTTAAAAGGATCGTTTCATCTGGCATGAAAACAACAAACAAATATCAAAATATTTAAACATGTAGTTGGCTATGACATCACATTTTTTTTTCATATTTCTATTTAAAATGTCGTAGTTGTTTTTTTAGTATATATTTTATTTGTATTTTAACTAAATCATAGTTTTTGGTTTACCTATAAACTTTTTTTGTTATTAATTATTTTCTATCAAGCTAGACATTTTTTTATTTTTTATTATATTGTTTTACTAAATCTGTTAAAGTATGTGGTATAGAGTCGATTTTTTTCAAAATTTCCACGGACACCCTGTATTGTTAGCAATAGGTTTTATTCGTATATCTGGAGTATTGTATTTTTGCTATTTAAAAAATTCCCAACTTACCTTGTTTTTTGTCCTAGAATTGATATCTGAATAAAAATATAGAATGTTCCATTTGAAAATTTTGAGACTTTGTTAATTAAATTCGCCAATACGCCACCACCTATTTGGGACACCCTGTATAAGCTGAGGCGCATCTGTGCATCATCATCTCCTAGTCTGTGGTTTAAGTTTCGTTGCTATACCAAGATCAGTAGCGTCACAACACAATTTTATATGGGGCAATTAAATTATGAAAAAGAAAACACATAACCTCAATTTCTAGCTAAACTATGCCAAATTCGAATAGGAATTTCTTAACTTTAACTTAATTTTAACCAAGGATTCCAAAATGTCGAAATATACAGTGTGTTGCATTCAAAATAACAAAGTTGATGTCGCGGGGGACACTTTGGGGATACCCGGCATCAACAAAAATATTAGAAATCTCCAGGAGAGTCCAAGAAACGTTTGCACGAAACTTTTTTTCCATCTCCTATGAGTTTCCAGTATAGTGGATCGTTTTATTTGGCAAACGGTGTACCTTACTATGTAAGAACTTTTTTATTGTAAAAATAACGGGTAAGTTTTAAAATAGAAAAATTTTATAACAATGTTTACAATTTTATAAAACGTACAAAAATTATTTTATAAGTAACATTTCGATTTTGCGAGAACAATGCCGACAAAAATGTTCATTCGCCGAAATTGAATGAGTATATAATAACTTACGTTCAATTATACATACATATTTGTTGAAAAAATTAATGTTTATTATTTTTAAAAATTCGCTGTATGCCAAATGCGAAGTTCATTTCGATTTCAACAATGTAAAACATGGCGATTTTAATTAAACCATTTTCATCCCTTACGTCATAGATATAAAATTAAACTGGATTTGAAATTAGTTTTATAACACAATTCTGATATATAATTTGACCACTCCTATTTCAGCAGCTACAGTGTTGCCAAAATGTCAAGTATTTTTAACGTTCTAGGTACCAAATTATAGTTTGTTTAAAAATTATTGCCTTTTTGTTTAGTCATTTGTTTTCACGAATTTAGGCAGTCGCGTGAATATTTTTGCTGCTTTGGGACTCTGGAACTTTCTGCGTCACTTATTGTTAATAAAACTATATAAAAATGTCTTTTAAGATCAAATTGCCATTTTAAGGCGCTTTTTATTTCATTAGCTGTTTCATTTGTTTTATAACAAGCTTCATTAAATATAATAGTTAAATACTGTTATTAAATAACAACTATAAAATCTTGTTATAAACCTATTACAAAGAACAAAGTTTTATTTTTATTATGATATCCTGCACCCCAACAAAGTAATTATAAAAGAGTTATAAAATAAATTTAGCTTAAGCATCAATAGATTTGTAAATATCGTTTGACACGAAGCCTTTAAAAATGTTTTACAACTGTAAGGCACTTTAATAAGCATATTGATGACCTTGGCGAACTTTATTCGACTATTTTCTCTTGAAGAAAGTGACAATAAAGCAAATATACAACTATTTAGTCGAATAACAAAATTTGTGTATTACTTGGAAGTTTCTTTGAAAAATTAAAGCGTCTATTTTCATAAATTATTATTAAACATAGTATATAAAAATTAGTATTGATTGAAATAAATAAAATATAATTTAAAAAATAAATTTAATTATTTTAAATTATTTGGTGATTGAAATAATTAAGTTAGTGTATAGATATTATTAAAATAAAAGATTATAAACATATTAATTGGTAAAATGAAGCATATAAATTTGCATATTAATTTTTCTAGCAACTACTCATCTTATATAATTAATAAATAAGTATATTAGTTTGGTTTAGAGACCGGATTCCGACAATTAATAAGGATGAGAAGACAACTGCTGATATAAACATAATGAGAGGCAAAAAATAAAATTAATCTTATGATAAAAAGAACAAAACCCATGTCAACGAAATTGTTCCGTCACGCGTTTCCATCTATTTGCCCCATTTTATTTTTTATTTTTTGTTATGATTGACTTGTAATTTAAGTTTGTGAGGCATAGTCCGTTAGTATTTGAATTTAAAATGTGAGAGAAAGGCAGGAAAACAAGAAAAAAATGTTTGGAAAACTATCAGGGCTTTCGAATAAGTAGAAAGGAATTTCAAAACTGAAAAGTAAACTTGTTGTGTATGTGATCTGTTTGCAGACGTTGTCGGAAGTACCTCGGAAGTTCCGGAAATTGACATCAGAGGTGGCGGACAATCGACGTACGCCACTGTACCTCCCGGAGGAGGTAAACACCTTGTAAATGTTAAATCGAATTGCGAAGAGGGCCAAGTTTTGATCGATTCGATTTGCCGCGATGTTGTATGAATAAATATAAGCAAATAAACATTTGCGCCTCCTTAATTTTGGATATCTTCGTTGGCGTTTTTTATCATGAGTTTTATAGTTCTCGGAGATCGTTGTGAATCCAGATTTTCGAGATAGGCCTAAAGCAAGAGAAAACAAAACAGATAAAACGACTAGATGGCCTATTAAAAAGAAAAACTTTGACTAGCTTTATTTTATTGAACGCGGTTATTTAAGCTTTTTTACTGGTATGAAATTTTATTCTACGATCATTTTGTTTACATGATTGCATCCAAATATCGGCAAATATTTTTGAAAATTTTTTTTTGGGTCATTTTGAAAAACAATATTTTCTCGAAAACTTTAAACCCGATCAGCAAAATTGCATAACCATGAGACGTGGAAGATACAGGGCTATAACTTTTATTTCAGACATCTTTTCGATAATGTACTCTGCTTGAAAACATTTTAATTGGCTGTAACTTTTTTTTTAGAGATATCGAGGTAAACAAAAAAAATGTGGGGTTAGTAGCCACGTTTTTTTCCACTATCAATTCTCGGACATATGAGCCCACATCATATTTTTTTAAATGGAACACCCTGTACATTAAATATGTGCTTAATAGAATCTCTTATTACTTTATATTTTAGTCCACTCGTTTTTGACAAATCCTGAACACATTTCTCATACACTCTCATTATTGCAAGGAGTTCTGTGCACGTGCGAAGAAAAAATCCATTAAAGTTAAGTCGGGGCTGTTGGCTGGCCAATCCATAGTTCCGCCGTTCCCTATCCAATTCCTTAAGAAAATTTTGAACTTGGACATCATTGTGAGTAAAGTAGGAGTAAATCTTTTATATATTGTTCTATAATGATCTCTAGTTACCTTTTGATATATAAATATCTGGGTTTATATTTCGTGTATATATATATATATATATATATATATATATATATATATATATATATATATATATATATATATATATATATATATATATATATATATATATATATATATATATATATATATATATATATATATATATATATATATATATATATATATATATATATATATAAGATTATATATACAAGTCCATAAAATATTTTTCAAAAAATTTAAAAGACCCTGAAAAATCTTCTTTTCCAGAGTACTCATAAATAATATTACTAACCCGTTTAAACGGTATTATAAGTCACATCAAGAGCTATAGTTATACGAAAATCTAAACGCGATGACGTCATTTACTATTGCGATGTACTTCACGAACATTCTTTGACTTATATACAGGCAGTGTGAAAATTGAAAGATCCTGAAATGTTTTGAGGAAATTATTGGCTGTGAACGAAAAACTGCTGAAGCTGGGGAGGAAAATATTTCTTCTCTTAGATAACTGCCATGCGCATCCCCATATTCCAAATCTACGGAATATTGAATTCACATCTCTTCCAGCCAAAACAACAAGTGTATTACGGCCTATGGACCAGAGCGTAATAAAAATCCTTAAGGATCGATACAGGAAGAACATTTTAATGGAAATGATCGAGTCCGAAGACAAATTTTCCGTTAACACTCCTATCGTCATGCAGGACTTATTACCGAGACAGAATTCGAACGGGACTTGAAAGATGATCAGCCACTAAGCAAGTGGGAATAAAGCAGTTTCAAACAACAATTACGTTTACAAGTGAGGAGTTGCAACATTTTATGGTGACAGATCAGGATTTGCCTACAACAGCATACTTGACAGAGGAAGCCATATTACAACAAGCAAGAAAGGGTGAGGAAGAGCACCAAGGGGAAGAAGAAGTTGATCTGGGACCACCACCAACCATTCAACAAGTCCTATATTCAGTTAAGCTGCTAGAGAATTTTTTTATGTATCATCGGGAAGATGTTTATATTGTATTTATATTGTATTGTTATTTTTCAAGTGCCTATAACTCTTCAATTTCGCTGTATAGAGTTTCGACTGTACTTCAGAAAACAAGTATAACCTATACCGCTACTTCGAACATTCTTGCCTGTGAAAATTAAATATATCCTGAAATATTCCGTTTTTCTGAGAAAATTATTGGCTGTGAATGAAAAACTGTTGAAGTCGGGTTAGTTTGGTTTGAACACTATTGCCAACTGTATCAAGGGCGAGTTTCGATCGATTTTGCTGGCATGAAACTGGCCACCGACAAGATTTCGAAAGCAATCTGGGATTTGATGCTAACTTCAAGTCTTCAGTTAATAATGTTTCCTTTCCGTCAGATTATAACAGAGAACTTTTAAAAATAACACACCCCCAACCCTACTTACCATCTTTATAGGTTGGGAAAACTGTATAAAAAAGCTGTAAAAAAGACTTTCAATCAACAATTATCTTTTCAAAAATCGTTTCAGCGGTAAAAACACCATACGAATGTGGTAAAACAACTTTCAAGTCCGAATGAACAAAAAAATCGAGTGATTTTAATCCACGCCCACGAATTAACATCAACAACATGTAAATGCGGTTAAACATCGAAATTGCCGCTGTTGTTGAAGCTGTGCGTCGCGTGATAACCCCCAGGCGTCGCAATAAGAGGAACGATAAGTTTCGTCGCTGAAGCGGAAAAATGGCGATCGCGTTTTGTTTCGTTTCGCTGGCGTTGATTCTGACGCAAACCGTGTGCTATTGCGATGACAAAATCTACACTTCCGCCGAACTCGAAGTGCTGCGAAAAGGTACGTGTTTCGAAAAAATCTCGTTAAGAATTTCTGTTTCGATGGATGCGGATATGAGCGTTTTTTTAGTGCGAGTCAAAGGCAGGGACTAAGAAACGAAATTTTTATTTTTAGTTCATAATTGAAAACGAAATATATGGTTTCGGTTACCGGTTTTAACCGGATGCAAGGGTCACGTTGGCCCTTCCCACTTCTCTTTCCCACTACTTTACCGCGCTCATTACAGCGGTGAGTTTGTTAGAAGACCAACAACGCGATATAATTAGTGACGCAGTGTTCAAGATTCAAAGTAGTTTTATCTACTTCACAAATTGACATAGCTAAAAACTACAGCTCGTATGCATGGAATGCTCTAAAAAATATAAATGAAGGGAACAACTTCGTTCAAAAGTCATCTCTAGGGTCAAATTCAACAGAAGATGAAATAGAGCAATTTTTTAAACAAAAAGAATATATTCCTTCAATATCTTAAAAAAGAAAAATCATCAAATGAATCGTATAATTTGCAAAACAAATTATACGATTTTAAATAGTTAAAAGTCGAATTTATAAGAAAATTTATTGGAAGATGTCTTGCTTCTTAGATTAGATAGTTACAATTAATTTTTATATCTATTCGTATATACTAAAATTAATAATTATCGTGCGATTTACTTTAGAATATATCTTTAGTTTTATTGACTACAATTTTTACTTATTTTGGAATGAGGAATCATTTATGTGTATGTTTATTATTTTTTTATGATTTTTTTTTATTTTGATGATTTTACGATTTTTATGATAGAATAAATATATAATATATAAAATAATATAATTTTTTCTCTTATTTCTAATATAAGAGATAAGAGATAATACCCAAAAATTAACCATGACACAAAATTTTTAAATATGTAAAAGTTAATGGAAATAAAGCAAGTTCAGAGAAAAAAAAAACAAAAAACTGTTACTGGCACATCAGTTTGTGCATGGTTTTCAAGTAACTAAATTTAATATGAATAGATGAAAGAAACTAAAACAGAGTCGTCAAATTAATTTATTAGGATTCCTTTTTGTAATAGCACCACTGACAAATTGCAATATATGGATAAGCTGTCTCCTGCTCTCATTAAAATCTTTAAAGATAACTTAAACCCTCTCAAATATTTTTACTCTAATCTTAAAGATGCTACACCATCCCTACAAAAGTGCTCTTGTGATTTGGTTTACATCGTTCACACTTCACAAAAGTGATTGTAAGTTGAAACCTAAAGTGCTTAGTAATGAAAAAAACCCTTTAAACGTAAGTTTTTGGAGATTAACTGATGTGGGAATAGTCTCAACCAAAAGAAAGATGTTGAGGGACTAAGTAATATCTATATCTATTTTCTTCACCAAAACAATACTGCGCAACATAAAGTGCCAGATATTATCAATCTGTAGTGTGCTGCTAAATTTAAATACCGCCTAATGTAATAATTTTTTCATAATAATCATTGCAATTTTACCAATTTTTAAAATTTTTTTTGGGTAGGTTACATATTTGAATTCTTCAGGTTGGCTTTATAATTGGCAACATTGATCGTTTAGTATCTGACAATCCGTTTGGCGTTTCCGCTAGACAATATAGCGTACCGTTTGTAACTAATTGTTTTTTTGCAGGTGGTTCGTTAGGCGACGTAGAAATGGTGGAGAATAATAATACAGGTAAGCGACACATTCAAAATTTTTGCAAAATATTAACGATTGCACTTTGAAGATGTACAGAACATTACGCTGGGTGGCAGGTTTTTGACCAACGTGCCCTGCAAAGGAGAATTGAAGAGAATCCACTCGAAATGTGTGAAGGTTTACCAAAACTCTCCTTAGTTTTGGCTGCGCAGTTTATATTTCCCGCCTTTGCAAAATATGATAATGTGAATTACAAACGTATCATGTATGTATCTTTGTTTTTTTTTGCATAGCGTTGGGTCGGAACGTCGTAGTTTCCCTGAAAATGACGTCAGACAAGTTTGGTATTGTACGACCAAAAATATAGTGCATCAAGTAGGTCTTGCCTGAGATGGACCGTAAGGAATATTTGTAGATACTTGAAATTTTTATAGTATATACGAGGTGTGCTCAAATCGTAAGGTCACTTGTACTTGTAAGTTTGTTAGTTAGTTAGCTTTGAGTTCTTACAGCATTTTTTTCCCCATTAAAAAGCAGAAAAAAAAAGTAATTTTTTCTCTCTCTCTCTCTTCTGGAGAAGCTTGGCAGATATGGTGTCCATGGTGACCCTCAGGATCTTATCCAGTGTGTCGTCTTTAACAATAATATATCGGAGTTGAGGGTTGTGAGCAGTGACGTGCCTCAGGGCTCCGTCTTGGGTCCGCTACTGTACACTATTTACATAAATGAATGGTATTATTTTCTCTTCCCAAAGACTGGCAAAGACTCTAATGAACTTATGCACAATGTTGATAATGTTGAGCGGATGGCATAGTTCCCTGGGGCAATTTTGCCACAGCAGGCCAGGCATTTAAACTCCAAAAGAAAGTTGTTCGTTTGATTGCCGGTGCAGGTTATTTGGAGCATGGTCAACCAATTTTTAAGAAGTTGGAAATTGGGCCACTTCCTTGTCTGCTATATTTATTATCACACAAAAACATGCTTCAGTCAGAACTCCTCTTACCATGGCTATTTAACTAGAAATAACAAGATTGCTTTCGAAAAATCGTCGTTGAGCGGGGCAAGTTCGTCGCGAATAGCGCGAATCACCTTTTTATTTCAAAAAGTAGGCGCTTCGCGGATCCTTGTCCTAGAGGGACGCATTTTTTTGTATCGTGCTCCTGCGGACCACTATGGAACTTTCGCAAAATCGATGTAATTTGATTGTGAATACACCCTGTATAAAGTGTCCTTCACATCTCGTCTAACTTCAAAGTTACGGCACCCTTTGGTAAATATTAAAATTTGTACTGGAATTGCAATTTAAAATTAGATTTTTTCAAATATCCTGCGACCCCCGTATTATAGACGAAACCTTAAACTCTCCCCCGACACAGTTTACGATACTGTTCATATCAAATTATCACATCTTTTAAAGTTTTTCATGTATCGCGAATAATTCACCCACAAAAGCGGAAATTTCTACGATCTATTAGAATTTTTTGCCCACAAACGACGCACCCTGTATATAATTCCAACAATGTTCGAAATAGAGGATACAGCCCTGGATCTCCTTAGTTTCCTGGTATCCGAAACGATGCAATACGTGGTAATATTAAATGACGTGATCGCGGAGCACTTATTAAGTTTTTTAATATTGCACGGAATATCGCGAACACCCTGTACAATACTTAAAAACCGTAAATACAAAAGTTTAAGCTGACTATACGGGCTATACCGTCATGTAAAAGAAACTAACACCTAAAACACAGATTTAAAATTATTGATGATTTACAATAATAGGCACACCCTATTTATTTTTGAAAAATTGTCAAGAATAAAAGTTTATGAAGTCGTTTCCTCTACGTCTTCTGGTTCAAGAATTTTTTCGGTCTTGTAAACGGTTTTCGAAAAATGGTCGTTTTCGTAGACAATTGCACACGCGATATTTATTTTTTTTTAAATACTTCCCGACCCCCCAGAACCCCTATTTTCAATAGATTTCTTTACGGGGCAAAGCTGCATTTATGTGCCAAATAAGAAGTCGATTGCTTGAAATTTCCGACACTTATCGTGTTTCATAGCAAGGGCCAAAAAACAGTCGAAAATAGTGAAAAAAAGATGGATACCTATGTCGGATCAGATCCATTTCTTACAAACTTATGTGCCTCGCGGAGGGTTAAAAAGGAGGCATTGTAACTCCAATGGTTCGAAAGTGATTCAAGAAAAACCAAAAGACGAGAACGAAGAACGGTCAAACAGACAAAAATTTTTTTTTCGACGGTGATCATTCCTGTACCAACGGCTATCCCATAAGACTTACCGTTACTGAGATATAAAATTTTTATACCAGCGCAGATACTTTCGAAAATTCGATTTCATCGATTTTCTAACGTGACAAGCTACTTCATCAAAAAGTCAAAAAAAAATCACTAAACTTAAACTTGTACAATAAATTACCAGTTAACGTGAAAGTTCTAAGTAATAGAAAATTAAAAAAAAACATCTTAACCTTTCCTAAAAGGCACTGCTTTTACTCGTAAATAAACGTCTTGTTCTTTGTGATATACACTGTCCTGTTTTTATGTATTATACACTGTTTTATATAATTTATACACTCTTTATATAATTTATTTTTATAAATTCTATTCTATTCTTTTCATAAGACTTTGGCAACGAAATAAAAAATGCATTTTTATTATTATTTATTTATTTTTATTTATTTATTATTACGTATAATGTAACTCATAAGAAATACACTGATCTTTGGCACAGCCAGCGCGCGAAGCTCTCACTGAGACTGCCAACCGTACTGCGTCGCTTGTGTGGTGGGATTATCTGAAAATCGTCCCAATTATAATACGACCAAAAATATAGTGCATTTATTGCTTTGACGTTTCTTAAAGCGCGGACTTCCGCATGACCGTGGTAAAACCAATCCCGACAGATGTGACGAACATCAATTTATACGTATCTAAATTGCAATATGTTCGTATATATTACGGAGGTATCTGACTGTGATCCTTCCAGTAAGTACGTATTTATGACTAAGCGAGGCTGTTTTCACTGGCTATTTTAAGCGATTGATACTTTCAAGAATTGCTCGGCGAAGAAGATTGAAAACATACTTGTATATAGCTTCCTAGGACCGTCCTGGAATAGTGACGGGTAAGGGTCTACTTGGGTTGCGGTTTTGGAGTTGTAAAAGCACTATATTTCTGGTTGAAGTATACTACAAGCTTTGAGGAACCATCGATACTACTCACCCAACCGTTCGATGGGTTCGACCCTCGCCCTTTCCGTTGTGGTAGTCGTGCCGGTCACGTAGGGCTTGTTCAAACAAGGATCTTCCCCACGTTCGTGCTGATGATGAGAAACGAACTCCTTTACCTTGTGAAACCCGCAATGCACCTCGTCGTACGCAACGTTATAAGCCTTTTTGATTTTGTCTATGACGTCGCCTCCAGCCACACCGATCGCCACCAAGATAATCAACAATTTCGCGTAACGCATCTTGTCTAGTTAACAGTCGTCACTCATTTACTTATCCGTTGCGATTAAATGTTTATAAATAATTGGAGCAAGCTGGAGGTCAAACGGACTCACTTCTTCATCGCTGCGGGAAAACCGGATTACATTCTACGGGCAAGGACAATAACAATATAGTCCGAGAGCTGGCAGTAAATACAACTTCCTCCTAAGTTGCCAAAGGTTTGAATTGACACGTCGGTATTACTTTTGGTTGTAATATCAAAACAAAAGACAAACACAAACACAAATCTCAGAAATATAAAGTATAAAAAAAATTAAGGTAATCCGTGAGGAAGATGAAGGCGTTTTCTGACATTATATTGTAGCGGTTATTTAAAAAAAAAATCCCGCCAGCTCTCGGACTAATAACAGTGACTCACGCGAGGTGCTTTTAATATAAGGTCAGGCATCTTCTGAGAAGCGTGTTGTAAATTTGACTGGACGCGCATTTGTTGCTTTTCACGCTGATCATCCTGCGACCTGATATCCTGACCCCCGTCGTGTTCGCTTTCTGGTGGATCTGATAGAGGAACTGGCTCGACACGACGTATCCACCATTTACGTCGCTGTACGTGCACGATAAAAGGACGATCGTCAACGCGGTAGCTACGAAAAAATTCATTTGTGCTCGTCGCGGACGTCGCTAAAACTGGGAAAAAATTCGCCGATAAGAGCTCGACACACGACCTATCGTTATCTCTCGGATTGCGACCTAGGATCCCGGTCGTGTCGATCGGACTGATCGCCGCGTATTGTACGACCAAAAATATAGTGCATTTATTGCTTTAACGTTTTAAGTATTGTTCTAGCGTGCGGGAAGCGTCACTTTTCCACGTCAGTTTCGTTTTCCACGGATCCGAGCCACTTCGGACATTTCCGGGATTTTACCGCACGGGTTTGGAAACAATCGGATGTTTTCGGAGATTTTACCGCACGCCTTGAATTTTGACGGTCATGTCAGTGAATTCATTCATGTTGTTTTGAAAAAATGAACCCGAAAACTAATACACTGAACAATGTTACGCAATATATCAGACAATTAGGCACGTACTTTAAACAAAAAACTCCATGATAACATTGGAATAATAAGTCGATGATTACAATACATAAAATTATTCGTAAGCAATAACAAAAATAAAAAACGCGAATGGTGGCTTGAATAGTTGGAATAAAATTCTGTATTTAATTGAAATCGGCAAATTTATTAAACCAAATTACAAAAATTACTGTTTGATGAAATACGGCAGGATTTCGATGGGAGCGTCGTAAACGATACTCTTGGGACCTTCGTATACTACGCTTGCGTCGTTGCCATCCTTCCATGTACCCTTCGGAAGGTACACTTCCCTGGACAATGCTCCTTCGGTCACTATGGGCGCCACAAGTATGTTGTCCCCGAGCATATACTCTACGGCATAGAAGACAACAAAAAAGTGGAGTATTGGAGTCAATATTATACCTACACAATGATGCACATTTTCTAAGAAAACAACGAAATAAAACGAAGAATGAACCGACTTTTTATACTCCTCGAAGGTTTGTTACGGAACACAGACAACGGAGAACAGAGAACAGAGATTTCGTAGATGGTTGATAGGGAGTCCTGAAAGGACTGTGTTGCTTATGTTTAGCAAAAAAAATCAGATCGCTATAGATTTCTTTAGCTGTCTGTCAGTTATTGAAAAAAAAAATCACTGGGACACCCTGTATATTTTGGACTAGACTATTTCTTCGAGTAATTGCACCGAACCTCGCACGTCTTCCGGTTCAAGAAATTTTTTGGCTGCAAAAAAAAAAATTCAACTCTTTTTTAAAATACTTGGCAACTTTCAATCCCGACCGGTTTATGTAGGTTCTTACTGCGTAGCAACTTTCCTAGCGGAAAACAAAAATAGCCGACAAAATAGCCGTCGATGCGTGATCGGCTCTATATTTTGTTAGCTGCTGCGCATCGCCTGGTATTAGTACGGAGGAAAATTTGAAGCCCCTAGTTCCTACCGTTCGAACGTTATCCGACTTCAAAAACTGCCCGGATGTGCGCTACGGAGAACAGACTCGGAGAACAGAGAACGGACAAAAAATAAAAGTGGGTTTTTTTCGACGCCGAATCGATCTGCACCAACGACAATCTCGTACGTAGATACTCGCTTACGTATATTTAAAAAAAGAAAGGCATACCGTCAAAATTTTGTTGAGCTACCCGATCTTCCGGATCGACCCACCATATGGGACGGTTGGCGGGTACTCCCTCGTTAACGCTCCCGTTCAGGGCTTTGACTATTTCTTCGGTGTACTCTGCGTGCAAATCGATCATGGTGCGAATAATTTCGGTGGCGTTGTACTCCTAAAACTCGAACTACTTATCAACGAAATTTTGTTACTTTTGTTCCGTACCTCGGTGGTTTGGAAATCCCACGGCAAGAAGCTGAATTGCATCGCGGGCATAAACACCGTGGCTTGGGTCCATCGAACGATCAGCTCGAGTGTCGGCTGGGTGCGGTACCCGTTACCGCCGATCATGTCCGGCAAGATACTTAAGTAACATGCCTCAGTCATTTATTTGTTTATTTAGTTAACTTACTTCGAATATCCGTTAAGATTAAGCTGCAAAAGAGTGGTGATCAAGGACTGGAGGCCGTTATCTATCGTCCACACTGAGTCCTTGTCGATCATTCTCAGGAACACCGGCAGGTTCTGGGTTCTGAAACCACGCAAATGGTATGTTTCATTTCTCCCCATTACGCATATATTCTAAGACACATTTATTACCCCGTAAGATATGTTTGAGCTAGAGTTTTCGAATGTATCAGAAGATTGTTGAAAAAGTAGTGACTGAAATGATACCGACCCAAGTTAAATTTAACGAATTATGAGAGGAGGAGTTCATTTTTTCTGCCATAAGACAAACTTAACTAACCTAAACTGAAGTTTGGAAACTGGTAGTGTTTTTTAAGGAGTTTAACATTTGGAGAGAAGAGAAATATGCTTATACTCAATTACCTGAAGGCGGATCGAAGCTCTATCAGATCTCCGAACTGAGTGACCGTGTTCAAGTAACTTTGCGATAGGATGTTAGGCACGAGTTCTTGGTCGACGTTCTCATAAACGGAAGGCTGAAAATGGAGTTTTCAAAAATATTATGTCTCTATTTAGGAATATTCTGGATTCCTTCGGTTGACTTCTTCAGACCTTAACAGATACTGACTCAGTACCTGCTTATATATTGTTGATTTCTAAACAAAAGACGCAGGAGGAATCCAGAAGATTTGTATGCTTGGACCAGAAATATAGTGCTTTTACAACCGATCCCGCGATTAAATTTGCCTACTGTTTATTACTCTAAAAATTTGATTGCGCACATTTGTTTTGCGTTTTATTAACAAAATAACAAAAGTATGTATAGCCATTTTGTTTAATATGAAGTCCAGGACAAATTACTGTCTATGAATAAACCCAAATACTATATAATAAGCTCTTGTTCAAATCCCTATGCGAAAACAACATCATCTCAATCTTTGTCCCGTTCGAACAAATGCCTTTACGCTCACAATACCACTTACTGCCCTAATGGCCAAGAACGTGAGATCTTCCAGACATCGAGATGGCACTGCCACAGCAGAATTATCTGCATATAAGGCAACGTAATTGTCTTGGAAAGAATTAGATATATCATTAATAAATATTATAAATAATAAAGGTCCCAGTATGGTTCCCTGTGGGACACCGCCGGTGAGTTCTTTATATAAGGATCTAATCACAGAAGTATCACTTCTACGCACAACTCTTTCTATAGGTACACTTCTTGGCCTAGTTTAAGTTTCAAGTGGGTAAGGGAGTTACTCCTGCGAGTTTCTCATCTGAACTTCGCCATTTTTTTAACATTTGTTTACTTACTTCTCGCTATTCATTTGTAAAATTTATGTTCAAAATAAAGAAATTATTATTATTATTATTGTCGAAAAATCTTTATAAAAAAAAATACAATACGAACCTGGGGTCCGTAGTCGGTTTCGCCGGCGTCGAACTTGAAACTGTCGATCCCGGGGTCGGTCCTTAAACGCCTGACCTTTTCGGCGTACCATTCGGCCGCCGCCGGATTGGTAAAGTCTATCTGCAAAGCGTCGTCGCTCTCCCACCAGATCGTCGAGTAGCTTCCGGTCGTGTTCCTCACGAAATAACCTTGAACGTGACATCGCGGTTCTCCCGGTTACTAACCGGCAAAATTTCAAACTCTGACCTTTCTCTTTGCCTTCTTCCGCGATGCCCTCGCAGTTATTGACGAAAGGTATGATCCACACCGTCACGCGGAAGTTTTTCTTGATTTCCGCCACGAGATCTCCGATGTGTCCGAACTTGTCCGGTTTAAACACGTGCGTACCGAAGCAGGTCTTTGAAACACAATAAGTTTTTTATAAAACTATTTGATACTGAGGTGATTTTAAGGTATGGTCTGTTCATAGATATAAGAAAGTGACCAATTGCTTTTGAATGGGATTATCCAAGGGTGGTCATTAACATACAATGCAATAAGATTATTACCTAAAGTTTCGGAATTTAAATTCAGATAAAATTGTGGTCCGTCATAGAAAATAATTTTATACCGACCTGTGTTTCATATTCTTTGGTTTGGTATACTATTTAGTTTAAGTTTGTTAGTAATCATTCTTATTTCGTGTGTAATACAGCGTGTGTCGAATCGTGTGCGAATTATGCAAAATAAATATGTGCTAGTCTAGTGTATCTCAGGAGCTGCTCCCGCCCAAATGTAGAAAACACTATTCTATTGAGACTAAAGAAGTTATAATAAACAATGTTTATTTAACTCTCATTGAACGTGGTGCCACCAAGCAAGCATCTTTAGAAGAAACGGCCACATTGACGAAAATTACATCAACTGTATGGAAAATTGCGAATAAACCCATTTCAGAGAGGAAAAATAGAAGCGATGCTGTCATTTTCTCGAGTGTAGATGAAAGTGATCAAGATACAATACGGCGTAAAATTTACCAGTTATACGAGGAACAAAGCGTGCCTACATTAGATATCCTAATTAAGATTAAACCGATGTTAAATGTGGCAGAACAACCTTATGGAAGTGTATCGACCAAAGGCAAGTTTTAATGGAATCTTTTAGAATTCGGAAATGGCGACTGGAATATCTAGAAAAAATTAGGATTTACAGAGAACAACAATTATTTACTTGGATGAAACCTGGTTCGACTCTTATGATACCCCGGAAATGGGTTGGGTTGACTCAACTGATAAGTGTAAAACAAATGTGCCATCAAAAAGAGGTTAAAGAATAACTATTTTGCATGCAGGCTCGAAAGATGGTTGGATTCCAAATGGACTTTCTCTGTCTGCGAAAATTATTAAAGATTCTTCTCTGGATTACCATGAAGACACCACCGCTGATTTATTTGAAAGTTGGTTTAAAAACAAACTAGTTCCAAACATTTCTCCTAATAGCGTCATTGTAATGGACAATGCAAGTTATCACAGTAGACAGTTGACTAAAACCCCTTCCTCATGTGACACAAAAGCAACAATCCAAAATTACATGTACAATAAAGACATTTATTTTCACGAAGATTATACCAAAAAGCAATTAATTGAGGTTCTACAAAGCTTGAACCTAAAAAAGGAATACGTCTGTGATAATTATGCAAAAAATCTAGGGCATACAGTTTTAAGACTTCCACCTTACCACTGAATATTTAAGCCCATTGAACATGTATGGCACCAACTGAAATCTGTCATTCGTCGTAACAATGTTTTTCCCGTATTAACTCCAATGTCCTCAAACTTATAGAAACCGAAGTTTTTAACATCCCTCCACAAAGTTGGGCAAATTCTGTTAAACATATAGAAAAATCGTATATCCATATTGCAAATAATATAGAACAAATAATAATTAGAACAGGCGATGGCAGCTATAGTGATCTATAGTGAACTTTATTTTAGATTTAAACATAAATACATACATAAATAAATAAATATTGTTTAGTATATTTCCTAAGAAAACCCCAAATAATTAAATTCTAAGCAAAGTACGGACCTGTTCGGCCATATTTCATTCGTACAGCTTGCCCGGGTCTTTCCTTCATCGGTATCAGTTAGTCACTTTCTTATATCTATGAACAGACTTTACCTCCCAGTCTTCGTCGATTTCGATCTGACCCTTATTAAAACCATGATCGAGGATGTCCTGGACGAAAGACCTGACCATATCTTCGTTGATTTCCTTCTTAAATTTGGCCCACGTAGTCCATATGGGTTCCCGAATCATGTTCACGTTGGGGATCCCTTCGAGTATTGGACGAATAAACGTCAGAATGTACGCAAAGTAACCTAATCAATTACCCGTGGGCTTCCCCAAGTAGTTATTCACTGCGTGCACATGGGCCACCTTGGCGTTGTCCAATGCAACGATCTTGTACGAGTGTAATACCTAATCGAATGAGTTAATACTTTATCGGGAACTACAGATTTTTGAAAAAAAAACGCTTCAAATTATGTTTTTTATGATTTTTTTTACAGTAAACGGTGGAGATGCCGATTTTGACCGCAATCTGATCGAAATCGATGGTATTTGACCCAGAAAATCAGGTTTTAAGATGATATCCTCGGGTTTGATGCAGTTTTTGGTACAGTAAGTGGTGGAAACGCCGATTTTCACTAGAATCTCATCAGAGATCGACAAGGAAAGGTCACTGTACGGCTCAGAAAGTTAGTTTTCGAATTGATATCTGCATATTTTTTTATAGTTTTCAGTAAAATATGCCGCTCAAAATCCGATTTTGACTAGAATCCGATCGATATGGACAAGGAAAGGTTACGATGTGAACCAGAAAGTGAGGTTTTAGGTTGATATCTGCAGGTTTGATGCAGTTTTGGTGGTGAAAACGCTTAATTTCACTAGAATTTGATCACAAATCGACAAGGAATGGTCACTTTATGTTCTAGAAAATTAGTTTTCAAGTAGATCTCTGCATATTTTATATAGTTCTCAGTTAAATATGCCTCTCAAAATCCGATTTTGATGCAGTTATTGGTGCAATAAGTGGTGGAAACGCCTATTTTCACTAGAATTTGATCAGAAATCGACAAGAAAAGTTGATATCTGCATATTTTTTATCCGAATCCGATCGATATGGCGAAGGAAGGCAAAGGCTACGTTGATTATATTCTGATAGAAACAGGTAAAGATATATCACTGTATGACCCAGAAAGTGAGTTTTTTAAGTTGATCTATGCATATTTTACATAACATTTGCCGATTAGATGTGACGATATGTGACGGAAAAGTCGATTTGGACTGGAATTTGATCAAAAATGTGCGACCCTGAAAGTGACGTTTTAAGTAGACATTTGGCGATTTCGACTGACCCTTAGTCGATTGATGTACGGCCCTGCAATCTTGGCCACGAAGCACACCGTGTCCTTCTCCCTGTTGTTCTGGTCCACGAACAGGGGAACCCGATCGTCTACGAACACGTAACCTCCGTTGGAATTCAGCCAGTACCGTTCCGGTACAGCAAAGTTGTCGTCCTTCCTCAAAACGTAGGGGTCGTCGTCGCTCAATGTCAATTTCTCTATCGGCCATTCCTGAGTCGCAATTTCCGGCCCGCCGTACCAGCTGACGGACTCGCTGCCGAGAGCGAAGCAGTCCCTAAATTCTTCGTCCAAATCGACCGCCTCCCAACGGATCTCGAAGCCATCGTCGACTGGTAATATGTCGAGCCTGGACTCGCCGACTTTGCAAGAACTTTCACCGACGCAATCGATGCCGCTGAAGTTTTTACCACTGCCGATGGTGCCGACCAATCTATTCCGTTCCTCTAAAGTGAAAATTAGATTTAAAACTTTCTGCGAGGCTCAGAGCGTGAACCTACTAGTCGTAGCTGTATAAAACTATTAAATACTCAACTCCTATTATTACTTTTCGATATTTTGTCTGTTTGTCTGTTCTCTGTAGACGCTCATATTAACGCGAATAACTTCGGAAAGGTTCGAGCTGGTGATTTTCTTCTGTTCGAAACCCGAAAAGCGGCCGAAATTTAAAGCTATCGAGTTTAAACTCGACACAAGTATAGAGTTTAGTTCCCATACGGAACCGGGGGGTTTGGGGGGTTTTAAAAATTAAAAATCGCGTTTGCGACCTAAGGTCATATTTCCAATAAAGTAAAGTAAAGTAAGAAAGTAAAGTAAAGAAAAAGTAATGTAAAGTAAAGTAGATAAAGAAGAAGAAAGAAAGGTGTATTTGGGTTTTATTAATTAAATCATGGTTCTCGTGACAAATTCATTCTAGTGCTTTTGGTACCTTCCTTCAAATTCTCTCTGGGAAGATAAATCAGTCGTTACTTACAGATAGGGATTTTACGTTGCGAATGTTATCCTTTTCCTCTGTGTTCGGATGAATAAATATTGGTTTAGCGGCAGGATATCGAAAAGACTCCTTTCACGTTATTATTGTTTTGCTGTTGTTCGAACTGTAATGAATTGGTAATTATTCTAGAAGCTTCACTGTCACTTAAAATCAAAATTGCTTACTTACATACGGCTGTTTATTATTATAATCAATCTTTGCGAAGTAAATAATATTGAATAATATTGACCTGACCGACAGGATATTTATTCAAACGTCAGCCGGTATGCGATCTTCTTCGTTGGTTACCGCTACGTCTAGTAGGCAACCAGTAAAGCGCGTTAAGATCGGAGGAGTTTTATTTCGCTCCCTAAGTACCGGCACTGGCTTCATACCATTTATTAGCAGGTGATAATTTATTATTTCTTTAATAATAATAATAATAATCATTACATTCGAATCAACGATTCAGCGATCGATGGTACCACCAGATAGGATACTTTGGTTAACTGTAGGGTTGAGCCACACATTGACTATCAATTTTATTCGCAGTATCGATACCTCGACTGAGAAAATTTCCAGTACCTACTTTCTTAACGGCGAACAGAGAACAGACAAAATATAAACATGGGTTTTTTTCAACGACTTAAATTATTTAACTTATCTTAACAGCTGACTTTCATTGATAGTTAAGACGAATTTTAATTAATGAAATTGAAGATACTCCTTCTTATTCTTGATCTTCTATTTATTCTATTCCAATATTAGAAATGGAAAACTCACCTAGAATGATGTCAAAAATCAATCGACTATTTGAACAATACGCATATGTGTACTGTAATATTTAATTATTTTATATACATATTTTAACATCTACTTAGGAACATTTTATATAAATATTCACGAACTACATTTAATGCGTCAAATAATCGGTAATTTTCTTTTGAATTTTATTAGTATGCCAATACGCATCTCGTAGTTTGGCTTATATTTTCACCATTTCTTCGAGAGGAACATCTTCCCATGATACATAAAAAATTTCCCTAGCAGCTTAACTGAATATCGCGCTTGTTGAATGGTTGGTGGTGGTCCCAGATCAACTTCTTCATCTCCTTCTTCCTCTTGGTGCTCTTCCTCACCGTTTCTTGCTTGTTGTAATATGGCTTCCTCTGTCAAGTCTGCTATCGCTTCGAAATTTAAGAGTTTTATCTGACGTCAGTTTCGTGTCAGCAATAAAAATGTCGTCAGCAGGATACTTTTCTGATAGTTTTGGCCACGTCTTCTCCAGCCAATCGTTAGTGACGTTTCTGTGGACATCACGTGCTTCTCCACTTACCTTTCCAGAATTTACACCATGTCTCTGTTTGAACCATCTTTCCGAAGCCTTGAAATCGATAATGCCAAGCTGTTCAGCAAACTTTTCTCCTTTTAGTCTTACCATAGGTCTGGAGAGTGGTACATTTTTAAGACGTTGTTGTCGGAACCACTGCAACATTGCCCGATCCAAATCTTCAAATTTGGGCTTTCTTAGTTTTTTACTAGAACTGCCTGCCGCTTCAGCCAGAATGATTTTTTCGTTGCACTTCCAAATCGTGGACACACTCGACGGTGTAAGTCCGTATCGAAGTCCCACATCACTTTTATTTTTTCCCCGTCCTATCTCCCTAATTGAAGCAAATTTATCATCTATAGATAAAATTTTTCGCTTGCTCGCCATGCTCGTCGTATTCACCAACTCAAATTAGAATTGATTGAAGCAATGGTGTACTTTTATAACATAATCGCTTATTGCGAGTAAAACACTTAGGACGACCAGGTTTTCGGTAATTTGTTTATTAGGATATGAAAGTCTGAAAAGGTATGGTCTGTTTATAGATATAAGAAAGTGACCAATTGCTTTTGAATGGGATTATCCAAGGGTGCTCATTAAGATACAATGCAACAATATTATTACCAAAAGTTTCGTAATTTAAATTCAGGTAAAATTGTGGTCAACTGTACGGAAAATTGTGAATAAACCCATTTCAGCGAGGAAAAAAAGGAGCGATGCTGACATTTCCTCGAGTGTAGATGTAAGTGATCAAGATATAATACGTCGTAAAATATACCAGTTATACGAGGAAACCTGGTTCGAGACTTATGATACCCCGGAAAAGGGTTGGGTTGACTTAACTGATAAGTGTAAAACGCTTGCTCGCTCTAAAGATGGTTGGATTCCAAATGGACTTTCTCTGTCAGCGGAACATATTAAAGATTCTTCTCTGGATTGCCATGAAGACACCACCGCTGATTAATTGGAAAGTTGGTTCAAAAACCAACTAGTTCCAAACATTCCTCCTAATAGCGTAATTGTAATGGACAATGCAAGTTATCACAGTAGACAGTTGACTAAAACCCCTTCCTCATGTGACACAAGCAACAATCCAAAACTACATGTATAATAACAACATTTATTTTCACGACGGTTATACCAAAAAGTATTTAATTGAGGTTCTACAAAGCTTGAACCTACCAAAGGAATACGTCTGTGATAATTATGCAAAAAATCTAGGGTATACAGTTTTAAGACTTCCACCTTACCACTGTATATTTAATCCCATTGAACATGTTTGGCACCAACTGAAATCTGCCATTCGTCGTAACAATGTTTTCCCCGTGTTAATTCCAATGTGCTCAAACTTATAGAAACCGAAGTTTTTAACATTCCTCCACAAAGTTAGGCAAATTCTGTTAAACATATAGAAAAAGCAGAACAATCTTGTATCCATATTGCAAATAATAATTAGAACAGGTGATGATAGCGATAGCGATACTGCTATATTATGTGCATAATTTTAAGTAATTGAAGTATGTCATAAAAATAATTTGTAATTTTATTTTAGATTGAAACATAAATACATACATAAATAAATATATATTGTTTAGTATCTTTCCTAACAAAACCCCAAATAATTAAATTCTAAGCCAAGTACGGACCTGATCGGCCATATTTCATTCTTACAGCTTGCCCAATTGGTATCAGTTAGTCACTTTCTTATATCTATGAACAGAGACTCTATTAACTACAAGGCGGCCTACTTTCCTTACTGTGCCCGGTGGGAAATTCATTATACAGAGTGAATTAATTCATAGCTTTGTATGGGGACTTAATAGTACAGATTTTGTTCATAATAAAGAGTTTTGCGTTATACAGAGTCTCGCTATAGGGAGTTTTCACTGTATTTCAAGTCCTGAAATTCATTTTGAAACTCTGACGATTTGCTTGTGTTTTTTTTTAATGCCCGTCGAGTTTTCTACGTCCACTTCATTATTCTACACTCTTCTGAAATAGCCGATAAACAATTCTTACACTTACGTCTTATGAGCGCAACGTTAATGCCATTTGCCGTCGGTTGCGCTGATAAAGTGACGTCCCCCGTTAAATCTTTCAACAATATACAGGAAACATCATAAAAAGTCACCAGCAGGAGACTAATTATAGTGCCTGAGTATCCTGAAATCGAGACAAAGTTTCAAGAATTGCTGGGGAACGTATGCCAGGCACTTACGCATTTCAATCCGTTTCTAGGACCAACCAAATCGAGAATGATAAAGCGAGCGTAGCTTTTTTCACATTTTTCGAAACTTTGAGTACTTGTTTTTGTAAATTTTAATTTTGTTATCTTAACGATTGGAATCAGAACACTCCAAAATTGATTACGGTTTGCTACAAGTAAAACATTCCAAAACAAGTGTTAGATATATATATCAAGATGCAGAAATAAGTTCAAACAGTGTGTTTGTTTTAAATCCCGAAAATTCCACCCGTTCGGCCAGTTCGCCATTTTTTGAAATGCGAAGAATGTCAAAAATATGCTTGTATGTTATAGTCTGAATTATCCCCATTTATAATGACATCATTTTAGTTATCTTTATCTTTTAAACTAAAAAAAAAACGGATGTCCGATGGTTATTCGTTTTTTATATATCCCTTGCAACTTGTTCAAGGTTTTTAACAATATATTGCGATACTTTTTTTTTTTTCACTGCAAAACGTAAAGTGAAGTGCCGAATGGCCAGCAAGGTCAAGTAATTAAGAAGAAGAATTATCAGGCGACAGATTAACGTAGTGGTCTTGGCAATTCCAATATTTGAGTTTCCGAAAGGTACGCACGTTTTCTTTACATAATTTAGTGTATTTGACAATATACTTAATCAATTTTTATAAATTGAAAAGAAGGCGGGGATATACGGAGATTAAAAATGAGATAGTCGACAGATCTTGAGCGGACGTGGACAACAAAAATAAAATTGAACTGAGGTGGCTTTTACTTGATGAAAATCCATTTAACAATTTAAATTTAATAATGGTATTTAAATCTAATCGATACATTTAATTTTCTGCTTTTTGTGGCTGTATGTCAAATATCAAAATTGTCATCAAAAATGCGTTTTTCTGTATTTAAATGTGTAGCATAATTAATTTTATACGATTATGTAATGAGTTAATGTAATTTAAAAAAGAATTCATTACATCATTCACGTATCTATACCACCATAGAAAACTTTTACGTAAAGGTTGTTCTAGTATGATATTTTCCAAATTATCCATAAAAATCTCGGCTAACGAAGGATTAAGTGGGTTTCTCATAATCAAACCTTCCTTAGAGATGTAAATCTGGCCATTAAATTCAAAATAATTTTGGTCCAAAGATACTATTAAGCAATCTAATAAATCTTGTTTCACCAATGGGTTAACCTGTTTCCGAGTGAGGGTAAAATCTGCTAAATCTATCACATCCATAGCTGGAATACTGGGAAATAAGTTTTGTGCATCAAAATACAACAGTGTTGGAAGGGATTTTGTTGATTATTTCAAAAGAATTTTTTATTGAAAATTTTGGTTTAAAATCTGTGTGGAACTTTAAAATATTTACTAATTTTGTTGAGAGTTTAACTGCTGGAGCTGTTACATAAGACACGACTGCTCTAACGGGCATATCTTATTTATGTAATGTAACCAAAGAATATAATTTCGGCGGTTGTGGATTCATAATTGTTAAAAAATACTTGTCTTTGTCACTAAATTGTGTGAAGTTGGTAATCACTTCCTCGACTTGTCTTTGATATAACTCGGTAGGATTGTGTTTGTTACATTGGAAAAGTTCTGGTTTAATAAAATTGGTGGTTTTTGAAATATATTCTGGGCGATCGACGTTAAATGGATTTTCATCAAGTAAAAACCACCTCAGTTCAATTTTCAAAAAGAAATCAGTTATTGTATGTCCCACAAGCTTATTATAATATAATTAAAAAATGAAACAAGAGGATTTTATATTAACAAGACTCTTGGAAGAAGCAGTTTACAAAAGATCCAAAAATACCAACCATATAAAATTTTATACACAACAACCATGGACGAGAATGCAGGATTTGAAATTTTTTTAGACCTAAAAAATTTGGGAATATTGTATTGCCATCGTTATATAAAAGTATAAGAAGCATCACATCACTAAAATACCGACACATTGTGGACTTATTGCGGTATATACCTCCGCACCACCATAACTACTTCAAATCACTCCCGCATACTGAGAATGTTAACGAGTAACTTGTTACTGAATTTATTTATATTATCTAAAAATATAATTTAAATGCTTTTTTTTATTTTTTAAGCTATATGTAGCTGTTTCACTTTTTGTAACGAAACAAATTTTTATTTTGAAAGTGACCTAGGTCCTTTTAAGGTAAGCAAAAATTAAGTCACTTTCCAAATGAACGGCTCAAATATAAAAAGGGACAGTCTCATCTTCATCGACTTTACAGTAACCATGGTGGCTCTCGAGTTATTCGAATATTGCAATTTGGTTTCATCTATTGGCCCTCAGCAGTATGAAACGAGCAACTGGGACGTGTTCTTGGCCTTCTCCAAGAAATAGCCGAGCGCTATTCTTTCGGTTATGACGTAATCGTCGATACACGCGATACCATTGATGTTGTGGTGCTGGTATCTGTTGATGTTGTTCTCGACCGTGATGCCCTTGAGTTTGAAATACTGCAACGTATTCTTGAGCAAAGTACAAGAGAAGATGTTGTCTTCGATCGACAGGAACTTGACGCTAGGGACGTTGACGTAGATGTCGTGGGCGTCGAAGATGTACATGCCGTTTCCGCTGACGTCCAGCTTAAGCAAATGCATAAAGGGCAACAGTACGCCTCCGTTCAACATATCCAGGGAATTGTTGGCTATTATTAGGTAGTTTAGGTTCGTCAAGCCGGAGAACACCCCTAACGGGAATCGGGTGAACTTATTGTCAGCTAGATTGAGGCGTCTCAGGAACTTCAAGCTCTCGAAGACTCCCAGCTTCAAGTGGCAAAGCCTGTTGTTGCTCAGTTCCAGTTCTTCGAGGTCGCTCAGCCCTACGAAAGCGTCGACGTCCACTGCGTTGATATCGTTGTTCGACAGGTCTAGTATCAGTACGGATTCTGAGCCTTTGAAAGCTCCGTTCGGTAGCTTCGCTATGAAGTTGTCGGATAGATTCACTAGGTTGCTCTGGAAATCGTTGAGAAATCCGGGTATCAGGGTTTTGAGGGCGTTATTCTCGAGACGTAATTCGTATAGCCGCTTGACTCCAGAGAACGCGTTCTCCGCCACGTGATCTATTCGGTTATTGTGAAGGAAAAGGTATTGCAGACGCGTCATGGCGGAAAAGGCGAGCGGTTTTATTTCTTTGACGCCGCAACCGGACGCGTTGAAAGACGTCAAGCTATTTTGAAACGGGAACGTCTCGTCCGTGAAGGTCGTGATATTGCAGCCGACGCAGACGAGCTTGTAATTTCCGTAATACATCGACGGAAATATGTCCACGACGTTCTTGCAGCGGTAAGCTTTGTCTTCGTTCTTGTACTGGCATTCTTGGGCACGAGTTACCTCGAGAAGCACGATTGTCGATAGACAGAGGACGTTCAAGCTGTTAATTTTCGATAACATCGTCCTAAAAAATTTAGGTCGTCAATTGACGTATAAGTTGGATACATGCACAATTGAAATACTAATATTGCCAAAGTTTGAAAAAATTGTTATCAAAAAACTTTTAATGGCGGGTTACTATTTACAAGTTTTCTGCTGACGTTTTGCCAATCGTCCTGTTGGCTTGTAGAGAGTTTAACTGAAACTTGCTCTCATTTCACTCAGTATATTCCGTCTCAATCTGCATCAAGTTGGCTTTCGACGGACCCACCTCGATAAAATTTTAATGATGTTTTTTACCTAGCCATTAACAAAAAATTTATTCTTACTAAAGTGAAGAGGCAGAGGTGGGTTAGCTAATATTTCTTTATTTCTAATATTTTTTATTTATTTATTTATTTATATTATTTATGTATAATTAACGATTTGATGAAACCTAAAACTCTCTCTCGACACAGTTTACGATGCTGTGCAAATCAAATTATCGCATCTTTAGCAGTTTTACGTTTATCCCCAATAATTTATAAACGACACACCCTGCATATAATTCAAACAATGTTCCAAATAGAGGTTGTAGCTCTGGACCTCCCACGTTTCCTGGTATATGATTATATGATTAAATACTTGTTTTCTGAAACCCTGCAATACGTGGTAATAGTAAATGACGTCCTCGCCTCTAGATTGGGGTCGAGAAATGGTGATTTTCGTTAGGAATTTTCCAAATATCTCGAACAGCGTATGTGATGGACGGAAACCCTAAATACAAAAATTGTAGCTCTTGATACGGCCTGTTATAGCGTTTGGTACGATTAGACATATTCTTCACGAATTTTGATTTAAGATTAATAATTTATTCCCGAAAAAAACAATTGTCACGCTATTTTAGATTTTTGCCCATAATTAAAAAACCCTGTATATAATCGAAAAAATGTGTGAAATTTTGCCGATCGGTTGAACAGTTTTTGAGAAAATCATGTTTTTCTCTAAGCCAAAATAATCAGAGAAAAATTTTCAAATTTTTTAAAAAAATAATCCAGTTTCGATGTGACTACGGGCAGTTTTTTCTTGCCAAATTTGAAAACGGTAGCAACCTATTTGAGTCTCCTATGACGTTTTTGAACAGAGCACAGAATGTCCCGAACACCCTGTACAATATGTGAAAACTTTAAATACAAAAGTTCTAGCTGTCCAAACGGGCAAAATTATCATTATAAAGGAAGCCCAATTTTCAGTTTTTCGCAAATTACCGACGCCCACTGTACATTTTCAAAAAAATATCTAGAATAAAGGTTTTTGGCCCGTACATTGCCCGTCATTTGGTTCATGAATTTTTTCGATCGTACCTACCGACCCGACCCGACCCCCAGCACCCAATATACATCTGTCAAGTTTTAAGTGGATGGCTTCAAATTTCGGACAGTTGTTTCATAGCAAAGTCCAAAAAACAGACGAAAAAAAAAAAAAAAAGATGGACGCCGTGGTTTGAGCGGACCCATTTTTTACTGGTTTGTGTACCTCGTGCACGGCTTAAAAGGAGCCAAACTTGAATGTCGTGCTGCAAACCGTCCAAAAGATATTGCCAATTGATGCCAGGTCTATAGAGACACGGAGAAGGGATAACGGAGAACGGAGAACAGAAAAAAAAAATTCCGACGCTGATCATTTCTGTAGCAATGGCGGTCCGGTAGGCGGTGGTTGCCAAGTGCGTATACGATGAAATCGAATTTTTCGAAAGTAACAAGAAGCTTTAAAAGAAACTTGTCTGCTTATAGTAAATTAGTGAAGGACAACAATGATCGGGACTTAATAAGAAGAAAGAAATATTTTCAATAACGGTGTTTATGTCATTAATAACGCAAGCCGCCAGCCTCATCAACTTAAAAAACTGAAATCCATCAATATTTGTTAGAAAATGATATTTATTTTGAATTTAGTTACAAAAAAGCGCAACTTTCATAGGATTAAACCCATCTAAATAAACAAAAAAAATATTACCAAAACCTTTGAGAGTCCGTCCATAATGTTTTGGACTTCCATAATTGCCGGCAAAAGCCAGCACGATGAAGGCTGAGACAGACTATATATACTAATGTCATCGTATTACTTACCGAAAGAAAAAAAAAACAATTTTAATTTCACCCTGTCCAAAGATGGATACGGATATAGGCGCTCGCACGGTCAAATATCAAAAAACAAATTCCGAAGGCTCCCAAAACAACAACGCCATTGTTACGTGGAAATAACCTTGGATTCACGCATTCGGAATAACATTAATTGGGGCGCAATTTAAATATTTGGGTCATATGCATATCGGTTCAAAATAAAATTTCCAAACCAGATTAATTGATTTCTTATTTCTCTTATTTTAGGTGCCCAAATATTGGCTCCAATGTATTAACAATCGTAAACAAAAATATTGGTACTGTCACGAGTTTTCGTGTTGTCATCGTCAAAGTGTATTCTACTGGTGTTTGATTTATTACCTGAACTATAAAAGAATTCGAAAATTGCCATGCTATTCAATTCGATAACTGAAGAATAGCCAATTAAAATTTATTAAACCTCGGCACATTTGTTAATTATAGCAGCCCCTTCAAAAAGTTATATTACAACTTGGCTACAACATGTACAGGGGAGCCAATATTTGGTCACCTAAAAATTTACCTGGGATTTCCAATGTTAGTCTCCGCAATGCATCACCCGGTATAATTAACATATTTCCATGGCATTTTTTAGATATTGCAAGAGTTTTTTGCCAAAAACTGAATACCGAGTGTTACTTAAAAGGAAAACATAACTAAAACCTTGTGATCGAGCTGGCGGTTTCTACCGCACAAATTGTTTTGTTAAAACGCACTACCAAATAAAAACGGAGAAATTATTAAAAACCGAACACGAGACAATTTTTCACAAATTAACTACGAAAGTTTCGAATCAGAAGATATTTCTGAGAAATTGAAAAGACAGCGAGGAAACATCACTATCGACATGTTTAAAATAGGTCATTTGAGGAAAAAAGAGTAAAGGAAAAGGAAAAACATCCAGAAGACAGCGAAACTTATGAAAAACGCAAAAGACAGAGGAAATTATTAAAAACTCAAAAGACAGAGTAAATTATTAAAAACGCAAAAGACAGAGGAAGTTATTAAAAACGCAAAAGACAGAGGAAATTATTAAAAACGCAAAAGACAGAGGAAATTATTAAAAACGCAAAAGACAGAGGAAATTATTAAAAACGCAAAAGACAGAGGAAATTATTAAAAACGCAAAAGACAGAGGAAATTATTAAAAACGCAAAAGACAGAGGAAATTATTAAAAACGCAAAAGACAGAGGAAATTATTAATAACGCAAAAGACAGAGGAAATTATTAAAAACATAAAAGACAGAGGAAATTATTAAAAACGCAAAAGACAGAGAAAATTATTAAAAACGCAAAAGACAGAGGAAATTATTAAAAACGCAAACGACATAGGAAATTATTAAAAACGCAAAAGAGAGAGGAAATTATTAAAAACGCAAAAGACAGAGGAAGTTATTAAAAACGCAAAAGACGGAGGAAATTATTAAAAACGCAAAAGACAGAGGAAGTTATTAAAAACGCAAAGGACAGAGGAAATTATTAAAAACGCAAAAGACAGAGGAAGTTATTAAAAATTCAAAATACAAAGGAAATTATTAAAAACGCAAAAGACAGAGGAAGTTATAAAAAACGCAAAAGACTGAGGAAATTATTAAAAACGCAAAAGACAGACAAAGTTATAAAAAACGCAAAAGACGGAGGAAATTATTAAAAACGCAAAAGACAGAGGAAATTATTAAACACATAAAAGACAGAGGAAAATATTAAAAACATAAAAGACAGAGGAAAATATTAAAAACGCAAAAGATAGAGGAAATTATTAAAAACGCAAAAGACAGAGGAAGTTATTAAAAACGCAAAAGACAGGAAGTTATTAAAAACGCAAAAGACAGAAGAAATTATTTAAAACGCATAAGACGGAGGAAATTATTAAAAATGCAAAAGACAGAGGAAATTATTAAAAACATAAAAGACCGAGGAAAATATTAAAAACGCAAAAGACAGAGGAAATTATTAAAAACGCAAAAGACAGAGGAAATTATTAAAAACGCAAAAGACATAGGAAATTATTAAAAACGCAAAAGAGAGAGGAAATTATTAAAAACGCAAAAGACAGAGGAAGTTATTAAAAACGCAAAAGACAGAGGAAGTTATTAAAAACGCAAAAGACGGAGGAAGTTATTAAAAACGCAAAAGACAGAGGAAGTTATTAAAAACGCAAAGGACAGAGGAAATTATTAAAAACGCAAAAGACAGAGGAAGTTATTAAAAACGCAAAAGACAGAGGAAGTTATTAAAAACGCAAAGGACAGAGGAAATTATTAAAAACGCAAAAGACAGAGGAAGTTATAAAAAACGCAAAAGACAGAGGAAATTATTAAAAACGCAAAAGACAGAGGAAATTATTAAAAACGCAAAAGACAGACAAAGTTATAAAAAACGCAAAAGACAGAGGAAATTATTAAAAACGCAAAAGACAGAGGAAATTATTAAAAACATAAAAGACAGAGGAAAATATTAAAAACGCAAAAGATAGAGGAAATTATTAAAAACTCAAAAGACAGAGGAAGTTATTAAAAACGCAAAAGACAGGAAGTTATTAAAAACGCAAAAGACAGAAGAAATTATTTAAAACGCATAAGACGGAGGAAATTATTAAAAACGCAAAAGACAGAGGAAGTTATTAAAAACGCAAAAGACAGAGGAAGTTATTAAAAACGCAAAAGACGGAGGAAGTTATTAAAAACGCAAAAGACAGAGGAAGTTATTAAAAACGCAAAGGACAGAGGAAATTATTAAAAACGCAAAAGACAGAGGAAGTTATTAAAAACGCAAAAGACAGAGGAAGTTATTAAAAACGCAAAGGACAGAGGAAATTATTAAAAACGCAAAAGACAGAGGAAGTTATTAAAAACGCAAAGGACAGAGGAAATTATTAAAAACGCAAAAGACAGAGGAAGTTATTAAAAACGCAAAAGACAGAGGAAGTTATTAAAAACGCAAAGGACAGAGGAAATTATTAAAAACGCAAAAGACAGAGGAAGTTATAAAAAACGCAAAAGACAGAGGAAATTGTTAAAAACGCAAAAGACAGAGGAAATTATTAAAAACGCAAAAGACAGACAAAGTTATAAAAAACGCAAAAGACAGAGGAAATTATTAAAAACGCAAAAGACAGAGGAAATTATTAAAAACATAAAAGACAGAGGAAAATATTAAAAACGCAAAAGATAGAGGAAATTATTAAAAACGCAAAAGACAGAGGAAGTTATTAAAAACGCAAAAGACAGGAAGTTATTAAAAACGCAAAAGACAGAAGAAATTATTTAAAACGCATAAGACGGAGGAAATTATTAAAAACGCAAAAGACAGAGGAAGTTATTAAAAACGCAAAAGACGGAGGAAGTTATTAAAAACGCAAAAGACAGAGGAAGTTATTAAAAACGCAAAGGACAGAGGAAATTATTAAAAACGCAAAAGACAGAGGAAGTTATTAAAAACGCAAAAGACAGAGGAAGTTATTAAAAACGCAAAGGACAGAGGAAATTATTAAAAACGCAAAAGACAGAGGAAGTTATAAAAAACGCAAAAGACAGAGGAAATTGTTAAAAACGCAAAAGACAGAGGAAATTATTAAAAACGCAAAAGACAGACAAAGTTATAAAAAACGCAAAAGACAGAGGAAATTATTAAAAACGCAAAAGACAGAGGAAATTATTAAAAACATAAAAGACAGAGGAAAATATTAAAAACGCAAAAGATAGAGGAAATTATTAAAAACGCAAAAGACAGAGGAAGTTATTAAAAACGCAAAAGACAGGAAGTTATTAAAAACGCAAAAGACAGAAGAAATTATTTAAAACGCATAAGACGGAGGAAATTATTAAAAACGCAAAAGACAGAGGAAGTTATTAAAAACGCAAAAGACAGAGGAAATTTTTCGTCAAACGCTGTTTTCTTCGCATTGGTTCGATTGAGAAAAAGTCCAAGGTTGTCTGTATATTCAGTTGCCCACTCATAGTACCAGCTTCTACAGATTGCTACGGTTATAGATAAGCAGAAACAAAAATTACGTACAACTGTCGACCTGAAATCGATCTATTGATTTTAATATCGGTTTTTCGACGTTATCGTCCCAATTTTTTGTAGCGAGTGCCTCGATGACCTGGTAGTATATTATCATGCGTCAAAAATTGTTGCTGATCATAGAGCTAGCCATTTTGTGCGTAAGTTGCCGTGCGGAGATGATTTCGTACGAGGAATTCCTGGGCAATAAGTCAGGTACCATTTTGTGGGGCGTTCCGGGAGGTCCGTCGATAAACCATCTGGTCCGCGCCGCTAGTTGTCCCACGGGACGCCTGTATGTAAACGGATTATGCAGAATAAAATTCGATTAACGATAAAGCACGCCTGTGATTTTATTTAAGCTTTATAAAAAAAAATACACGAGTCTATATTTCCAGGTTGTTATTGTTCCTGTTGTCTATTTAAAACGCGATCCAAAGTCGTCAGCAAATTTGAGTGCCATTCGAAAACAACACTCAAGTTGGTAAAAATATCTAAGGATCCACTTAATGGCCCGATAAGATACTGGCAGGACTTGAAAACAAATCATTTCCCAGCTAAGCGACAGCGACGATGGACATGTATACACAGGGTAAGTTACGTTTGGGTTAAAGCGAAATTATGAAAATATTACGATTCCAGCCGTGTTCTGCGCCATTTTGTTGTCGCTTTTCGTATCCGCGCATGCGATAACATGGACCGACACCACCGGGACGGTAACGCTTTACGGTGAAGAGTTCCAAAATGGTTTGCTGATTTCCTTACAACGAAGTAAGTTTCGATACGAAAAATAATTTTTGTTGGTTGAAAATTATTTGAAGATCAAGAGTATCATCAACTTTGCGTTTCCAGAGTTTTGGTTATAGGGATACGTCTCCTTAAAGTTGCTTTATCCGCATCGCCATTTATTGTTTGAGGCTCAAAAGATCAACTTAACGGATTCTCTAGTGTTAAGTTACTTTATCTATTGTGACATTTTATATGGCCCATGCCTAGATAAAACTGACACGTATAGAATTGAGAGAGTACAAAAAAACTGTTTGCGGTTAATTTATGGTATAAGAAAATATGATACAGCCTCACACAAACTACAGGATGCTAAGTGCTTGAACATTCCGGTTGTTTAGTGTTCTTTTTCTCTTGGTCTCTGTTCTTTGTATGCGTTTCATTATATAAGTGTTCTGCATTCATATTTTTTGATTCCAGGTTCTGTAGCTTAGTAGCTAGTCTTAATTTATACAGTAATTGGGTTGATTCATGGTTCAGACTTTCAAGGTTGTATTTTACTTCGATTATTTTGTCTTGTTGGTCTTGTGATTTTATTTTCTGTTCTTTCCTCCTATAGTTTACTATTACCTTTGCCATTACTACATGGCGGTCTGACCTGCATTCTAATCCGCGATTTGAAAAACAAAACGTCTCGATTTCAGACGGAGTGTCCAAATTGACAGGCCAATTCGGCTCGTCGACGGGATACGAAATAACACCGATAGCGAACGGTTTCGAAGTAAGATGGACGACGAACGATTTAAACACAATCTTCGAGGATCGATACGACCTCAACATCGGTTCGGTAAATTGGTACGGGGGGCCCCAACGATACGAACAGAACTGGCCCATCGAGAAGATGTCCCTTAGCGGGGACGAAGCTTACGTCATCAAGAAAACCGATAACTTCGGGGTGGCCGAAAGGTACTGGTTAAACTCCAAGGGCGCGTACATCTACCTCGACGAAGAAGTGCCTCTGTTTGTCGACCACAATAGCAGAACCGGTGGATCCGTGTATTTCACCGCCAAAGTAGCCGAACCCTACGTCAACCGAACGAGAGTAAGGACACTTATAAAATAGTAATCTGGACAAATCCATCTCGAACAATCCTTGCAGATCAGTTAGTTAGCGACTTAACAAACACCCGCGCAAGAGCATTAGTTAATAGTAAGCTTTCGTCAATTGCGTTTCTGTGTGTTATTCTTTGCAGTAGGTAACGTCTAAAATGGACGTTAAAAAAAGAAAAATGGAGTCAGAATGTCGGGTTATTAAAGAAGACTAGACGTGGAAATATTTCTTTACTTTATTTAAAGAAAAACCTGTGTGCTTACTGTTGCAGTTTTAAAAGAATATAACATTCAACGCCATTTCAAGAGCAAGCATGAAAACCACTCCTACTCTTCGTTATGTGAAAAGGTGAAAAAAATTAAATCGAAAGATTTTATAAAAAAAAAATATCAAGTGAACAACAATTGTTTCAGAGAGCTAATCGTTCTCAAAGATGGGCTGCGAAAGCCAGTTATGTGTTGGCTTATAATATTGCTAAATCTAAATAAAGAAGTTGATGCAAAATTTCAACTAGAGTTAATAGAACTGAACTGTAATACTCTCCTGAAACAAACTTTTCATACAGTACCATTATTAGAATTTTATAAAAGTTTAAGTCCAGATAATTTCCCAAACCTAATTACTCATGCCATGAAGATAATGACAATGTTCGGCTCATCATATATATGCGAACAAATCTTTTCAACAATGAAGCTCACGAAAACTTCTTTATGAAACAGAATCACAGATGAGTTTTAAGAATTTCTGCGTCGCAAATGGAACCCGACAATGATGAAATTTTGATAAAAAAGTCTGTAATAACACCAGAAAGCAAAGTAATAATACTTCACATCAAGAACTACTCTAAATTCATTTTGCTTTTGCTTTTTTATTGTTAAAATAATAAGTGTAACACATAATTTTTTTAACGATTAAGCATTATTCTTTGGCCCGCTACGATCGTCAAGTTATTAAAAATAGTTTCCCCACGACTGCTTCAGGTGATACTCTCGTACAAATTAATCGCGAGGGACGATCCCAAAGAGGCCCATCTGGACGCCATTAACAACTACCTGGGCAAACCGGTCGGACATCCGGACGAGAGGATGATCAGGGAACCCATATGGACCACCTGGGCTCAATACAAACGGGACATCAGCGACAGCGTGGTTATTCAATTCGCCGACGAAATCAGAAGTCACGGTTACGACGGCGGGCAAATAGAAATAGACGACCAATGGGAAGTAAGTTCAGCTTTCAAAAAGCTGCATCTTCATGGTAGTCCGGTTAATATAATATATAATAAATCCCACTTCTGAATCCCACTTCTGATTCGATTGACGCATCGCAGTTCGATGCGGGTAATTGAATGTTCAAGTGCAATTCGATCTCGTAAACGTTATCGGTAGGGAATTAACACTAAAGGGAAAAAGATTGATTTAATCACTACGTTCTTTTCTTTTGTTCACTAATTCACTTATATTTTCTTGAATCCTCTACTACATTCATACATATTCAACGGAAAAATTAGTGATTACTTTCCATTCTGGACACTAAAATTTATATTAAATCATTATAAATTAAATCATGGTATAGCGATAGGGCTCAACTATGTTGTTGTTGAAATTTTGGTCTCGCTGGTTGATAAATAACCAACTTTTATTACTGATTTTAGGTCGCTGGTGGTTTTGCTTACTTTCTTATACTATTCTGACATTGTAGAAGTTCTTCTGCCGTGTTGTCTAGAGTAAGAATTCCATTTAGGCTTGCCTTCTTGGCAATAATGACGTATTTGATTTTCTTTATGTGTAACATTTAGTTTTCGCAGAAGGGTTTGCTTGTCATCGTCAAGCTTATCTGTAATTGTAACGGTACGGTCAGCATAGTAATGGCGCTCATCGATAGCTACGATGAAAATCATCCTTTCTTCGTACCATTAGAGTATAACTATTACGGCATCTTCGAGTGTCATTATTTCTCTTACTGTACTTTTTTTCGGATATGTTGGGATCTTAAGATTTTATTTTATTTTTTATATCATTTCATAATATGTATGAAAAAAAAGTCTTATTTCTTGGTAGACATGAGAATAATATCTATTACATCCCCAACTTCAGTGAAAGTTATATCATTAAAGCCAAAAGGTCCCCCGAGTAGCGTTTTAATTAGATTATCATTGGCTTTTCTCTTAGTCACTTCCAATAGGTCTCGATAACGATTTTTAAAGGTTTTATAGGCTTTATAGGTTAGACAACAATATAAGTGTGCCCCAGGGCACGATTTAGGCAGAATTTTGAAAAAATCCTTGAACAGGAAGACGCAGAAGATACGGCTCCATAAACTTTTGTTCTTGACAATTTTTTAAAAATATACAGGGTGCGCAGCAAATTCAAAAAAGCTGAAAAATGGGTGAATCAGATCTCACTTTCTTTTATATTGCGATATGGCCCTTATAGACAGCAAAAACTTTTGTATTTAAGGTTTTCACCTATTGTACAGGGTGTTCCCGAAATTTCGTGTTAAATGAGAAACGTGTTAAGTGTCCTAAATTTGCAGATATCAACTTCAAATTCGGCAGAGAAGTAAAAGTCCGTGTCCATATTTAAACCATAGAAATTGGTCGCAATCAAATTTTTCCAAGTAATTTTTAAAAATTTGTGAAATTTTTATTTTTCTTAGGTTAAACTATATTTTAAATGCTAAATGCGTCAATAAGAATTTTAATTTAATTTGCAGGCGCACTACGGCGATCAAACCTTCAAAACCGACATCTTTACCGACATCAACCAGACGGTCCGAACGCTGAAAGACAAAAATTTCAGGGTCACGTTGTGGGTCCACCCTTTCGTGGACGACGACTCCGTCAACGTGGAGGAGGGCAAAAGCAAAGGTGCGTAACGTATTCCTGCGAGTGTCTCGTTCTCCAATCTGCTCGGTGTTAGGGTATTTCGTGAAAAATCCATCCGGAGACACCAACGCCGTCTGGTGGGACTCGAACGACGCCCATCAAATCGACTTTACCTACACGGAAGCGGCCGCTTGGTGGTCTGCCAGACTGAAATCCTTGCAAACCGATTACGGTATAGACGCGTTCAAGTTCGACGCTGGTGAAACCAATTACGTCAACCAGGTATTAAAAGCAGTCGAAGGTATTTCAGTTGAATGCTGTTTCTTAAATGATAGCCGGCAGTTTACGAGCACGTCGAAGATGTGGAACAGATCCCGAATATCCTGACCAAGTCCTACATCGAAACGTGCGAGCAATTCGGCAACCTGATTGAAGTCAGGGCGTCCTGGAGGTCAGACTAGCGACTCGTTTAAACCATATGATGGTAATTTCGTGTTGCAGAACCCAGGCGTCGTCCCACTTCATACGGATGCTGGATAAAGACTCGAACTGGAGCTACAACAACGGTCTTCCGACCTTAGTCACCACGTTGTTGCAGATGAATCTAAACGGCTACGTTCTGTAAGTAGCACAACCGCAGACTTACGACATAACGCTCTTAGTTTTGTCATTAAACGTATATTAACAAAGAAAATGTAATTCGAAAACATCTTCTTCTTTGCTTTCGTGGGCATGTTAACTAAGGACATTCGCCCATAATAATTCTTATTAACAATACTTTCTCTTTTTAAACTCGAAGGATTTTTAGCATATATTTTACACCCCACTTGGCTAAATTCTTGGCTTATTTGTTATTTGTTTTAGATTTTTACATTTAGCGACATCAATTTGGGATGCTCAAATACTTTTCTAACTTCGGCAAGCACAAAAACTAAAAAATGGCAGAAATAATTATCGGAACTCGAATAAAAATGAGGTTACGACCATAGACAAACTACTGTCTTCATATTGGTCAGTTGCTATGCCATGCGCATAGATAAGAGTTGTCGGTTATTTATCTAGTCTAGTTGAATGTTGGTCAGTTCATAAAATTGTTTAAAAGGAAGACCAAAAAAAGGGGAAATTATGCGCGAAATATATTATATATAAACTTTAGGAATAAATTTTAGGAATACCTACTTAGTTCTTCGATATTACGTGGGTTAAATGTTCTGTTTTAAATTAGGGTGCTTCCTGATATGATCGGAGGCAACGGATACAATGGGGAGTCACCGACGGGTGAAATGATCATCAGATGGGCTCAGGCCAATACGTTCATGCCAGCCATGCAGTTTAGTTATTTGCCGTGGAATTTCAAAGACTCCGGAAACGGCGTAAGTTCGTCGAGACTATATTAATTTTTATCTTCGTACACTACAAGCACTACAGTTTTTTTTCTCAAAGAAACTTCCAGACCACTGCAATACTATTTACAAATTTTCTTGCATTCTGACGTTTCGCCAATCGTCCTCCTTCAGAGTTTAATTGAAACTGAAAAAAAGATTCTACTTCACTATGGAACGCATCCACAGTGTTGCCAAACTTTTATATTTATTCGATTCAGCCTGGAAAAAAACTAAAAAAAAATCGCAATGATTTCAAAGTATGCGGTTATAAAATTCACCTTCTCTTCAATATTCACAGCGAAAATTTAATCGCTTGAAAAACGTCTAGTTTTTTAGTGGTGGTGGTTTGTTTCGTTGTTGTCAAATACGCTAGCCCCATATTTAAAAAAAAGCCGATAACGAAACTCCTTGTTTTTAAGTATGTACCAGTAAGTATCTACGACATCAAAACATGATTTATAGCTATGCCAAATTTTTAAATTTAGTTTACATGGTTCCACATTTTTTTTAATAATTTATAATAGTAATTTATCTGTATTTTCCACAAATTTTTGTGTAAGGATACAAATTTTATGTACACATATTATACACCTGTAATGTGCGTTTTTGTACTCCATTGTTGCCATAGCCATTAATATAAATATGTATATGATGTAAGAAAACTAGGCGGCAACGTTGGACCGCGGTCAAACAATTACAGCTTTCCAATTGTTAATGACAAATATCAAAACGACGTCAAAGAAGTTCGCTAATGGCTTTAATCGTTCTAATTTTTTGGTTCAGTGTGGTTATTTTTAGAAATTATTATTTATTTATTATTACTAGCATTAATAATAATCTTGTTGCATTGTATGTTAATGACCACCCTTGCATAATCCGTTCAAAAGCAATTGGTCACTTTCTTATATCTATGAACAGACCATACTATAAACTTCTGATTCAGTGTGAATCTTGGTTTGTTTGGTTAGTTTTGGCGAAATTTATTTGTCGTAATCTCTCCCATGTCCTGTTAGCTTAATTATATAGATATTTTTCAAAAAGTTTTGCACTTATACCTGCATAACGAGCAGTTTGGAATAAATCCCACTTCTGATTCAGTATGAATTTTGGTTAGTGAGAATATCGACGAATGGGAGATTATTTTTAATTAGTATAATAAATGAGGACGAATCAAGAAGATTTGCAAAAACTTGAGGACTTAAAAAGGGGCTTACGCCAGGGCCACACAACATAAGGCCACTAAAGATATAAAGAAACCTTTAAGTGTGGGGTGCTGCCATCTATTTTAAAGTTTTTTAGTAATTTTCCGGAAGGAGAAACACAACAATTTATCTTTTCAATAGCGTTTGCTTATTGCTTTCTGCATTTTATTTGTGTAGAAATAAACCAGTATTTTGTTATTTTCCGTTATTGTCTTGTTGAGTTGTTGATACTTCTATTAGAGAAAGAGGAGATCAAACTGAGCAACAATGAATCGAAGTTATACATTTACCGTCCTCTGTTGAAACCACTTCGGGTGCCACCTCGCGGTAGGTTTCCGAACTAAATCCGGTCTCGTCATCGGGTTGCCTAAAAACGCATACATTTTGGATGTTTTAATAAATTATTTATGCGTAGTACGACGTCGAGGCCGTCGTAAAAAAATACGTGGACCTCCACGCCCGGTATTCTCCGCAAATTGTCGAAGCGATGGAGAAAAGTATCGCTACTGGCGAGCCGGTCAACAAACCCATTTGGTGGCTGGATCCGACAGATTCGATCGCCTTGGCTAACTTCGACGGTAAGGGTTTCGCGTATCCTCGTTTGAGTATTCTGATTTGGTCGTTGTGTTTGCAGAATACTTGCTGGGTGATGACGTTTTGGTTGCCCCGGTGTTGGTAGAACACGCGACCTCCAGATCGGTCTATCTCCCGAAGGGAAATTGGACAGATGCGAATGGGGTCGGATACGTTGGGCCAGTGTCTATCGACAATTACGCCGCTCCCGTGGATGTACTTCCTTATTTCATCAGGAGCAGCGCCTAAATTGTACTTGTTGTAAATAAATAAGTTACATATATATTGGAGTATCTTATACATTAGCTATTTATGTGGTAGGTAAATAATATGTATTTGTGTGTATACTTAAATCTTTATTTTACAATTTTACCATATTTTCTATTTTTTTTTCATCTTGCAAAGATTTTCTTTTTAGACTAACGTTATATTTTGCTTTTAAATTTCTGAAGTTCAAACGAATTATCGTTCTCAGCTTACAAAAAGCGCTAACTAAATGGTAATTCTTTTCCTGTTTTAAATATTTTTTTACTAAGTTTTTTACCACCCCTTGCCCTTTTCGAAACGAATCACCATGATGGGATTCAAAATGAAAGTTCGAGAACTTGCTTTTTCATCGAAATAGTTGTCATTGCACTCATACATGGCACATCTCGTTCCAGGCATACCTAACTATTTTTTAATGTAACTTATTCCACTGGAAAAGGTAAAAGAAATGTATTCCTTACCTTTACCTATATTGTTATGTGTAATGATTTGAGCTTACCTCCTAACTAATAACACCGCTAATAAGCAGCACGAATACAAAACTTTACAATTTTAAAGAATTTGTTAAAGCTTAAAAACACTGTTTTTTCCAAGTTTTTTTTTACAGAAATACAATTTACAAAAAACATAAGCGCCCTACTCACTAGTAGATTGGGCAATCCTAATAGGTTTACGATTCTTGGACCTCGCCTGATAATTCTTCTTCTCATTACTTAACACCAATAGCCATTCGGCACTAAACTTGGTTATGTTTCTGCATTATACGTGGTGTGTTGAAAAAGTAAGGTGATTTTTGTGATTTGGCAGACTACGTATATGTCCAGTCAGTTTGCACTTTTTTTTGTGAGAGAAAAACGTTAGGCGTGTGTGCTCGTCGATTTTCTGCTGTCACATAAAATGGAACAAAGTATTTGCTCATGTTTTTTAGACTTCGACTTGGGTCCCACACAGCAAAGGAGTTCCGCAACTTGCTTCTTCATTTTTGGTGGGCCCATCTACTCTGGACACTCGCCCATTGCTAACTTCCTCCAAGAATTTACCAGAGTAGCACAAGTGGCGTTGCATTGGTCATTCGCCAAGCACAGAACATTGATACTTACGAAGCTACATGTGCTTCTATTTAAAACATCGAAAGGTTGTCCTTCGAAATCTTTTTGTTCTTAAACTTTATTGCTTATATAACTCAAGCCAGATTCGTGTTTTGTGCCAATCAACCAAACAATTGTATTACATTAAAAAAGCAAAATATTGAATATGAAATATTTATCGTTCGACTAAAAGGTTAGATCCATGGGTTATTTATTTTTAGGTAGTTTTAATTCTATACCTAAAATATTCAATCTATTCTGGACACTCTCCCATTGCAAACTTTCATTAAAGATTAACCATAGAAGCAAAGGTGCAGAACATCCTCTTCTTCTTAAGTTAAGCATTCGTAATTCGCCAAGCACAGAATATTGATACCTACGAAACGAATGGAAGCGGAGAGATTTTGGTAGCGAAATGTGCGGCCATTAGCAACATCGAAAGGTTGTCCTAAATCTTTTTGTTCTTAATCTTGCTTGTATGAACCAAGGCAAGTTCATGTTTTGCGTCAATTAATCAGTCAATTATATTAAATTAAAAGAGCCAAATATTAAATATTGAATATTTATTGTCCTTCCAAAAAGTTAGACCCAACGATTATAAACTAACTTTTTTATATATAGGTAGCCCTCAATTCTATATATAAAATATTCAAACTAGAAAAAAGCATTAATAACCATAGTTAACCAGTTTTTAATTGGCATTGCCAACTTCCATCAATGATTTACCAGAGTAGTAACGGTACAGAACATGCTCTTCTTTTGTGAAGAAATGCCAAACGTCGGCCATTCGCCATGCACAGAACATTTTTACTAAGTAAGTTAGTTTGTAAAAAATACAGTTTTTTAATTTATAGAAACTATAGACCTTTCCACCAATTAATTGACTGTGGACCTCAGCGTAACCTAGAAATATTTCTTTTCTTCTTCTTTCCACAATTGACGTAACGTCGGGCAAGTTTAATAGGGACGCTCGCCCATTGCCGACTACTATAGAGAATTTACGACTTTTTTTACCTAGAGCTGCAGCACAGTACAACGGTACTTGATGAGGACGACTATGCACTTCTTTTCTTTACGTAATGTTGGGTAAATGTATTAAGGACGCCGGCCCATTGCCAAATAATATTGAGAAGTTACCACATTATAATTGTATCCTTTTTTCGGGCTTTAGTAATCGCTTACCAAGGAAAAAAGTATTCTGCGTGCATCAATCAAACGATTAGATTAAAAAAGAGCATTTATTGCGACAAATGACAAAAGCCTAGTTACGTACACGAGGGGAAAAAAATCACGCAAAGGAATGAATCACCAATAAATTAAGAAGCCACTACGTTCACTTTTTCTTCTTCTTCTTTTCGCTGGCGCCGCCGCCCATCGATTCGTTCTTCCTCTTTTGCGCCGACTTGGACATTGCCTGATTCGTCGTTCCGCTAATGGAACCCATCTTGGGAGTCTTCTTCTTTTTCTCGTTCTTCTCCCTTTCCTCTAGTTCCGCGTTTTCCCGCTCGATGAGCGTGATCAGCGTGTTGCAACGTCTCTGTAGTTCCATCGCCGTTCGTGACTTCAAAAACCAATCGAATCTGAACTGGGGAGACGCACGTACGGCCGCCCTCAACTCCTCGTAAACGTTTTCTCTGTCGAATCCCAACTTATGGAGCATACAGACTAAAAATCTGTCTTCTTCCTCCATATAGTTTTTACCTTTGTTGTTACCGTACGAGATTCTTAGTTGATGGAAAGGGGCGCGGTATCTGCAACGATTTATTTGCCACAGTGACCTACGTTACCGACCCTGCGACTTTTTTTATATATTTCAAAATGGAACGCATTGTACGGTTTTTTCAAATTTCATAAAAGGAAATATATTAGTGTCATATTTTATAATTTACTATTATTATTACAGTTTTTTATGAGTTTTATATGAATTAAAGGTTCCTGTTTTGAAAATGTTTTCTTTTTCTTAAGAACTACGATAAAATATGTGATATGTATGACGTGACGAGATATATTTTTAAACAAATAAAAAAAACTATTATCATATGTCCTTTTAAGATTCGTTTTTTTTCTGACATTTAGAATATTTGCTCTAAATCTTATCTACTTTTGCTTTTGTTAAGTAAAATTATAATATGAGTAAAGATTTTATATTTTACGAATTTCTGATAACCGATTCCACCGTGTCAAAATAGATAACCACTTTCAAATACGATTATTTTTCTTGGAAAAAATTAAGGGCTTAAAAATTTGCAATTTTGAATACTAATTCAATTTGAATTAGTTGTACTAGTTATGGAATTTGAGTTATAATTTGTATCAATTAAAGAATGAGTTGTATTACTAGTTATGGAATTTGAGGTATTAATTGTTGAATTAGTAGTAACAGTCCAGGAATTAGTTGTGTAAGTAAAGGATCGAGATATTAGTAGAATTAGTTGAGGATTTGTGAAATCTGTGGTAATAGTCGAGGTATCAGTTGTGGAATTAGTAGTAATAGTGCAGAATTTAATTATTTTAGTTAGCTTGCTTAAAAAAAAACCTCCTGCTTTATAAATCCCCATTAATATTATTAGTGCCATTAGTTAATGAATTTGAGGTATTAGTTGTGGAATTACTAGAAACAATTCAGAAATTATTCATTTAATTAAGTTTATTTGAAAAAAAAACACTTCTGCCCTAATTTATAAATGAGATATTGTTCGTGGATTTACTAGTAATAGTCTAAGTATTAGTTAAGCAATGACTTATTAGTAGTATTGGTTAAGGATTTTAAACTATTAATCGAGTTTTATTAGTTAAGGAATTTCAGGTAATGAAATTACTAATAATAGTCGTATCAGTTCAGGAAATAGAGGTATTAGTTAAGGAATTTGAGGTATTAGTTGGAGAATTAGTAGTTATCGTCCAGATAACTTAGTTAAGTGACTTGGAAAAAAAGACCTCTGCCCTAACTTATAAATCAGAGCCTCATTCCTATTATGTTGTATTAATTAATTAATTAATTAATTAATTAAGGAAAATAAAGGATTATTCGTGTAATTAGTAGTAATAGTCAAGTAGTTGTGTTAGTTAAGGAATTTGAGATATTTAGTAGTGGAATTAATAGTAATAGTCGTATTAGTTCAGAAGACTGAGGTATTAGTTAAGGAATTTGAGGTATTAGTTAGGGAATTAGTAGTTATAGTCCAGATATTATTTCTTTTAGTTAAGTGTCTTGGAAAAAAAAGACCTCTGCCCTAACTTATAAATCAGAGCCTTGTTCCTACTATTAGTTGCATTAGTTAGTAATGCCATTAGCTAAGGAATCTGAAGTATTAGTAGTAATATTCCAAACCTAAGTAGCATTACTCCACCCTATTCGACACGACTTACCTCGCCATCTTCGCGTCCAACGCGCGCTTAATGCTCGCCCTCCTCTGTATCTTCGCCTCGCCCCTCTCGATCTGCGCCATGATCCTGTCGATATCCTGCAATTCGTGGCAACGTTCCCAGAACACCGCCGAATACTCCATCACTTCCTCGGGCGTCTTCCCCTCCACCTCCTTGGCGATGTTCTCGATATCGTCCCTGCCGTACTTCTCGTTCGCCTTTATGAACTGATTGAAGTCCCTCTTGCTCCAATTGGTGAAGCCCTGCGTCAGCAACGTCTCCTTCTCCTGCTGCTCGTCTTCCGTCAACGCTTCCGAATCGTCGATCTTCCTCTGCTCCTCCCGTTGCTGTTTGCTCGCGTCCGGGCCCAACTCCAAATTCTTCGGAACCTTGTAACCCAACGATTTACGGTAATAGTAGATCTCTTGGTCCAACAGTTCGAACAGTCGCGGCGGAAAGAATTGAAAATCTTGCACGATCGGTTGTTTGGGGGGTCGGGGCGCTTTCGGCGCTTTCGGTTCCGAAACCCTAAGGGCTTCCCTGAAATACGCGTCCACCGCGTAGTTCGCTTTGCGTTCCCGTTTCGGCGGCTCGATCCAATTGCTGATCCCGATGGTTTTTTGTTTCTCGCGGTAATCCTCGCCCTCGAACTGGTACACCGACTCCGTGGGCGTGTCGACGGTGAAATTGCGAAGGGACGACTCGCCAAGAGATTCCATCTTCTGCGCAAACTCGGCCGTCTGCAATGTGCGACGTTTCGCGATAAATATCACAAATAAAACACAGCAAAGGAAGTGTCATTTACAAATCTTGGGAATTAATGGTAATAGTGGAGGAACTGGTAGTAATAGTAGAGGTATGTGTTGGATTAGTCGAGGAATTTGAGATACTAGTAGTAGAATTAGTATTAGTTAAAGAATTAGAAGTAATAGTCGAGCTTTTAATTGTACTAGTTAAGGAATTTGAGATACTAGTAGTAGAATTAGTATTAGTCAAAAAATTAGTAGTAATAGTCGAGGAATTAGTTGTATTAGTTAAGAAATTTGAGGTATGAGTTGTATTAAAGAATTTAAGGTACTAGTAGTAGAATTAGTATTAGTCAAAGAATTAGTAATAATAGTCGAGGAATTACTTGTATTAGTTAAGAAATTTGAGGTATCAGTTGTACTAGTGCAAGAATTTGAGCTACTAGTAGTTGAATTAGTATTAGTCAAACAATTAATAGTAATAGCCGAGGTACTAGTTGCATTGATTAAGTAATGTAGTTCGTAGTAATAGCGAAGGTATTAGTTTTATTAGTTAATTAATTTGAGGTATTACTTAAATTAGTTAAAGAATTTGAAGCACTAAAGTAGAATTAGTATTAATCAAAGAATTAGTGGTAATAGTTGTGGTGTTAGTTAAGGAATTTGAGGTATGAGTTGTATTAATTGAAGAATTGGAGGTACTAGCAGTAAAATTAGTATTAGTCAACGAATTAGTAGTAATAGTCAAGGTATTAGTTCCATTGGTTAAGGAATTTGAGGTATGAGTTGTATTAATTGAGAAATTTCAGGTACTAGTAGTAGAATTAATTATTAGTCAAAGAATTAGTAGTCATTGTCAAGGTAACAGTTGTATTGATTTAGTAATTTAAGGAATTTGTGTTATTAATTGTATTACTTAATACATTTGAAGTATTCGTTGAGGAATTAGAAGTAATAGTAATAGTCAAAGGGACTACAGAGTGACTAAACGAATAGTTTCTTTGTTTGCGTGGAGGAATTTTGGTCTACAGATCTTGGGAATTAGTGGTAATAGTAGAGGAATTGATAGTAATAGTCAAGGTATTAGTTTTATTAGTTAAGAAATTTGAGGCATTAGTTGAATAATTAGTTGTAACAATCGAGGTATTGCTTGTTGTTGTAGTACTAATACAACACCGGTAGATTGGGGAGGAATCCGGAAATGTACTCGCTCAAGGGCAAACAGGCTCTAATTCTTCAAAAGTATATGAAATCATAAAATAAAATAAATAAAATCAAAACAAAAGAACAAAATAAACGTTATTTGGTTTCCAACAGTTGTATTAGTTAAGGAATTTAAGTTAATAATTGTATTAGTTAAGGAATTTGAATTAATCGACGAATTAGTAGACAAGAATTTGAGGTACTAGTCTAGGAATGAATAGTAATAGAGTAGGTATCAGTTGTATTACTTAAAGAATTTGATTTAGTAGTTGTATTAGTTAAGGAATTTCAGGTAATAGTCAAAAAATGTATATCAATAGTCGAGGTATTGTTTTAGTTAAGGGATTTGAGTTATTAATTCTCTTAGTTGGGAATATAAGATACGCACAGAGTAGTAGTGGTAGTCAAAGTATTAGTTGTAATGAGTTGAATTTGAGGTATTAAAAAAAATCCTTAGAGGTAAATTGAATTCTGGACTTGTTGCATTTTTGACTGATATGCTTATATAAAATGCTTTTGAAAAATTTTCAACTCCGGGACCTAGTCTATTAGCCACAAGCATAAGTGGATGAACTCAGCAGTCTTTATAAAAAGTGCAGGTAAGTTCTATACCTTACCAGGTGAATAATACATAGGTTACGTACTTTTTTCTAATAAAATAACAAAAAGTTATTTGTATTTGTTAAAAAAAATCGACAAACTGTTCAAGCTAAAGACTGGTGATGAACTAGTGATTTTAATTGGGTAGTAGTAAAATTTTCAGTATTTTTATATACTTAAGGTTCCAATTTTTAGATAAATTAGAAAAGCTTATATATAATATATAATATAATATAATAAAAAATGTTCGTAAAGGAAATAAGAACATTAATATGCATTAAAGCAATTAGTAACCTAAAATGACAAATTTAAACGCATTACTAGGAACTAATTATTTGATTTCATTACAGAATGTTTGTTTGCAAGTTCATACAGCCCCTTACTGATTGACTTGATGATTTTACTGATTTTATTTTAATGTATACTTCGCAATGCTGTTTATATATCATCAAAAATATGTTTCCAATGGGCGACACCGAGACTAAGAGACCATATAATATAATTTACCTTCGCCTCCCCTTTCTCGAGAATGGTGTCGATGTCTTCCTCGGTAATTTCCGAATCTTTGGAGGCGAACACGTGGTTCGCCCCGTGACGAATCATGCTGAGCATCTCGTCCTTGTTCAAACTCTGCGCCTTCGAGTCGGCCAGCCGACCCTGCTGTATCACCAATTTGTCTAGTCGGAGCTTCACCTCGGCCCTCTCCACGATTTTCTCTTCGACTGTGTTTTCGGTTATGAATCTATTAAAAACAAAAAGTGACCAGATGTCTATTTTTTTATTTATTTATCTATTCTCCTTTATCGTGTAAAAAGATGGGAAACATTAACACAGACAACGTCCACACCTAAATTCCAATCAACATAACAAATTAAAAGCGTTAAAAATCGAAATTGAAGCTGTTACCATTGACCACTTCTTTTTCAAATCTATAGCAATCATTTATATTTATTATATTTATATATATTATATATTAGGTCAAGAAATTAGTATTATTAGCTGTATTAGTTAAGGAACTTCAGTTATTAGTGGTATTAGTAAAGGAATTAGTAGTAATGATCGAGGAATGAGTAGTAATAATCAATATATTAGTTGTATTGGTTAAGAAATTTGGGGTATTGTAGAATTAATACTAACAGACGAAGCATTACTTGAGTAATTTTAGTTATTAATTTTATCAGTTAAGGGATTGACGGTATTAGTCGAGAAATTAGTAGTAATAGTAAAGATATTAGTTGCACTGGTTTAGGAATTTGAGGTATTAGTTGTGGAATTGTGGAATTGGTACTAATTAACTGCATTATCTAAGGAATTTAAGGTATGAATCGAGGATTTTGTTGTATGTATTTGTTGTATTGGTTCAGGAATTTGGGGGATTAGTTGTGAAAATAGTAGCAATAAGTAGCAAGTAGCAAAAACATCCCGTTATGCCACACATCATTTCTTGAAGCCACTTTTTAACGAACTTGCCAGAGGGTTAAGATCATTGCCATTTACGCGTACTAAATACAAAATAAAGCGTTTTTTAATTTGCAACACTGTAGTGTACTGTAATATTTTGTAAATGACCAAAAAAAAATCAGTTTTCTAGAGTTTTATTAATTATTTAATTAATTAATTTTAATCGTCGTATGACGATTGTTTAAACCTATTTTTTCTGCTACAACATAATGAAACATTGAAGTGGAATTAGTCGAAGTATTAGTTGCAATAATTAAGGTTTTTGAAGTGTTAATCGAAGTCAAGATTTCAGTTGCCTTACTTAAAGGATTTGAGTTATTAGTTGTACTAGCTAAGGAATTTAAGTTATTAGGAACTAGCAGTAATAATTGATGCATTAGTTGTATCAGTTAAGGAATTTAGGTTAATTGTATTAGATAAGGAATTTGAGGTATTAATCGAGGAATTAATTGCATTACTTAAGGATTTTCAGTCATTAGGAGTTCACCGTCAATTGGCCACATCTTAATTGACTAGTCCAATTCGATGAAAACGATTGTAGAGTGTTATCTATCATTATTTAATAATAAAATGTATAATCCTCTCAAAGAAATCTCCGAATATGATACTTAACGATTCAGGGAATATAAATTGCATTGTATTTTTAAAATTATTTCGGTCAATTGACTGGCCAATCAACCATTTGTCATAGACGAAGTATTAGTTGCATTGATCAAGGAATTGGAGGTATTAGTTGTGGAATTAGTAGTAAAGGTATTAGCTCCATTCGTTAAGAAATTTGGGGTAATGGGTAAAGAGTTTGAGGCAACAGAAGTTGGAATTAGCAGTATTAGTTCTATTAGTTAAGTTAAAATTTAAATTAGTCGTGGCAGTTATAGCCTTTGGTAGCCTTGTAGCGAGGCCCCTTTTCCAAAAAAAAAAAAAAAAGTGAAATAACTATTATTTTCGAAAACGTGCTGAAAAACGACTTACCGGAAAACCCTCACTTGTTTTTTCTGCCCGATCCTGTGGGCCCTGTCCATCGCCTGCAGATCCATCTGCGGGTTCCAATCGGAATCGTATATGATAACCACGTCCGCCGTTGCCAAGTTTATACCCAGCCCGCCGGCCCTCGTAGACAACATAAAAATAAATTTACTGCTGTCGTCCTCGTTGTATTCGTTGATTTGCCTCTGTCTATCTTCGTGGGGCGTCTGACCGTCCAATCGACAGTACTGGTAGCACCGCCAGTGGCAGTAGTCCTCCAGGATGTCCAACATCCGGGTCATTTGGGAAAAAATCAGCACCCGCGAGCCCTGTTCTTGCAGTTTGGGCAGTAACCGATCGAGTACCACCATCTTGCCGCAATTGTACACCAAGTGCTCATCGGTGGTGTACGGTGGACCCGGTTCAGCCCCGTCGAACAGGTACGGGTGGTTGGTGCACTTGCGCAACTGCATCAGGATGTTTTGCAGGCGCATTTTTTCCACCTTGCCCGCCCCGTTGACTACGTCTATGTCTTTGAGGAGGACCTTCGTGTACCACTCGCGTTGCATTTTACTCAAACCGACGTACACCTTCACCTCTTTTTTGGGCTTCAGTTTCTTTTCCACCTCCGACTTGAGTCTCCTCAGCAGGAACGGTTTGAGGACGGCGTGCAAACGTTCCACGAGACTATTATCGCCGAGACACTGGTTCGTGTTGAACCAAGCGTCGAAATCGTCGGACGAATTGAACACGTCGGGCAGTAAGAAGTTTAACAACGCCCACAGTTCGTGCAGGTTGTTTTGCAGGGGAGTACCGGTGAGCAGGAGCCGGTTAGTCGTTTTGAACTCCCGTAGGATCTCCGAAAGCTTGGATTTTTCGTTTTTGATGCGATGCGCTTCGTCTATGACCATGTAACGCCAATTGAACTTTTTAAACACGGACTTTTCCTTAATACACATTTCGTACGAGGTCACGCACACGTCCCATTCACCAGGCATCAACACGTCTCTGATGAAGGAGTTCTATAAACAACAAATATTCGAGACCTGCATGAAATGCCGGTGCTGAAGAATGATACTTTTTTAACGACATTTCGTAAATATCCATGAATAGGAATGAAAAAAATGAATTTTTTATGACATCAAATGAGAACCATAAAGTGTATTAACCAACTGCTACCGGGCAACCCTTTCGACACAATAAAGAGTGATATTCACGTTTAGATTCTATGTAAAAAACAACTTTTTTATTAGGAGTATCAACCCAACGATATAAAAAAATTACATATTTCGCATAAAATGAAGCTTTAGTACATATTTTTAGTGAATATTTTCTATTATGCGAGCATAAAATCGCATATTTTAGATTAGAAATGAAATGTGCCTGGAATATTGTGGACTTACTATTTATCGCCTTCAAATCCCGTTACGTAAGGATTAAGCCCGCGTCCCTTTCCTTATTTGACGCTTTTATCTGATGTGATTTTAACAACCTCTTCTGAAAATTATCACTGATGGTGCTTGTGATCGAATAAAATACATCCGACCCTCTTCATATGTATGGTCTGTTCATAGATATAAGAAAGTGAACAATAGCTTTGGAATGGGATTATCCGAGGGTGGTTATTAACATACAATGCGACAAGATTATTACCTAAAGTTTCGGAATGTAAATTCAGGTAAAATTGTGGTCCGTCATAGAAAATAATTTTATACCTGCCTGTGTTTAATATTCTTTGGTTTGGTATACTACTTAGTTTAAGTTTATTAGCAACAATTCTTATTTCGTGTGTAATACAGCGTGTGTTGAATCGTGAGCGAATTATGCAAAATATGTGCGAGTTCAGTGTATCTCAGGAGATGATTAAATTCTAAGCAAAGTACGGACCTGTTCGGCCATATTTCATTCTTACAGCTCGTCCGGGTCTTTCCTTGATTCGTATCAGTTAGTCACTTTCTTATATCTATGAACAGACTTTACCTTTGAATTTTTCCAAGCATTTTAAACATTGAGAGTGAACTATCATTGCATTCAAAATGCGTAAAGTGAATTATCATTTGGTGTCTATTTGGATTAAATATCATAAAGAGCTATCTTTGGAACAAGAAGAAGTATTCTGCAAGGCTTGTGGAAAACTGGTAAGTTCTCATTAATTAATTTGAAATATGTAACTCAATATATTTTAAACATTGCAATAAAAATTTTTATATCAAGCTGATTTATTATTAGATAATTAATAGTATACAATACGTTAAAATGAATATTTATGTTTAAGGTTGCATACTTCTCTTAGTCACACACGCAGTAGCGTATATGACCAAAGCAGGTTTAAATTAAAAAATATATATAAAAATTTAATCCACGTGGGGGCATGAAATAAATAGAGTTGCAGAGGAAATTAGATGTTAGTTTCCATTAGTTAAGGTAAAACGTAAAAAAAAAATTGTTATAGCACCTCTGAAAAATGTAAACTTATAGATCAGTTGAAATATTTCAAAGCTAATTTTAGTTTTTTAAGTGGCTTTCTTAAAAAATTAAGTATTTTTTTTTATGTCTAAAAACTGTAAATATAATGTTGTATTCTATTTTCGTTGTTTGACTATTCTTTGCTTGATTTTCAGTAAACAATACATGTAAAAAAAAAGGACATAAAAGTACATAAATGGTAGAAAAAAGCATATATTTGACATATTTCTTTGGACAAACATTTTTTGCCATAATTACTGTGGAAAATCTGGAAAATCGCCACGACTGAACAGAAAACATCTTGCTTATCAAAACGCCTGTAATTTCGTAAGCCAAATCTGTGACGAATCCCTAGTATAGAAAATTTTGCCGCTAACTACACAACTAAGAGAAACTTAGCAGAGCATCATGCGGCAAATGCAGCGGATTATAGATCGAACTTCAAAAAGAAAAACCTCGCAAGGATAATATACAAAATCTCTAGGGATTAATAAAACTGGGAAATGGAAAATGACTGGGCAATTGGGGTTTCGAGAGAAGCCTGGCAGAATTTTGCTTGCAAGAAATTCAATAGCAAAAAACAATGTAGGCCGACTTGTAATTACCTTCTCAGAATTCGTTACCCTAATAATTTAATTACCGAGAACCTGGTCGTATTTGTCGATTATTTGAAACATTAAATGTAGCTCCTAAATATTTATATAAAACGTTCCTAAGTATTGTTATTTTTCAAGTGTCTATAGGTCTTTATAACGAAAAAAAAAAGCAGTCCCTTCAATTTCTCTATATAGAGTTTCGACTGTATATAAAATCGTACTTGCGCTTGGGGCCATCAAGGCGTTAGCATCATTATTGATTTACGATTAGAAAAAAATTACAAAACGTTTTTTTGGGATTTTTACATTGTACGTATTTTTTACGAGATCAAACCTGCTCATAAATCATTGGCGTGCATAAAATCTTAAAATCAAATAAACTAGAACTAATATTTCAAAGTGCTGCACACCATGTGACAATCCATTTTAACTATGCCATATGGATACGATAGCACCCTAAATTTAATAAGTACCTCCTTCCTATAAACATTGTAGTATACATATATTTAAGAATCGTGTTCATAGTGTCCATAGTTCTAGTGGTATGTGAGATTTACGAAATATTGTATGTTATTGAGCATTGTCATTAAAACAGTTTTATTTTTTCCTGCGACAAAGATTATTTTATATAAGCATACCCTAGTTTCTTGATCCCCGATTAAGCAAACAGCTCTCAAACTCGGGCACCACTTCTTAAACTCATTCATCCAATTAGAGAGAGTCGATTTGGGCACGATGACGATGTGGGGCCCGGCAGTGTTTTTGTAATGCTTCATGAACCCCAACAAGGATATAGTCTGCAATGTCTTCCCGAGACCCATTTCATCGGCTAATATCCCATTAATGCCATTCTCGTACAAGGATATCATCCAGTTCAAGCCCCTAATCTGGTAGTCTCTCATCTCCCCGCCTTTGATATAAAATGGGGAAGTTTCGAATCGAATCGTCGGCTTGCATTTCGCGTTTGTTTCGGCCAGCAGCTCCTCATCTTCTTCTTGTTCGGTCTTCCTGTGCCGATGACTGAAACAATAGAGCACGCGATGTGGACGTCATTATAAATCGAAACTCGAAACCGCCAACATACTCGGAAGCGTCCACTTCTTTTAATTTTTTGGGTCGTCCGGTTTTGGGTTTTGTGGGCGTCTTCGACTGGTTCATAAAATGCGAAAATATTTCGGTTTGTTTGAGCAGAAAGTCAAATCTTTTGCCCCTATCATTTTCCACCTTCGTATCGAAATCTTCTATCTTCGAATTTGCGTCCGATGAAGATTCATTGTCATTCAGCTGCTAAAATACAAACAATTCGGCGTTTTTATCCATTAAATTGGAAGATAATTATTGTCTTACGGTACTCTCATTTTCATTCATTTCAGCTGATTCGGGTACTTCTTGCGACTGAGACATCCCAAAACTCAACGGTCAACTCAAATTTTGTAACACGACAGTCACAGAGACGGCTATTAAAAAATCAATAAAAACATCATCTCACTAACCCGTTTAACTGAAGAATTTAAAGACAATATCCCAAAACCACCCACAAAGTACGCGGGAAATGGCAAGCGAGACCATCAGTTTATAAGACAATGCTGACCATAGTTAATGACGATTGGTCACTTTTGCGTTTTGCTTTTTTATACAAGGATCACCAATTTTTTTTTATTGCTCACTTTGAAATGTTTTTGACTGCCTTGAAACAATTTCGAATTAACCAACAAATAAATAATGCGGTAATTCCTACTTTAAAGTAGATGGTGAAATTTTAACTATGATCGTCGAATGATACACAGCTTCCCAGAGTTGCCAAACCTGTTTTTCTCCAATTTAAGCAGGAAATTACGTAAATTTAATGCTGTCAGTTTCCAACATATAACTTAAAAGCAACGCAATAAGGATGGATGGGCTCAATTAAGTTGTCCAGATAGTTTCGCAATGAATTAGAAATACAACAATTTCCATAAAATGGAAAAAAGAAAATAAAATTGAGGAACTTGCAATATATCTGAAATGGAAAGTTGACAGAAGATTTGGCAACAAGCTATTATAAAATCCTATGGGTGAGGCAACTTGCAATTGTTATTTATATTTATGGGCATAAAAAAAAATTGCAGCGCGTCTACTACGAAAAAATACATGCATTTTTAACAGGTAAAAGTACGTATATTAAAAGCACAGCTTTGCGGTATTATTATAAATAGTTTCTTATAGAAAAATAAAAGGCAAAAATTCTGTTACAAAAACAAGCTTTGTTTAGATAAGTATGCGCATTTACATTGTCAGTCAGCATAACCTTTACCGTACTAACAAAATCAAAACATAAACAGAAAATTTTATTGATAAGATTGCAGAACTATCACTCCTGAACTTTGACTGTCCCGTCAGTCATTCCGAAATATGCCTTTTTAGCCATTTGTACGAACAAACCAATCTCCACCACTCCCGGTATTGAGGATATCTTGGTGCTAACTTCGTTCCAATTCAAATTCTGATCAAATTCTTTCCAGTCCAAAATAAAATTGCCATTATCGGTCACAACAGGTCCTGCTTTCATTTTCGCCAGTCGAAGCTCTATTTTACCACCGTATAAACTTTCTAACCTGTTTTTTACAGGAACATAGGCCATTGGCACAACTTCTATTGGAATGCCTTTGCGATATTGATCTCCCAGTTGACTAGAATTTTTGGTATGGTCGGCTATAATTATCAGTTCATCCGCACAACTGGCTACGATTTTTTCTTGCAAAAGGCAACCACCGCCACCTTTGATGAGATTGAGGCTTTCGTCTACTTCATCGGCCCCATCGATACATACATCCAACTTATAATCTATATCTAAATCAGTTAAATTTAATTTGTACTTGATTATAAGCTCCCTCGCTTGAAACGACGTAGGGACGCATCTGACATTCAGATTTTCATTCAGAACCCTCTGAGCTAACCGTTCAACTGCATAAATAACTGTTGAACCACTGCCGATACCAACAACATAACCAGATTTAATATGATTATCTACCGCTTCGTAAGCGGCATTTTTTTTGGACTGTTCCAAAGTAGACATGGCTCTTAAAATAATATCACGCCGACCAATATTTCTGCTTAAGCGACAACTAGCGCTACAAATCATGGGAGAAACAAAAACAAACTTTTAAAAGTGCGGACCACATTTCTCTTAATATTCTATTCTCCCAAGTCTACAAAGGGCACCCGCCCATTAGACCATAGAATATATAATTAAATACAACTTAGGAAAAGCTTCGTAGCATGCAACATTTATAATTATTTCTTACGAGTGACAATTGGCAAAAGCATATAGTTTGAAATATTTGATATTGAAATAAATGAGATCAGAATCCGTTGAATGTCGATAATGGGCGAATGTCTTTTTTAAAATTACCTATTTAAAAGGTCTTCAGTAGCATACATCACCGCTTGACACAGAGGTTATTGTGGTTAGATCTTTAGAAAATTGATATTTTACATACCTCTTGTTGTATGGGTTATAATTCACGTTTTTGAGTTTGGTTTTTGACGATTGAAGAGCCAAACAAACGCATGGTAATAAATAACTTATTTCGTTGCAAGGTTTTTTCATTTAATTTCCAGACTACCCAAGGTCGGAAGGCAGTTCCCCCGAGAAAAAAATCAGGCCCCAAATTTGAACTGACAGAAGATCAAAAAAATGATATTAAAGAAGCGTTCGATCTGTTCGACACCGAAGGCAGCGGCAAGATCGACTCGAAAGACTTAAAAGTGGCCATCAGAGCGTTGGGCTTCGAACCCAAGAAAGAGGAAATAAAAAAAATGATTGCTGATATCGATAAAGACGGTACGGGGAAAATCTCCTACGACGATTTTTTAAAACTGATGTCCGTTAAAATGGCCGAAAAGGATTCCCGAGAAGAGATCCTAAAAGCGTTCCGGCTATTTGATGATGACGAGACCGGTAAAATAAGTTTCAAAAATCTGAAACGGGTTGCCAAGGAATTGGGGGAGAATTTGACGGATGAGGAGTTACAGGAGATGATAGACGAGGCCGATAGAGATGGAGATGGTGAAATTAACCAAGAAGAGTTTCTCCGCATCATGAAAAAGACGAGTCTCTATTAGTCCACAGTCTTACGCACACGGCTGACTGTTACAAAACAAGAATATTAACCGTTATCAAAATAATTTGAAGTTAGCTGTTAACATTATGGAAGCCTACATATTTTGAATTAATATTTGTTTTTATAAAAACCACAAAATAAATACCGAAATATGTCCTGTATATTTTTTATTTATACTGTTCAGAATATATTTTTATACCTTTATTAAAGTGTATCGAATTTTATCAATAAATCAACTTAATTTGCCTTGATCTACTATAAAACAACTTTTTATGAAAGTAAAGCTATAAAAAATTACCCATAACCTAGAATCCAAGATTTTGAATTTAAGGATTCTGTGACGTAGTTTTCTTCAGAAACTCGAAATTTTTCATATAACAAACTAAACATGCGTGTGTGTGTATGCTTTTTCTAGACGCAAAATCAGTGAATGGATTTTCTTCTCAGTTATCTTATCGAAGTTTGATAGCATCGGTTCACATCGTTTTTAGAAAATTTCTGCCAATAACTTGTGTTACTATACGTTTCAAAAATTAAGTAAAATATCGCCCGATACCAATTTTAAATGTGATATATTTGAGGAGCATTATATTTTCTGCCTTTGTCCATATTAATTACTATTTAAGTGGTAGAGAACCCAATTAAATAGAGCCACAACTACCACCAACCCGAAAATCCACTCTTACAGTCGCAACAAAAAAATTGTTTTTTCAGTTACATTTAATTTTAAACAATAACGTGAGCTTGAAATGTGTACTTGGGGACCATCTTAGACGTTAACCCTCATTGGCCTACGTGCCAATAAAATGATTGGATTTATATTGAGACTTACACAATATTGTTGTAGTTTTTCTGGAAAATTGATTTATATTTGTGAAACGTGAAATCGTCCTCTGAAATCCGGACATTGTTGGCAACGTTGCGTCGGGTCGAGTTGATGTTTTTGTCACAGAACACTAGCGGTCTGTGCCATTATTATTTTCAGTATTGTTATGATTAATATACGTTTGTATTGTTTTTGAGAAGAAAATGCCCACGTACCAGAAAGTTTCCCGTGTTTGCGGGTAAGACTATAATGAATTAAACGAGGTTATGTACGGGTAAATGTTGCCGTATTTACAAATTAATTTAAAATATTTAAAGATGGTTTAAACAGGACTCACAGTCATAACATAATTTCTGATTTCGATACTTTACTGTGTTTTTTCAAGGCCCTCTATGCTTTAACTCTTTTTTGTCTGAAGGTCTAATAAGATGCGGACATATTTTGAAAAAAAAAACTGCCCCATCCAGACATATTGACGCTATGTCAGCGGCCATGTTTCCCTTTTCAAAGCATTTCCATAATTGCTTCTGACGTTTCTCTATTATCAGCATAGGTCGACAATGTTGTAAGTGTCCTAAGTGTTAATTTTTTTTTTGTTTTTTTTTTTTGAAGAATTAATAATTAAGACGTATTGCAAATACAAAGCATATATCTTTTTTTTGGTATATTTTTAAAAATTACTGAAATTCAAAAATTATGCAGTCTGATGGTGGTATACTCAAGTTGAGAGGTTTTACAAATAATCCATAAAATTCTACATATACAATATACAAATTTATTTCCTAAAATGCTTTGATTTCTATTCTGCTTTTAAAAAATATCTTCTAGACAAGACTGTAACTTTAAATAAATAAATAAAATTAATTGAGGTGTATGATTTACAGTTTTTTTTCATTTATTTACTCAGTTGTCAGGTAAAATTTTTGCCATTTTGTCACCGCTAACTAACCAAAACAGATATGGCAATAGCCTTAGACAGAAAAAAGTGAAAAAAAAAAGAAGATAGAAATAAAAGTTGTTGGTTTAAGTTCATTAAAATAATATAAATATATAGTGCTTTATTTAAGAGAATATATTCGTTTATTTTGAACACCCTGTAGCAACTAATTCAAATTCCGTTGTATACATCTTTTACGTCATGTTCGTATAAAACCAACATCAAATATGATATAAATTCAAAAATGGTATTTTTTTGCGAGTGAAAATATTTTATTTAAAAAAATATACTTAACAAACATTAAAACATTTTTTTAATGTATTTTTTGAAATCAACGAGATAATGAACTTTACTCCATCTTTGACTCACATTCAAGAAAAACAAAATAACGCACCTCAGTAAGATTTCGATAATGAAAGGATGAAAGAGTGCAACATTTTTTTTAACCGTAGTTTTTTGTATATCGCAAGAACACTTTATTTTAATCATTTGTCTGTAGGTACTGTTTTTCACGTCAAATTTTTTATCGCTAAAAATTAAAGTAGAGAACCCACGCCCATGTTTGCTTAACGTTTTGCTTACATCGGAGACCGTACAGTGTTCCCAAGTTAGCAGTTTTTTCCTGAAAGTTGATGAAGCTTATTATTCGAAAATTACGCAAAAGATACATGCAACAGAATTTTAAGTAGATGCCACCGGGTGTTCAAAAGAAACAAATATGTATTTTTTTTTCTGACAGATCTTACAAAATCTTACAAGCTTTATTAAGTTTTCATATACCTATTTGCTTTCTGTCATGGCCGGCTAATGTTATAACAATAGTTTTAGACAGAAAGAAGGCAAAAAGAAAAGAGAAAGTGACAGTTTTCACGTATTGATCCACGGATGGCAAAATGTATTGATAGTATATTCCGTATATTTCGCAAATATCTCACGTGGCATCTTCAATGCTCGTCATCCGAAAACACTTAGAACAACAACGAAAAAAATCAAAAGTCTATGAATTTTAAAACGTATTCAAAACAAAATTTAAAATAAAAACAAGTAAAAATTATATATTTTAAAATGTCTTTTTTTATTATAATTTTTTTAACCATTTGTGGCAGGTACACTGTTTTTCACGTTAAAAAATGTATAATCGGAAAAATCTCATTTTTAGCTCTGAAAAAAACACCAATGTTTTTACATCGGATACCGTACAGTGTTGCCGAGTTGGCAGTTTTTTCCTCAAAGTCCATTAAAATTTCGGACATTTTGATCGATTATTTCACACTCACCTGTCAATTTGATAAAGGGGATCAATCGAAACAACGCACGGATTGTTAAATAACTTATATTAGATTTTTTGCAGGCCTCTACAACAGCAAGTTTGGTCGAATCTCGTCCTCTAAGGTTCTCGGATAATAATTAATTAGTGTCAACAAGGAAACGTATGTCTATAGCCTTTAGTCTACCTTTCAACAAACGATAAAATAAAATCTCAAGTACAAAAAATCGGAGGAAACAATTCTTAACTTAATAACACCGAAGTAAAATTACCGTTCGAATTTTGTTTTCTCTTCTCGACAATAATAATAATAATAATAGTAATAGTAATAATAAAATCATGATTATTACAATCGCAACGCGCGACACGGCGACAATAAAGAAAGAAAAAAAAGTTCCTTCAAATTGGCGGGGGCGCCAGTGACGGAACGAACGAACGTCCGCCTATCGCCTATTGAAAAACCTGGTCGTAATGTACGGACGTACAATAAAAATCGCCATTTTTCTTTTTCCGGTACCGTAAAATGTATTGCGACAATACAACACCTAAAATATACAAATCAATAGCTAAATTAACCTATATACACTGAATACGCGAAGCCAGATTTTTCAATATGTACACTTTCCGTATGCCGAATGTGGTTTTTGAGGTGAGGAGGGGCGCGGGCGGGCGGGCGCGCGCGCGCGTGAGATTTTGAAAAACCGCTTACTCAAACTCGGCCGAAAACGAAAAAATCGTAAGAACAAAGAAGGGGGCGTGTAGGAGTGAGGGGGGCGGGGCATTAAGTATATGTATATAAAAATGCCACGTAGCTACAAACAAATGAATCCTTTTGTACATCGCACGTATATTATCGGTAATTCTATAGTACAGGGCGGTCCTCTCTCTTTCTTTCGCACACAAAATGTTTTACTAAAAATGATACTGCCTCGTGTGTGTGTGTGTTTGTGTGTCGTAGATATAATAACGTAAACTATCTAAGCGATACCGGATCCGGCGGCGGCTGCTGCTGCCGCCGCCGCCTGCAACGGCGACGAATCGTTGGAGTCGGCCGCCCCCGAGGCGGTCGCGCCGCCATCTTGTTGCCCGCCCTTTTGCAGGTGTTCCGGTATGAGGATGTTGTTTAGTCCAGGCTGGATGCTTAATTCTGGAACGCAACGACGATGTCAATCGTCTACTGCCGCACACTGAGCGCCGCGCAAATAAAAAATACCATTCATACGATTTGCGATGGCATAGTTGTTCATAAAACTATTAGAAAGGTGCCTTAACCAACATGCAAGTTATCACAGTAGACAGTTGACTAAAACCCCTTCCTCATGTGACACAAAAGCAACAATCCAAAACTACGTGTATAATAACGACATTTATTTTCACGAAGATTATACCAAAAAGAAATTAACTGAGGTTCTACAAAGCTTGAACCTACAAAAGGAATACGTCTGTGATAATTATGCAAAAAAAAAACAGTTTTAAAGCTTCCACCTTACCACTGTATATTTAATCCCATTGAACATGTGCCATTCGTCGTAACAACGTTTTCCCCGTGTTAACTCCAACGTCCTCAAACTTATAGAAACCGAAGTTTTTAACGTGGCACCCTTTTGTAACTGAATTCAAAATAAATATAATGCCATCACAAATCGTGCAAACTATACTTAGTGTTAAACCTAGTGATCTGACGACTGCCAAAACACCCGAGAGTGCGTGTTTAAAACTAGACGAAAGATCTGAATACCATCACAGAAGAGAAATAAATGGGTTTTAGTTAGGCTTCGTCAGAACTTAATTGAAACTGGCTGGCATTTTACTCTGCAACCCCATTTTTTATGAAGCTTTGAAACAGTGTTCACTCTAAGTATCATTAATGTTCATCCAAACTGACATCTCCAGGAACATAACTGCTATTTGTGAAGGTGATGATGATAGTAATATAAAATCATCTAAAATATTAAGGCCGATAAAAAAAATTACCTCCTGACGTCATTATCGCCTGAAACGTCAACGCTGATGTTTTGGCGGGAATTGTGATGATGATCTTTCGTTATTTTTTTTAGATTAAAATAAAATACAAATAAAACATCCAAATGACGGTAAAAATTGTTGCATTTTTGCACCTTGCTCCCACTACAAATTATGGAGGCAATTTTCGATCACTTATGATATCTTGGTCACTTTTGCATAAAAATAGATATGATTTTCCGAAAAAAAAAAAAGTACTTGCGACGCCGCAAATTTTTGGCAGTAATTTCTGCACTTTGAGCTGTAATTAGCTGTTACAATGATATTCTTCAAATTCTAGGAACAATCTTCGATCATTTACGATATTTTGGTCATTTTTGGATAAAAATAGATGATTTTTAGAAAAAAAAAAACTTACGACGCTGCAAATTTTTGGCAATAATTGATGCAGTCTTGAGCTGCAATTAGCAGTTCCAATTATTACAATATTTTGGTCACCTTTGGATAAAAATAGACACGATTTCACGAACAAAAAATTATTTACGACAACTGCAACAATTATATTCTATAAATTATAGGAACAATTTTCGGCCATTTTTGGATAAAAATAACGATTTTCCGAAAAAAAAGCACTTACGACGCTGCAAATTTTTGTTTGAGCTTTAAATTGACCTGTTACACAGGAACAATTTTTGATCGTTTACCATATTTTGGTCACTTTTGGATAAAAATAGATAAGATTTTCCGAAAAAAAAAAGTACTTACCGTGTTCGGTAAAATTAAATAACGGTGGCAGCTCATTGCCGTTCGGTAGCCTTGTGTTGGGTTCGCGCAGTTCGTTAAAAAAGGGATGGGCGCACGCCTGCAAGGGGCTTATTCGGGACGATGGGGTGTACTCCAGGAGTCGCGACACCAATTCGATCGCCTCCGCCGGTGTCCTCGCTCTAAACACCTGAAAAGACGAGGAAAATTCAAACCCCTTTAAATTAAGCGAAACAACAACCTAACCCGGTCCTGTTGCTTCTTAACGCCAGCGGTTCTAGTATTGTATCCATGAAGGAAAAAAAAAGAAGATTGCCAGCTTTAGGTGTGCTTAAAATTTGAATTATAGTGACTTGTTTTAGTTTCCGAATATGTAAAACTGCACTTCCTAAAAATTTAAAGATTTTACTTCGCCCAAATAACGTCCGAAATGAAAAAGGACGGTTTCGTGCCAAGAAGAAATTGCGGGAAACTTTGAGGCAAATGATTTCTGCTTTTAGGCAAAAGGCCTAATAGTGGGTACCCGATTTATATTGGACTCGATCAAGGTTCCAAACCTTCTAAAATAAAAGAAAAATTTGTTCACAAATACGAATTTTAGTAGAAGCCATATGACTGCGATAAAAAACCTTCTATCAAGAGTAAAAATTGTGAACCATTTTTTTTTATTAACTAAGGATAAGCCTTTTAGAAAATCTAATGGCAATTTTTGGAATAATGCCGTGTTTTTATTAGTACCATTCAACTCAATGAAACATACATGTTTTTTAGACAAATAATTGGTTTTTTATGTTTTCCCAGTACAACGAAAATTAAGGTATCTTAAAGACGACTAATCCTGTCATATTTTATAGTATTCCTTCCTACTATTCCTGGAGCAGAAATTAAGATAATTTTTAGACTATCGTTTGCTCCACAAAAAGAAAAAGGGTAAAGCAGCTGTGGATTAAGTCAGCATAATGTTTACAATAACCTCCATATACTACAGCATGGTTCAACGTTTGACCACCAGGCGGCGTATATCGCGGTTACCTCGCAATCCTAAGCTCGCAAGCCGATAAAATGGAAAATAATGGGACACACTGTACAGTAGTTAGTTCCATAGAAAGACACGTTCAGATTGTTACAAACGGCGTTAAGCACGACAATCGCAATACAAAACAAAATTACCATATACAGGGTGTCCCATTACGCCAAAAATACCCATCGTACATCATATCAGAGGTTTACCTCCGGACAAACGGGCTAAGGTGTCAAATGAAAGTTCTGGGCGATCAGATTTTTTTTTAAGTGCCAAACACCCTGTATATTTGGGAGTCAATTAGTATTTGGCTCGGCACTTCATCAAAACTTACTCGGATTCTTTGGTGTTCTGTTGTGCACTTTGGTATCGACATTTGAGCAAGCATAAACTGCAAGCAAATATTCTCGTGACAGTATCGATATTTTTTTGACATATCAATTTTGTATATTACCAAAGAAAGTTAATATTGTACTATTATAGTAAAGCCCACGTTTCCGTGCCTTCGCATATCTAATAAAGGTTTACTTTCCATTAAATAGTTTACTCTAGATGGATTTTTTTTTCGTTAAGTCTTAAAAATTACCAGTTAAAAACTCTATTTACGATATCGATATAAAGGTAAACGTTTTAAAATTGAAAAAGTCAGTTTGCAGAGGTAAACTATTACAAATGTCCATTCTACAGAGGTGAACTTTTGAAAATACCCGATTTATAGGGGTAAACTTTTGAAAATGTCAGTTTATAGAAGAAAACTATTATAAATGTCTGGTTTACAAAGGTAAATGTTTAAAAATGAGCAGTTCATACGAGTTAAAACTATTGAAAGTGTAAACTTTACAAAGGCAAATGTCTACGGTTTGCAGAGGTAAACTTTTTAAAAAACTTATATTAAATTTCCAGAGACAAACTTTTGAAAATATCTGATTCACAGAAGTAAACCTTAGAAAGAGATTAATATTTTGGAAGTGTCCGATTTACAGAGGTAAACTATTGAAAATGCCCATATTGCAGAGGTAAACTTTTAAGAATGTCCCGGTTTGAAAATGTCTGTTTTACAGTACTAACCAGATGCCCATTAACGATTACGTGGTGAATGTAAAGACATAAGGGGTACGTGTGGACAAGTCAAAGGTAAAAGCGGAACAAACCACAAAATTGACGTGAAAAAATTGGACCGTAAGCAAGATGGCGACGCGCAAAACCGGAAACTGACCTGTTGCCAGGGGTGCGACTTGATCTGCGGAAACTTGAATTCCGTATAGTTCGGGTTCATCTCCTTGATTTGTTCTTTCGTCGGCGTGCCGAGCACCTTGATTATTTCGACCAGTTGATCGACCCCGGAGTCGCCCGGAAAAATCGGCTGGCCGAGCAATAACTCGGCCAGTACGCATCCGGCGCTCCACACGTCGATCTTGGTGGTGTAATCGATGGCACCGAATATCAATTCCGGGGCCCGGTAATATCGACTGCATATGTAGGACACGTTAGGCTCGCCCTTCACTAAATGTTTCGCGCTGCCGAAATCGCACAGCTTCAGCACGCCCGTCTCTGGATCGAGCAGCAAATTTTGCGGCTTGATGTCCCGATGACATATGCCCAGCGAGTGGATATACGCTAACGATCGGAATAACTGATACATGTACAACTGCAAGACGACAAAAAAAAAAAGTCGAATTAACCACGACGCCTGTCTAATAAAAATACGTTTGAACTACTGCGTATGGCGCGTCATTAGTGTTGGCGCTATAATTTGAGGCGACAGAATTAACGTACATTTGAACTACTGCCTTGAGGTAATAACTATTGAGGCAGTATGCACCGTGCATTAGTGCTGACGTCATAATTTGTGGTTAGGTTAAACGCTGTAACTAAACAAAGAAAAAGATGAATTTAGGTACATACAGATATTGATTTTTGCATCGACATAGGTATTATCGCGACATTAAAATTTGATGAAACAAGAAACAAATAGATAAAACTAACAACACATTGCGATATAAAAATTAATTTTGTTTACATAATTGCAAAATTATTATACCAATGTAGTCCTCTACATACATAAAATGGGTACGATACCTTATTTTTTAACACTTCTATCAATTTGAAGACACTGCCAAAATGGTTTGATTTGTTTAGATGCACTCAAAAACCTAAACGCAAATTAAGATGTCACAGTAATCGTTGAGCCAATAGAATTTAAAAAATACATTTGAACTACTCTCTATAGACAACAACCATTGAGCCAGTATGCGTCATTAGCACTGACGTTATAATTTGAATTTAAGTTAATCACTGCAAAACGATTTTTTGAGTACACGTTGGGAGTTTTCTTTGATCGGGTTTTTTCTTTAAATTTTAAAAACGGTTTACATTGAAAATTTATTTCGAGGGTTTTAAATTGACTTTTTTCGTTCATATAATTGTAGAGGAACGGTGGAAGAAAGTCGTGAGCATTTCTTGTGCTTAAATCTCCAGAAAGAAAAGACAATAAAATAATATGACCACAAATTATGCCGTCGCACTAAAGACACGTAGAACCGTTGGGCCAATAGAATAAAATATACGTTTGAACTACTGCGCACAATAAACACTGAGGCAACAGAATCATAGTACATTTGAACTACTACCGAGAGTTAATTAACATTATACAATGTTAAAAAGTAAACAAGATATATAGAAATTTTAATACACCCCAGTAGAGGACACAAGGTTAGAAATTAAAAAAATGAAATTAACAAGAATGAAATAACACCCGTACCTTTTAGGATAAAATCTAAATTTCACTATGGTCCAAAGCTACCGGACTTTGACTTAGTCCACCATCTAATGACGTAAAGCAAAAGCATACATTTGCAGCTCTCATAAAATTACTTAGGCAAAAAGGTAAGCCATCTCAATACCTGCCCTTTTTAACAACTCCCAAGCTTACTAAAACTCCTTGAGCCATTCTGGCGGCAGGGACATTGATTTTGAGTTAAATTTGGAGCGATTTACATAACATATTCCCTTTACCTTGTTGCCCTTATCGGTAGATACTCATTCGTTCACTTACTTTAATAAAGCTGATCGGTATAGTCCCCTTCGATTTGCTATAGTGTCTCGCTACCTTATAAACCGTCTCTGGTATGTATTCCAAAACCAAATTCAGGTACACCTCATCTTTCTAAAATCAGGAAAACTCGACTGTGAAACTCCGGCGTCGTCGGGTCGCGGTTCAAATGGAGTGAGCAATGTTCTGTGAGCGATTTCGATTTACCGTAACTTTAAGTCTTTCGAACATAAAACGCCCTACGCGAGAGACACGCGCTGTCGACAAAGAGGATCGAGGTTGTCATGCTCTGTTTTTACGTGAGTTTTGGTAATGCCCGTTTAAAATGATCCGGGCGTTTCAAAAATGATCTAGCAATATTAAAAAAGCCACCAAAGCTCCACCGAAATTATTTACAAACAAACGCGAACACACAGAGGGCGTCTCAAACAACTACTCAAACACAGCCACCGTTTTCGATTGATCTTCGTTTTTTTTTGCATTGTAAAAGCTCGAAATGTACGGGGGGTGGGGTGGAAGGGGGCGACAAACTCAAAACTACGGTAAGGATCTTAAATCGGCAGGATCGTACCTGCGACGTCAATGCCAAAAATATTGACAAGCCGCATGGTATTTCTGCATGCTAAACACAAAAGAAAAACTTGAAACATAATAGGTGGCACATAGCATCAATAATATCTCGAAGGGTTCCGAAAATATGCAGCACAAGGAACAAATTCATTTGAAAATCAGATACAGGTGTCGACACTATGCTTCTGTCTTTTTAAATGTAATTTTTAATACGTACTCATTAATGAACGCGAGCCGTATTAGTCTCATAACCTCACTTTTTGCTTGGAGCTGCTAAAAACAGTCTACGGATATCCCCATCTTTAAAATGAAAATGGGTTCCTACAAAACTAGAACCTTTGGTAGCTTTAATGAGGATCCTCAGGTTAATGCTTTGATGCTTTATTTTCTTCATGTAATGCCTAATAATAAAAAATACGTTCCATTGTCTACGTGCCGACAGACTAATTCATTTTGCTGTGAACGGAACTGAAATTTTCAGAACCACTATAATCATTCCTTGGGCTTAAGGACGATCTTTCCATGGGTGTCGACGATGGGCGAGTGTCCACAGTAGACGTGCCCAATAAAAAGCAACAAAAAATAAGATTTTCGAATTCTGTGTCAAATTTCACATAACACATGAATACAACATAGATATTTAATTCCGAAAAGAACGGGTCAGTAAAAAAATAAACGAAACCAAGAGAATTGAAATTTTGAATTTTTATTGGATATGGACGCCAAACGAGGACTGAAGAAGTTTGTGATACTGTTTAGTGATAAAGCCCCAGATGTTGGGGTACGAATAGAGACATTTGAAAGATAAATAATTACAAAAATTTACTTTACTTATATTAGCTACTTATCTCTTCAGTTTAAAACGAAATTTATGTTTTGTACTCTTTTGCACGTAAAAACTAGGAGATATGGCATCGACTTCTACTTTACCTGTACACCCTGTATATTTTCTGTGCGCTGCGGGTAAAAATCCGGAAATCCGGATACCTCATTTCCAAAAGAATCTGTTCCGTATATTTTTTATCCGTTCACAAAGGTCTTGGCCTTGCACCCTTTTTCTTTTTTCTGATCTGCCCGAATCAACCGGGACAAAAAACAAAAAATATAGCAAAACTAATCGGAAAATAAAGTGCGCAAGCCCAGGAACTTTCTTTCTAATAAATTTCAATTGTCGCTTACAAATACCATATAAAGTTTGTACAAAAGTAATCGAGATGTGTGTGTGTGTGTGTGTGTGTGGCTAGCAAAGGCGACGTATTACGGAAAGGGACGTGTAATCCATAAAAGCCGACAATTCGTTTAAAAATAATGGTAACTGACACTAGTTATCTTGAATCTGCAATGGAGTACGTCTTTATATTTGATTTTGGCACTCTTCGTAAACGAATACGGGCATTTTTAAAGTTTCGGCCTATCAAAAAACCACCTATTTTACCAAGAGAATCGTATTTTTGCGATAAATACAAAATTAAAGCCATCTGTAGCAATAATGTGTAAATCCTATAAAATATCTAATGCTTGCGAGAATTCTTTGAAAATTTAACAACGCCCGTTTTTATTTATTATCGAGATCATTGAGTGAAGGGTTAACTACGGGGTGTGATTCCGACACAAAAAATCTGCGACATCACCGGCGAAAAATAAACAAAAATAATTACTGTTTGTATAAAGAACGCCATTTTCTCGCTTTGGAATCTGAAAATTCGTCAACAATAGAATAGAATTTGAATAGTTTAGAGATACGCGATGAAAAAAATAGTAAATCGTATTTTTCATGGTAACCCCTAGTATCTGATGACATTAAAACTCAATGTTGCATTTAAGGAATCACGAATCTGTGTTATTCACTATCATACATCATTATTTGTTTTTTTTTTAAGTTCAGTGGCATAAAATTGGAAATCTACAACTTTTTGAAATAGGCAAGCTTATATGAAGTGTTGTTATTTAAGAAAAATGACTGAGTGATTTTATATATGTTTTAGTCTTCAATTTCAAAAATAATTTTCTATTAGGATATCTAACCAAAACTAATCACAAATGTATGACAAATAATTCCAGTCTCAGAAAACTAAAACGTCTTTTATTATGCAGGGTTAGTAAAGACTACTGGAACGTAACCATGATACTTTCAACAAGATAACCTTAGGAATTCAAAAATACCCACCTTGCAAATATAAACATAAAATATTTTTAAAGTAGTTTTTTTTTATTATTTTTTTAATATAACTTATAGAAGTTTTTTTTAATTTCCACAATTTATTTTATACAGGGTGGTAAAACAAATACTCAATTTCCTTTTAAAAACCTCATCCAATCCATTGTGCCTGTATTGTTGCTAAAGTGTTGTAAGTAGAAAATAAATTAAAGGGATCTTTAATAATTTTACCAATTTTTAAATTTTCAATGTATTTGTTTTTGAACCTAAACTTTTATTCACGAGGGCTGCATACAATTCATCTGTCATAGTTATTCTTAAAAATTATATAACCAGAAGGTTAAAAAGAAAAAACTGTAGGATAGATAATCTTAAATACCATGAGAAATTTGGTAAAATCCCCATTGCTTTTTTTTTTGGCACACAAAAGAAAAGTAAATTTTGCTCACAAGATTGAAATCGGTTTTTGGCCCCAAAAAATTTCCCGTACAACATTCGACTAAATCTTTTAATTACGATAAACGCCATTATCAGGGGTAATAATACCTATAGCCTCATGAGTCTCACTCACACCACAGAAGTGTAATTGGTGGGTCTGGGTAGCTATGATAGCTAATTTAAATTATATCATTAGAGATTCTGCGAAATTGTGTGGAAACAGTGGTGAAGATTTAATAATAATATTCAGACATATTTTTTTCGAAATTTCTCCTACTTTGCAATTTGCTCTATGCAATAATTTTCGTTTTCCAAAAATTTTCAAATCACCAGTTTAAAAGCCATAGAACGTTCGTAGTGTCTTGCGCCTCCGGGCACGCTATCGGCTCAGCGATACGTTAAATATATGTGTAAGTCGCAAGTAAATAATATAATTCAATTAACATAATTATCTCTGGCAAAAGTCACACTTACCTTATCTCCACTGGAGTAAAAAAAATATTTAAGTTTAACTATATTACAATGCTCTAGTTTCCTCATGATCTGTAGCTCACGATTCTGAAACGAAAATCAAAGTTTTTGCTTTCCCTTTTCGCTCACACCGAAGGTTATACCTTGAATCTCTTGTCCTGGAGGACCTTTTTGATGGCCACCAACTCGTTGGTCTCGCACAGTTTCGCCTGATACACGACACCGAAGCTGCCGTTGCCTATCACTTTGGTGTCCGTGTAGGAGACTTCTTGAGGCCGGTCCGGTCCCTGCCCTGGCGTAGCCACTACGGTTGTCACTTTGCTCCCGTCCTTGCCTGTGTAGCCACCCATAAAAGGAAAACACGATTACAAGCGCACCAAACAGGACCAGATTTATCCACCATTGATTTTTATCGGAACCACCGAGGCTGCGCTGACATTACCTGATTTAATTTTTACTACCGAAAAGTACTGACGGGCCCTGTCTTCGTCTAATACGTCTCTCGCATCGCCCTGCTTGCCGAAGACAATTTTATTTGTCATTATTTTGAAACTAGACTAAACCGTCGCGTCAATGTCGTTTAATTTAACGTCACACAAACATTTCCCGCTGGCAAACCTGCACCAACAAAGCGTAAAGTATGTTATTTAAATATAAAAAAGTCATTTTCGGTTTCGCTACCCTTACAAGAGAGATTTTAAAGCGGTCTCCAAATATACGGGATTTAAAATCACACACTGATTGATTAAAATTGGGTACATACCGGGGATCTGCCGTTCGAAACAGGCAAAATTTAATCGTTAGGTGAAGTTCATTGCAACACTGGTGAGTAAGACCACCTTGAAACTGAACCACCCGTATTTTCCCAAGCAAATTGAACGATTACCGTAGATTTGTTCGTCGCTTTCGCGGATTTTTATTAAAATTCCTCCAAATTCGCGATACGTTTTTTCCGACGAAGACCATAAAAGTGTAGCGGATGACCCGATAACGCATTAACAATAACAAAGCGTCCGCGAACTAATCGAAAATGGGGAAATTGCGTTTTCTGCGCGTCAGAAACGAGGTAATTTAAACAATTATTGCCGAAAAATTTAACGTCAAGCGGCCGATTCTGTCGAAGAAAGAATATCGGGGTCACAGCGGGAGCATTCCAGGGAACATCGATATCCACCGTGTCGAACGGTAGCAGAAAATACCGCGTTACATCGTCGCGGACCACAATAAAAACGTTTAATTGCAGAAACTGACAGCAAAATAATCGGAAAAGCAGCCATGTTGCGTAGACGAAGATCGTAGCGTATTATGAACATCGACGTAACGAGCTGCACACTTACTGCTAATTTTCATGCCTCCCAGCGGAGGATTCAATGGCTGCTTGTTGCCTTCGGCAAAGGACGTAGTTCTGGGACGACCGCTCATGTCTTCGAAAGCAGTTTTTTAAGAACCTATGGTCATATCACATTTCTTGCTACCACCCTCGCTCAATTTTTCCGATTCCTTCGCACGCGCGGACTACAGGTCCATCAAACCGTTTCACGTCCCGACGGAAAGATCACGGCGAACACCAAAACAAAGAAACCCAACCTTCCGACTAAACAATTCGCATAAACCGCATTTTATTCTAAAAATCGTCTCGTTAAACCATTTTTCAGCTGGGAACGGGCTTCACCTTACCACTAAATTTCTGATGCTCAGACATTGACCCGATCGGATCTTCTCGTAGCCAATCACATTGTACTCGATCCACTCGAACATTGCCGATGCTTCAACTCAATAATCCATCTTTGACATACGTGGCGCCACCTCCGGTCTCAGCCCGGTAATAAACCATTACAGGAAACGATTATTAAATTAAACGTTGCAATATGAGCTTCAAATTTATACAATGTTCAAAACGGCCATCGTCTTATTTGAGCGGGATTGTTTCTTTTTTACTTGCAAGGTGTAAGAATTTCTTCGGCATAAGTGTATCATTGAACAATAGTATAATCGAGTCAAAGCAGTTGTGTTGTAACGTCACCTACAGTGACGTAATTAGGGGTATTTCGATACTAGTAAATACAAGTAGGTACTCGATACTTTTGATTCGATACCAAGTATTTATAGCATCGAATCAATCTTGCGATAATTACTCGGTATCGAAACAAAAGTACTTGGTATCAAATCGAATCAGCCTCACCATTAAACAAAAAACCGAACGCATCAGACAAAGATAATCTCTATCTGATCTATGGTGACGCGTTGTCTCGAGCCAGCCAAGCCGAACTCGTCCGACTTCACTCCACCGAGCCCGAGCCAAAACGAGAAAGACGTCCGCCCTTCATTTTTTTTAATTGTTAACCAACCAAACATACAAGAGATTGTTTACGAATAATTTTATTTATTGTAATCATCGGCTTATTATTTCAATGTTATCATGGAGTTTTTTGTTTAAAGTACGTGCTTAACGTGACGCAAACGTTTATAATAAAAGTTTTGCTTTCCTTCTTAATTTTGTTTTAACTATTGTCCTTCAATGTTGATTGTTAGTTTCCTTAAAATAAATAAAAAAATAATAAAGTGCTAAAAGTATCGATACTTTAGGAGTATTTATTTGAGTAGTATCGAAAAAAGATTTGAGTACTATCGAAATGAGTAGGTATCGATACTTTAATGGTAAGGGAACATCCCTAGACGTAATCGAAAATGATCCGTATGGCTCGACTAAAAAATGTTGATTTTGACGCGGCTTTTGACACGGATGGTTTCAAAACTGACAAACAAAATTCCTGTGTCAATTTAGGATAACCAGTAATGAACGAGCTAAAGATGTCATGCTACGACGTAACTGCACAATGCTCTCTGGAAAAAGAGAATCGTGGAAAGTCACGGTCTGTGACGTCTAACATTCGCACTTGTCATTTATTGTAAATAGGTACTTTATGCACAACGTATTTTGGCGTTGCCGCTGTTAAAAAACGAATTCAAAAATAAATACTTGCTTTTATTTTATTCTTGTTTGTTCTAAAAAATATCTATTGCATGGACAACACTGTGGTACCAAAGAAGTTGTTTTTATGGAGGCCTGACATTTGGATCAGTGGTTTGTAGCGAACAATACTAAGGCTAGTTTAGGGTTTATAGTTGTATAAAAATATCGCTCAAACTAATATTTCTGTTAATTGTGGTTAACGCCAATTGCTTTTCTGCATCTGAAAACTTTATCAAACACTTTCCATTACGACAAACGCAATCTTTACGTTTAAATAATTTAATATAACCTTTTGTGGTAATATCAACAAATAAAAGCGTGCAAAAACTAGAAATGCCGAATTGAAAATAAAGTCAGAAAAATTAACCCATTAATAACCAATAAAGAGACAAAGCGTGAAAAAGACTAGGTAAAACTTATAATTAGAAGTGCAATAAATTGATTTTTCTGTGATCTGTGAACCTATGGTAATATTCTATGGCACAAAGAAATTTTCAATGAAATCTAACCTAACTCTCTTTTCTAGGAAAAACATTAGAAACAATCTGTGCTTGCGCGTAAATTTTTGTACATTTGGATAAATCTCTTGTTTTTTGTGGTTTATTTTTCTCTCCCTACACAAAAACAACACATTTGGTTTCGGTTTCTGTCGGCGGTGCCTCAAGGAGATTATCTATTCAGACTTTGTATTTGCTTAAAGACCAGTTTTAGTTGTTATCGATGTACCATACATTTATATTGCCCGCTCTCGACAAAAGCTGAAAATTGGAAAACGCAAACAATGCCAAGTGCTACGCTGGGTAGCTTGCAACTTCCAAACAACGAAGATTGCGGTATTCGCGACGTTTGGGCCCATAATTTGGAAGACGAATTTCGCACTATTAGACAAGTTGGGGTTTGATTTCGTCGCGAGAAATCGATTAAACTATTTTTTGCAGATCGTTCAAAAGTACCAATACGTAGCCATGGATACGGAATTTCCGGGAGTTGTGGCCAGGCCGATAGGGGAGTTTCGAAGTTCCGCGGATTACCAGTACCAAATGTTGAGGTGTAATGTCGATCTACTGAGAATAATTCAGTTAGGTTTGACATTTCTCGACGACAATGGCAAAACGCCGGGCGGATCTTACACCACCTGGCAGTTCAATTTTAAATTCAATCTTCAGTAAGTCCAGACCTTTCTGTAAAGGCTAATTACAAATTGCGACTTGTAGGGAGGATATGTATGCGCAAGACAGCATAGACCTTTTGACCAACTCGGGCATTCAGTTTAAAAAACACGAAGACGAAGGGATAGAACCTCTCGAATTTGCCGAACTGCTTATGTCGTCGGGTATCGTTTTGATGGAGAACATTAAGTGGTTGTCATTCCATTCGGGGTACGATTTCGGCTATCTAATTAAACTCCTCACGGATAACAACCTACCCCAAGATGAGAATGAATTTTTCGAGCTGCTTAAACTGTATTTCCCAACAATCTATGACGTCAAGGTGAGTTCTTTAATCTGAGATTACGCTTTATGCGCATTGGGCGTGGTTTCAGTATCTAATGAAATCATGCAAAACACTCAAGGGGGGCCTCCAGGAAGTAGCCGATCAGTTGGAGCTGGAACGGGTGGGGCCTCAGCACCAGGCGGGCTCCGATTCCTTGCTGACCGGAATGGCATTCTTCAAAATGAAGGAGGTGCGCGTTTATAGGTTACGTTACTTGTTCGGTGCGAAATTGCGAAATTTTCTAGATGTTTTTCGAGGACACCATCGACGATTCGAAATTCTCGGGACACCTTTACGGTCTGGGAACGTCGTTCGCCGTGAACGGCTCGACGAACAATTACACCACGGACAATGGAGACAATGCAAATTCGAACTAGGTTAATTTCGATCCGAACTGTCGCGGAATGATTTTGAAGCAACCGTGTAGATAAATTTAAATAAGCTACCTTCATTAGCATTTTCACTATCCTAGTAAACGTCGGGGCGCTGGGCGGGACAACAATCCGGGTCGATCTTCGAGCGCCTCAGCCCATTATGGTTCCGTAAACTTTTGATTTGTCATATTTTAAATAATAATAGGATTTACACAAATTCTTACTTTTATATGTAAAAATATTTATTTAATAAATTCCTTTTTATTTTCACTTTTTTTTAAATATCTTCCCCAGCTTCACTTTAAGGTTCTGGGCTTCACGTCATAAAAAGTGCTCCAGAAAATTTTGAAATAAATGTCAACAACTGCAAGATGGCATTTTGTCCTTCAAAAGGGCTCTTCTTACGCCATCAACTTGGTCCGCGTTTCAGAATCTCTTTCCTAACCCATAAAATCATCTTTGGGAATATTACACTTTTTCAAAAATAAATCGACCAGATAACACTATAACAGCTGCAATCTTAATACAATCGGCACTTGAAGAGCACCATTATGGCTTTTGCCGTGTTGCTTTCCAAAGCACACTTCGATTTTAAAAATTCCGAATTAATTATTATAGAAATTTGAAATATCGTAAAATTACGAATGTGTTTTGACATGTATTTAACATTAGGTCTGTGGTTAGCTGTTTAACAGCAATTTTTTCATAGATTACGCTTTATTTGGTCAATGCCCCACAAGTCAATTCGGCCAACTTACAACAAAGTTACAACTTTAAAATAAATATATAACGATTCCAACACCTAAACCTTTCGGTGGGAATCGAACTCACAACCTCCGCCAAGTCCAGTTGGCAGTTCTAACGCCTTACTTCTTACTTCTTTTGCCATGGTTACGACAAATAAAAAGAAGAAGAGTTAGTTTCAGGGCAGAGACGATAAGAAAAGCTTCTTGGTGTCGGTAATAGGAGATTGATCATAGTAAACTTGTGAACCGCTGAAAATGATGTTCCGTATTGTGTGTCTGAATGTATTTTATTAGTAATATTTTGCTAAAATGACGAAAATTAGGATTCAATAATGACAGGTATCCGGAAAATATTTCCAAATTCTTGTACTGATGTTACGAGTTAGGAAAAATATATCGGAATGCCGTTTTCACTAGCGCGTTAGACCCTTATTCGAGTGTCCGTTGCGATAAAAGTGATATTCTCGCGTTTTATTTTATTGAGATAAAAAAAAATTACAGTGATTTGACTAAGCGCCATCTGGCGGCGATACAAGCAATCTCAAGTGACCCCGAAGCAGCGGTGATTCCTAAAGAGAGCCGTTTCGAACGACTCCAAGATGTAATATAAGATTATTTTTCAAAAAAACGGATTTCAAATTCAAGAAAGCGATTACGCGCTCTGGTGGCCATTTTAAAAACTTAAAAAATTCCTTTTCACCTTTTTCCCTTCGCCCGCATCTTATTTTTTACGCTTTTCGAAACAGGGTTAGAAAGTGAAAATACTTCCTTATGAAAAAAAATATATTTTTTTCTCCTGTTGGCTCGGCCAGTTTAGAAAATCCTCCTTAACAGTCAATAAAAACCGAAGTTTCGTCCACCGCTGTTTTAAAATGACAAGGAAATCACTGATACACCGGCACGTATCACATTTCAACCTGCTGAGTAGGTGTAGGCCATTAGCCCAGCAACACTTTCTTCATTAGATACGTTCTCGAAGGGCTGACGATTTCGTCTTCTTCCGAGGAGGCGCACTTGGATGAGCAGAGGTACTGCAGAAGGGGGATTCTGTATTTGCCGCAGAAATCGACGAATTTGATGTGTTCTATTCTGTTGTCGAAATACACCCCTGAAAATGAACAATTGACAGGTTATTTGACATCAATTTACTATAATTTCTGGTCTTCAAATAATTACAAATATGAAGTTTCATTCATTTAAAGTTAACAAAGAGATCCGCATATGTCGGCGATTAGCGAGTGTCCATGGTAGACCGCCCAATAAAAGCAAGAAGAAGAAGATTAACTGTGGCTGGTACCTCTTTTTCTTTCGTTTGGACATTTTAGGTTATTGAATTACAGAACTTCTTTGCTGACAAATTTTTATTTTTTACTCAGATGCACGTTATTTGTGTTTAAAGTCGTTTCATTCGCTGTGCCTCATTTATTTTGCAACTTGCCATCTGCATTCCTGGTAAAATATTTATTGTTATTTATTTGACGAATTAAATTAAATTAAATTAAATAAAAATGTTTACAATTTTATTTACTTTATGTATCAATATTCAATAAACCATAATTTACTAAGTCCACGTTTAAATAGAATTGAATAAATTAAACGTTAATTTTAATTCAGTTCAAAAGTATGAATAATATACAGATATATCTACATAAACGGAGTCCCGCTTATTTAACCGGCTTTACAGCAATTATTTTTTATCGATATATCCCGTTTCAAAATGGCTTTTTAGGCCACGACACGATGGCGCTGTTTTCTACTTTTTTATACACAGTTTGTACTTCTCAACCTTGGTATTAAGTGTATTAATTCCTGACGGGATGGGCGAATGATCCTTGCCGACCTGCCCAACCTGGTGTCAAACGTAAAAGAAGAAGAAGTATTATGTGCAATAGGGTGCTTAAAAATTTTTTTTTCAGCTCTTACCCACTCAAATATTTCTATTTGATATAAAAAAAAATCCTCACCAAAGATGAGTCCTGTAGCTCAACTCTAAGGGGTCGCTATTTTTATTTTAGTTTCCCATTTAATTAACATAACTTTTCTTACTAAAATTAAGTTTACGTATAATGTTCGCGATTTTTTACAAAAAAAAACGGTTTATATTGTTAAGTTGAAAATAACGACATTTAAATACTTATGAATATTTCAAATTCCTTCTCTTATGCAGAATTGAAATTGTCATTTTTTTTAAATTCATTTTTCTAATCGGGGTTAATTAGGACAAAAACTGAGAGAAATTAAGGAGGTAAAAAATTATTAGAAGCTATTTGTGAAAAGTTCAAAATTTAGTAAATTTTAAATGGCTGTATTTAATCCTCTTTTAATGATAATCATACTTTTTATACGGTTATGGAAAGCTTAACGACTCAACTTTAACAATATAAATTGTTTTTTTTGTAAAAAACATTATACGTAAATTTAGTTTTAGTGAAAAAAGAATTTTTTCCATGTTAATTTAATAGGAAACTAAAATAAAAATAGCGACCCCTTGGTGAGAGTTATTTTTTATATCAAAAAGAAGCGTTTGAAAGGGTAAGTGCTAAAATTAAAAAAAAAAATTGAAGCACCTTAATGTGCAAATTACCAAACAGTGCGGTTGTTGTATTCTCTGCTTTGGCGTGCACATTGGGAAGTAAATTGTAAAAAAGAAGAAGAAGTATTCCATATTCCGTGCTTCGATAGCTGATTATTTAGAGATTAAATTTCAAAAACTTTAGGGAAATACTGTGAAATCCAGTTAAATTTACCTTTGCAGTGGGGATTGACGCAGCGATGCGCGGAGTTCAGATAGCGGTAGAGAGTGTAGGGAACTTCGGCAGGTTTCACGTCCACGTTGTGCAGTTTTATCGCTCTAGCCGACAACTCTAGCAGACTGGCCGGGTGGTAGCTCATGTCGCTGACGAATCTCACGACCAGCGGATTTTCACGCAAACTTAGCTGCGATAAGAACAAAAGGAAATGGCGAACTGGCGTCATGAAAGCAACAGATCAAGTTGATAATTGATAAAAAATTTATAAAAAGCGAACTTGACATTGTTGCTAGGCATTTTGGTGCAGAAAGAGGTCAATTTGTAACGGAATGTCAGAAAAACAAATATAACTTTACATATTTATATAATGAGTGTTGTTTCTAATCAATTTACTATATTTTTTGCACTGAATTACTTTCCCCTTTGATTCTCGAAACACTACAGGTTTCAACTGAGAAAAGTTGGCAACCCTACTGACACCCTTCGCTTTAACGGTATTTCAGCAGGTGCAACGTTGCCAGCATGTACTGTGAGTCTAGACATTTTTTTTAGCTTTATGTCTTCGAAATTATAATATGTATTTAAAAAAGTGTTTTTTCGATTTTTTCAACTAACCTTGTCGTGATTTTCTAAACAATGAATATTAGTCTAATTTTTCCAAAGCTATAAGCAAGCGATAAATGATTTCATCGAAAATTCCAAAGTTGTCATTGGTTTGAGTACATCTGGCAACGCAGCGTTTGCCAAATCATCTCTGAAATAAATATAATCTTTCGTCATCGTCATAAACGAGGACTATTTTACCTATAAATAACAATAATTTCATAATTCCAAGAATAAACAAAATAAAAACACCTTTTTTGCTCTGAAATTATTTATTTTGTTGCACTTAAAAAAAAACTAGAAACATACAAAAAAGTACTGGTGCGTAAATAAACCACTGGGAAAAAATATTAAATAATGTTTTGGGGCACATAACCTATAATTTACAAATAAATATACAAAAGAAAGTTCAAATTCGACAGAAAACAACTAAAAGTCCAAATAGAACCTGATTTGATACAAAAAAACGCATAATATTTTATGGTGCGTCAGCGCACCACTGGTATCACCCGGTTTCATTTTTGGTGATATTTTACAAAGCATAAAGTATGTAAATGCGCATTACACCTATTACAAATGTAAATTATGTGGCTGTGGCAGATTCTACGTCTCCTTCGGGCTTTATTACCATGAACAATCATAATTATCATAACGCACTTCATTTATCAAATCAATCACTTCGTAATCAAAAAACATAAAAAATATTTCAAGCGGAGTTTTTCCAGAAAGCCTATTTTTTAGTTCCTCGGATGATTTAAATTCATCGGATATAGGTGTGTGCGTGTACTCAATCTGACCTTTCTTCCATTTGACAGTAGTAGCAAGCCTGTCGTTTGCTGAAAGCATACGTCTTCTTTTGAATTCTAGGATTTCATCATCTGATGAGTCCCATTCAGATTCAGTAGTTGATGAATTGCAGGACTGATTAAGGACAGCTGTATCATTCGGTGTACGTAACTCGTAGTACTCGTACGTAGATTTATGTTATCGTTCATATCTTCTTCGTCAGTCAAGCTATCCACGTCGGGTGGAATACAGAAAGCGTCAATATGTTCTGTAAATATTTTTTCACGTTATTTTTAGCACAAATGTACAAGGAATGGAATGCTACAATACATAAGAATACGTAAATCCAAATAATATTTACGACTTTCATTGTTATTGTCCTCATCCATCACGATCTCCTCCATAGCTGCCTCTTTTGAGTCAAATACCTCGGAAATACCACATTTTACGAACTGTAACGTTCACTGCACAAGGCACAAACTAATACTAAAGAACACGCGAATTGTTGGATGTTCATTCTACATGCGCTGACTTGTCTAGACTTGCAATGACAAAGTTTTGGTTAGTTTTGGTTTCATAGATAAAACCAGTGGTGCATTCACGCACCAGTGGACATTTTTAAAAAATAAAGCATCATCAATATAGTATTTCCAATATATGTTTCCTGTGATGTAATCTACACCCTATAGACTTAACAAAAATGGCCAAAATATGTTTTTTTATTATTTTGGAATTACATGAAAATTTATGTACCGCTTTTGTTAACTTTCGAAGTCATATATAAGATCTTTCCTTTACACATAAATTAGCGATTTCTACGGTTTTATGTCCTTTAGTATTGATAATAATCAAATTTGCAAATGGATGTGCAAAAATATTTCCTGGCTGTGACAAAAAAAATCATAGAATAAATGGTGCCATTTTTTTTTTCAAAATTAACTCAAAGATTTTCGAGTGTTTGATAAAATCCGATTGCTTCTATACAGGGTGTTTGGAAAGCCAACCTTTTTTGTCTTAAAAGAGGAAAAATAGATACAACAATAAGATATATATTTTTTTAACTGAATGGAGGAAGATAAAAGTTTCTAAATAAAACGAAAACATAGGTATATAGGGTGTTTTAAATAATTATACTTGCGTAATATTTTATTGTTCGATCTATTTTCCTCTTTAAAATATAAAAAAATGATTGGCTCTTGACCCAATATTTAGATAACAAACCATCCATTGTCTTAAACACGGAATCACCTAAATTTTGAGCATTTATTTCGAAACACCCTATATATTTTTACTCCATGTACTTAGAAAACGAATCAAGCGAGGACACACGCTTATCTGAAAACATGAACCCATTCTTGGTACATAAATATGAGCTTAAAATACTTGTATTACATTCTGTTACACTCTGTACAGTAGCAGAATAATAAAGTACCTGTACACCTGCATTTATCGATATAACTAACCTCGTTGAGATTTTTCAATGCAATAATTTCCGGGGGTAGCGTCCTCAGACGATTTCTGTGCAGGAAAAGCGATTTTAGATTGTTCAGACTGGCTATGTTGGCGGGCAAGCTCTCAATTTTATTATCGCTTAATACGAGGGCCTGCAGTTGTTTCAATTGCCCTACCGATGCGGGAACGTCAGTTATCTCATTGGCTCCGACCGATAATACTAGTAATCTGGAAAGATATACATTAAACTAGACCACTTTCGCAAAATATCAACGCAGGTTATTTCACTTGAATGGAACTCTTTTTTTGCAAACTGCTTTTCAAATATGCAGTACCATGTAGATTTCATCAAAAACTGTAAATGTGAAAACCGTCGGTCTCGATATCGCCTACGTCAATAATTAGATCCGGTTTCCACGTTTTTTCATTTCACAAAAAAGAATCAAAATATATTAAAAAAATCCCAATCTTGATTGACTTACACCCCAGTAAGTCTACACCCCCAGCCATGTCTCGCACACAATGGCCAATTTTTTTTTTCACGAGCTCAATTTTCATTTTTTTGCCCATAACCGAAGAAGTTTATGGCGTGTTCTGATTCAAGAATTATCGTGTCATGACAATCGATTGAAGAGATTGGCCGTTTTCATTTGGCCATACTTATAGAATACTTATGTATTATAATTTATTCAATGAATATCAGCATGGGTATCTACAGGGAAAATTCTGTTTAATTTTGTAACTGGTGTTCTAAGTGAGCAGGAAAAGGGAAACCTCTCTTTAGGCCTCTTTCTTGACCTGATAAAAGCATATGATAACCTAGACTACGTAATTTCATTCAAGAAACTGTATCAATATGGTATCCGGGAGGTGACGTTAAAGTGGATCAAATCATATTTAACAAAACACAAACTGTTTATGCAACGCACACACAGAATTTTAGTTTTCCTCACCATCGACTCAAAGGGACTGAAAAGGGTCCTTATCACCAGTGCATAAAAATATTCAACAACCTGTCGGAATGGATACAGAAAATTAGAACTGTTACAATCTTAAAGAAAGGAATTTTTAATATTCTAGTCGGAATGGAACCATACACTATGGAAGAGTTTTACACCAAGGATATTGTAAATATTGTTTTTTAGAGGTTATTTAATGTATGTACATTACTTTAAATAAATATATATTATGTTATTGTGCCACAGAGAACAGACGAAATATAAAGATTTTATTTCGTCCATTATTGACGTAATTTCAATGACGGTGCTTCAATTTTAGGACACTTACGTCGTTCCAAAGCGATGGGCAAAAAAACCGTCAAAAATCGAAAAAAACAATGGCCGCCGACGTCGCAAAAGGGTCCCGGTATCGGAATTTCAGCTACGACGGTTCGGAAGTTATAGACAGACGGAAACAAAAAATCGATTTTGTCGTTAGAAAACGTACTGTTTCAATTTCCACACGTCTTTGGAGATGTTCTCCATTCCGTTGCCGCCCAGGTACAGGAATCTCAAGTTGGGGAAGCTAAAAATCTGCTCCGGGAAGCGCTGTATCCGGTTGCCGCTCAAGTTGAGCTCTTTGAGTTGCACACACTCGGAGAATTCCTTCGGCAAGCTGTCGTTCTTCAGTAGATTGTTCTTCGCCACGAGATTCGTCAACCGACAATGGCGGAATATATCCGGTAAACTCGCAAGGCCGTTGTTGCTCACGTCCAACACTTGCACGTTGGTAAACTTGACCAAGTTCCTGGGAATCACGCGTAGCTGATTGTGATGCAAAATCAGTTTTTCCACGTTTTCCGCGGGTTTTTTCGAATCCTTTTCGAGGTAGTCCTTGAGGTTGTGGTCAATGGCGTCCGGATCCAGCAGCAGGTAAGACAGGTCGACTATTCTGTAGCTAGTCTCGCCGTCGCTACTGTCGGAAGTGTACTCCATGACGGTCACCGAACAACTTTACGCAAGCAACTGACTCGATTGAAAAGATCACGCAGTTTGGCGATAAAATTCGATAACTCGAGATTGACCTGTTTTGAGGACTATAATAAGATCGAATTTATTTATTGACAAGTTATAGTTGGTACGACTTGCGGTGGCATAGTCGACAATAAAACGCCAGACAGAATAAAATAGATTGTTCATCTTGCTTCCACTTATACTTCAACGGATGTTGTTCCGCATTTATTAATTTAACTAGTATCGCCATACTCAGAGATGGATTCGTGTATTTTCTATAGCAAGAATATATGATAATAAAATTTAAAAAAATATACCATCAACTTCATAAAATATAGAGAAAATATACAATTAAATCAAATTTACGGTGAAACGTCTTCATCATCGGAATAAAAAGAATCGCGATTCCCAACGATATTTCTTGAAATATGGGCGAAAGCTTAGTAGTTGCATAAAGAGAGTTTCACAACATATATCCTGAAAACACAATCGCCTCTCTCGCGGGGGGCCCCGATCCTTCTAGGGGGTGCTCCGCCCCCCGAAATGGAACCCCGATGCTTGTAGGAGGTGCTCCGCCCATGTCAGATGTTCAGAACATAGCCTAAAAACCGTGATGACTCCCATTTTTTCAATCAAATAGGTAATGACGGTTAGATATGAAGAACAATGATGTCAAGTGCGCTGATCATGATGACTCTCTCTTCACACAATTTACGATACTGTTTAGACCAAATGATAACACGTTTTATGGTTTTTCATTTACCCACGAAAACCGAAATTTTCAGGGTATTTTTATTTTTTTGACTAAATGGTTTTTGTGATAGACGAAAACATTCAATAAAAAAATTGTAGCAAAATGATTGCAAAAGATTTTTCAAATTTTTTTAAAAATTATTTGCTAATGTCCGATTGCACCTAGCTTTATAACTCGCAAGAGTGGCCTTATAACACCTTGCAAAATTTTAAGTCAATAGCTGCAAATGTCGGGAACTTGCTGCATTTGTCAGCATAACACGATATATCTCGAACACCTTGTATAATATGCAAACACTTTAAATACAAGAAGAAACGGCCGAATAGGTAACAGTATTTAAAACAGTCTTTTTTTTTCAAGGCTAACTCAATTTTCAGTTTTGTGGAAATACCGGCACACCCTGTACATTTTCGAAAAATTGTCAGAAATAAAAGTTCACGGGAATAATTATTCTGCATCTTCCTGTTCAACAATTTTTTCGGTCCGATGAATGGTTTGCCAGAAATGGTCATTTTTTGGTTTTTAATTAAAAAAAAACTTTTCAATCACCCATCGATGTCAATTTCAATAGATTTCTTCACGGGTCGAGGCTCTATACTTTTAAAAAAGAATTCAAGTCGATAGATTCGCGTACACTTTCGAAAATAATCGATTTCATCGATTTTTTGAACTGCAAAGTATTATGAGCCAATTTTCTTTGGTAGCTGTCTGGGGAGCTGCCTTCCAAACAAACATTATTGCAGTATCATCTGCCTTGTCTCATTTACAATATTTTTATTATAAAATGTTTTGCACTGACCTGTATTGCCTAATACTTTTGTCATATCGATCTAATATAATACCAAATAGTCTTAGACAGAAATAAGGGTAAATAATGGAAAAGTTAAAATAAATCCCAAAGTTTAAAAAATAGTATTAAAACAGTTAACAATAAACTGGCCCCGAGGCCTTAAAAAAACCGTAACAGAAAAAATATCTACAATATTTTAGAAAAACTGCATGTAATAGTTGGTTAATATAAGTTTGTATTCTATTTTTTCTTATAAAGTCTTTAAGGTTATAACACATTTTCCTGGTAGTGCCCTTCAATAGAATTTGCGGTATTTTAACACTTGAATATTGGCGAGTCTTGTTACTTTCGAAAATCGACGAAAAAGAATTTTCGAAAGTATCTGCGCTAGTTTAAAAATTTTATATCTCGGTAATGGGTTGGTACAGAAATGATCACCGTCGAAAAAAAAAATTTGTTTGTCAGTTTATCCGTTCTCTGTTCTCCGTTCTCGTCTTTTGGTTTTTCCTGAATAACTTTCGAACCGTTTTAGCCACAAAATTGAAAATTGCCTTTCTTTAACCCTTCACGAGGCACATAAGCTTATAAGAAATGGCCCTGATCCCACCCCGGTATCCATCTTTTTTTCGCGATTTTCGACTGTTTTTTGGACCTTGCTATGAAACACGATAAGTGTCCGAAATTTGAAGCAATCGATTTCATATTTGGCACATATATGCAGCTTGGCCCAGTGACGGAACCTATTGAAAATGGGGTGGGGGGGGGTCGTGAAGTGTTCTAAAAAAATCAAAAATCGCGGGTGCAAGGGTCCACAAAAAACATGATTTTTCAAAAACTGTTTACGAGACCAAAAAAATTCTTGAACCAGAAGAAGCAGAAGATACGGCTCTATGAACTTTTATTCATGACAATTTTTGAAAAATATACAGGGTGCGCCGCAAATTCAAAAAAACTGAAAAATGGGTCCCCCAATTATTGAAAATTAGTTATAACCGAAAGACCATGATTCAGTTTTCACTTTCTTTTATATTCCGATATAGCCCGTATAGATAGCAAAAACTTTTGTATTTAAGGTTTTCACCTATTGTACAGGGTGTTCAAGATATTCCGTGCTAAATGAGAAATGTGTAAGGTGTCTTAAATTTGCAGATATCAACTTCAAATTTAGCAGAGAGGTAAAAGTCCGCGTCCACATTTAAACTGTAGAAATTGGGCGTAATCAGATATTATCAAATATTTTTTAAATATATTTGCTTTTTTTTTTGGTAATTTTAGCTTAAATATTGTCCATGTTTTCCTCCATAATCGTTCATCCGATTGGCAGAATTCTTTAACCGGCAGACGCCGATACAGTGCAATAACATTTATTTCTGGCATTATTTAGATTATATAAAGGGTTTTCAAATTATAGGCAAAAATCTAAAACATCTAGAAAATTGTTTTTTTACTGAGTAAATTATTAGCCATTAAAAATATGGCTAATTGGTTCAAACGATGTCATAGGCCGCATCAAGACCTACAATTTTTGTATTTGCACATACGCTGCTCGGGATATTTGAAATAATCCATATTGAAATCGTTATTTCGGGCACTGCCAAGATGCGATGACGTCATTGATAATTACGGGGCACTGCATGGTTTCAGAAAAAACTTATTTTATCGAAAACCATTTACTATTCTCAAAAAAATTCTTGGACCAGGAAGCGTGGAAAATCCAGGGCTATAATCCCTACTTCGAACAATGATTGTATCATATACAGGGTGTGTCGTTTATAGGCAAAAAATCTAAAATATCCTAAAAATTCCCGTTTTTGTGGGTAAATGATTGGCGATAAATGAGAAACCGTTAAAGATGGGATAATTTTATTTGAACGGTATCGTAAAGCGTGTCGTGAGAGAGTTTCAGGTTCCGTCAATTATACGGGGCGAGTCCTCAAAATACTGCCGTGAATCTTTATTAACAAGTTCTTTAAGCTGTTCCGAGTAACCTAATGCAGTATCATCAGCAAATTTGAAGTACCTTGCTTTTAAGTTAGCATATTTTTAAATTTAAATTGTTAAAACACAATTTTTTTTCGTCACACTTTTCGAGCCGCCCTGTATACTTCAAAATAATTTAATTTACAACCTCTGCATTTACAGTTTTCTCATAACTTTCGAAATCAATGTTAGTTGAATCAACATTTCACTACTAAATAGGGTATTCACATTTTATGCCACATGTTCAAAATTGTGATTTAAATAACATAACTTTTAGGTTATTTTTTTCAGTAAGCGATCCTCAGGTTCGGTACGTCCAGCCTAACAGACCCTGTTTTATTTCATTTAGGCCAGTATGTCCCTGGTCGAAATTATACACTCAAGACGAGTCGAGATATGAATTATCTTGTCAATGATAAACAGAACTCGAAGTCTACGTAAAATCTTCTGCGACAGTGATCGTTTAAGTCGGTAAATATGCTTGCGTCAACGTTATTGTGGCTGTTCGTGCTGGTAATAGGGATCAGGTGTCGTGGTAAGTTCTTACAGCTCAATTCGAATTATTTCCCATTTAGTACAATTCAAACATAAGAATTTCAAATTTAATTGTGCGCTTATCATTGATTACGTGTTGGGAAGAAAAAGCACGGAGAAAATGCTGGGAAAATATTTGTTTAGGTTTCCAGAATGGCTGACGGGGGGCATTCTTTAATTTTAAATTAGGTTTTCGAAGAATAATCGTTGCTAGCGAGGACCGCTTATCTATATCTTTCCTAATCTATAATATGCAAGATATGGTATGGTATGGTGTGTCTGGCTCCGTGAAAACCAAAAGTATACAGGGTGTTTGAAAAGAAAACTTCATATGGACACATATCCTAAATGTTTTAACTTTTTAGATTCAAGGTAGTACATTTTATACAAATAAAATATTTGTTATTCTATTTTTGATATTTTAACGAAATTTGTATCAAGAGTTATTATTTAGAGAAACCCATTTTTTCAATGTTCTACTTTTTAAAAAAAAGTTGTAATCAATTTATTAACACACGATTTTGATAAAAAATATTAACAGTAGGTAGCGTTTTTTTTTCAAATGAAAATCGTTTATTATTTATCTTATTAAACTAACCAAAACTGTAAAACTAAAAAGAACAGTATTCCAATTTGTTCTTTCTAGTTGGTAACTTAAAACTAGATATTCGGTTTTAGATAGATGGTTTATTTGTCACAAAAAAAGTTCTCGATTTACAGTCAGTGGCACGTCACTAACAAATAATGACATTTCTCGGCATGCTGTCATATTAACGATGTTGTTATGACCGCTCAGAGAAGAGGTTTTTACTTTTTTAAGCGAAGACTTCCTAATACGCCACCTTCAACAGAAAATTACAACAAACATCATTAAACAAATTGCACTGAACAACGGCTCCAATCCGTCCATTATCGATAAAATTATAAATAAAAAACAAATCCAGACAACAGTAACTAATTATGCTACACACTTAAACACAGAAAAACACATTGTTGAAGACAATTTTGATATTTTACATACAGCCACAAAAAGTAGAAAATTAAATTTATCGAAAGCCATGGAGATTAACAAAATGAGACATTCAAAAGTATTGCTTAACGATCAATTAGATTTAAATACCTCTCCATTATTAAACTTAAATTCTCACAACAATAATTATGGTTTTATTGTCATTTTTCGGTATATATAGTAGTAGGTGGTTTCTAAATATTACATTTGACCATGTCCGCTCTTTCTTCGGTAGATTTCGAGTCTACTTTGGGCCATATAAGGACGAGTACCAGCGTTGAAGAGCAAAAGAGAGCCGTCGAAGACTTGCTCGTGAGGCTGATTCCTGAAAGGGCTACGGATTTCGTCATTAGCATCGATCCCGCCCTAAGTCAGGATAATAAGGATGCCTTTACGGTTGAGTATATCGTTCCGAAATTAAGGGCTCGCATCGCTTGGAATATTTAGATTATTTCCAAATTTTCTAGTACAAAGTTCAGGATTTTCATCAATAGAATTTAAAAGTTCTTCTTCAATTTCTAGAGTTCTTAGAGTCCGATGGACCCCTTTTAAATGATCATTTGTTCTCTACTTGTTTCATCACCTTCTATGTTCATTTGAAAATATTCGCGTATTTGGTATGACTCGGTTAGGAAAGTGTTAGGAAACTATACAAAAAAATGCATCAATTCCTCATTAGTAAATTCTATCATTCTTTTTTAAAATAACAACGCTCGGATATTTTAAACACCACATTAGAGTTGAACTGAGGTGACTTCTACTTGCCAAAATGAACTGGAACTAAAAGTTCAGATTTTCGCGAAATTATATATTATGACATGACAATTGTTTCGACAACACCGTGTCTTTATCAAATGTAATATTTACAAACTACCTGCTACTATATATACGGAAAAATTACCATAAAACCTTAATTATTGTTGTGAGAATTTAAGTTTAATAATGGAAAGGTATTTAAATCTAATTGATCGTTAAGCAATTCATTTGAAAGTCTCATTTTGTTAGTCTCTATGTCTTCCAATAAATTTAATTTTCCATTTTTTGTGGCTGTATGAAAAAGATCAAAATTGTCGTCAAGAATGTGTTTTTCTGTGTTTAAGTGTGTAGCATAATTGGAATCTAGACTATTGTTTTTAAACGCTTTTATATGTTCGTTAATGCCAGTCTTGAAGGATCTACCTGTTTGTCCCATATAAATTTTAGTACAAGATCCGCATTTCGACCTGTAGACACGCGATTTTTGAGATTTTCGAAATTTCGTTTTATTGTTTTTTACAAATTTTCCTATTGTGTTTTTAGTTCTGCAAGCTATTTTTAAACCACATTTTGACAAATGTTTTGACACTTTTTCACTGGGTTCTCATATGTATGTAATTGTTTTAAATTGTTCGTGTTCTATATTAGATTTCGGATAAATAGAGTTTACTGTTGTTTGGATTTGTTTTTTATTTATAATTTTATCGATAATGGACGGATTGTAGCCGTTTTTCGTCTAAAGATACTATTAAACCATTCAAAAAATCCTTGTTTCACCAATGGGTTAACCTGTTTCCGAGTGAGGGTGAAATCTATTAAATCTATCACATCCATAGGTGGAATACTGGAATACTCTTGGGTTAGAAGGGATTTTGATATCTTTAATTTTGTTGATTAATTCAAAAGAATTTCTTATTGCAAATTTTGGTTTAAAATCTGTGTGGAATTTTAAAATATTTACTAATTTTGAGTTTAACTGCTGGAGCCGTTACATAAGACACGACTGGTCTAATGGGCATATCTTCTTTACGTAATTCAACTAAAGAATATAATTTCGGCTGTTGTGGATTCATAATTGTTATAAAATACTTGTCTTTGTCATTAAATAGTGTGGAGTTAACATAACTCGGTAAGATCGTGTTTGATACATGTTTTTACCACGTTAAAGTACTACATTTAAAAACCGATGTCAAACAACTGTCAAACAACCGCCTTGACAACAGAATTCTTACGGGCACAGCCTACTACAATGATACGAAATATTTATAAACATTTAAGAAATGCACTTCAGAGTTTCCGTATATCGATTTTTTGAAGTATTTTAATAAAATGGATTGATAATTACTTAAATAAGAAAGAATAATGATAATCATTCTCCCTTTGCTGTCAAATTGATGATGTTGTTATGAAAATGTATAAAAAGATTTTTGATTCTTAATAAGGCGAAAACAAGTGAAGCAAGCACCAAGCACCAAAGAAAAAGAAAATTGAAAATAATTTTGGTCTAGACAAACTATTGCACTATCTAATAAATGTTGTTTCATGGTAGGGATAACTTATCTCTGACATAATATGGTATTTTTAAAAAGAAACTTCCACACGCCACTGTAACACTGGCGTTATTTTCAACACGACGTTTCGGTTTTCTCTTGATAACGTCTTTAGGCAACGGAAGTTTTTTGAAGCGGAAAATCGAAAAGCACTTTTAGAGATTTTTTCAACCTGAAAATGACAACAGATTCGTATTCACGACTATCTAAAAGCAACCAGACGTGACCAAAGCTTTTAATATAAAAAAAAAAAACATTGTAAATGACGATAATTTTGTATGTGATTTTAAGATCTTACAAATTTTAAAAACACTTTTTAAGCGACATTTAGTTTTTAGCGGAATCTTAAAACAACATCATTAATAAATAATAAAATGAAAATATAAATAGCTAGTGAATTTTACTGTCAATAAACAAAAAAAAATAAACAAACATTCTACAGGAGTAACACTTAAGCGAACCTCAATAGACTTAGTTAAGTTTAGTCCTGAATAAGAATTCGTCGATGTTTTGTTCTTAAAGAAGTTCCTAATAGAACTTCTTGATATTTGACATCACAAATTGGTCCCAGTTAGCCATGTCTGCAGGTTGATGTGATAAGGAACATAAGGTTGTAGTGCGTTTTTAATTGATCTATCCAACAAAAAAAAATCGAACCGTAACCAAAGATTTCAAAGGAGTGTACAGTTCTTAAGTGGGACACATTAATTAATTATAATTTAAATGTACGTAATTTTTAGTTGCAAAAAGTGGGCGGAACCGTTCAGGTCAACGGTAGTACAGGAGTGGCTGCTGCCTCCGGAGTCCACCACTATCTGAAGTATTTCTGCGGCTGCCACGTGTCGTGGGAAGAGTCCCAACTGAATTTGCCTGCCGAATTGCCCGACGTGGACGTTTTAATCCGATTTAACGACCGGTAAGATGCGTCCTCCGATTATAAATTTGATAACAACTCTTCGTTGAAGGTTCCGATACTATCAAAATGTGTGCACTACGAGCTACAGCTTCGTGTGGTGGAGCTGGGAACAATGGGAGCGTCACATCGACTGGATCGCCTTGAACTCTTTCAACCTGGTGCTTGCGTTTCACGGCCAGGAGGCCATTTGGGAAAGGGTGTACTCCAAGCTGGGTCTAACCGCATCCGACATAGAGGAACATTTTACCGGGCCAGCTTTTTTGTCTTGGTAAGTGGGATAGTGGGCATAACCTGTTTTGAGGCTGCGCAACATTCAACAGGATGGTAAAAAATGGCGTTAAAAAAATATAAATTAAGATGATCAATCAAGATGATTCGGTTAAAATTGAGCAATAACCACAAATGGGTACGAAGGTAGACAATGCAGAATGTCGCGATATGTAAATATTAAATTAGATAGTTGTTAGATAGTCAGTCAGGGCACTCTTTAAAATATATAAAAATTTCCTGTTCTGGCCGATATGTCAAAAAACGAGTGGACTAAAATATAAAGCGTGTAACATCATTGTAATCGGATTAGGATATTCTATTAAACACCTATAAAATATACAGGGTGTTCCATTTAAGAAAATATCATGTATGTCAGAAAATTGACAGCGTCATACGTCGTACGTCACTTGGCCACTAACCCTGCATTTTCTACAGCTTCTACAAGTTAAAATATTATCAAGGTAAATTGAAAGCACTGTGCGTAGCCCGTCCAACTAGAAAAGTCACCTTACTTTTCGACCGCACCCCGTATATAGGGTTATCGTTACGTACGAGACTGCAGTTTATTTAATTTTTACCTTGAGATACATTTCCGCGTTTTAGGCTGAGAATGGGCAATGTCAGAGGATGGGCGGCTCCTTTATCTAGCGCTTGGCACCAGAGGTCGCTGGCCCTGCAAAAGAACATCCTCAACAGGATGCGACAGCTCGGTATCACGCCGGTGTTGCCGGCTTTCGCGGGACATCTGCCTAGGGCGTTCAAACGGATCTATCCGAACGCGACGATGACCAAGATGGACGTGTGGAACGACTTCAATGATACCTATTGTTGTCCCTATTTCCTCGACCCTACCGAAGATCTGTTTAAAACCGTAGGGGTGGCGTTCATCCGGGAGCAAATTGCCGAATATGGTACTGACCACGTCTACAACTGCGACAGCTTCAACGAAGTTGATCCGCCGACTACCGACCTCAGCTACCTCGCTGACGTGGGCAGGAGTATTTACGCGGCCATGACGGACGCTGACTCGGAAGCTATATGGTGAGTGCTAAGCTATTTAGTCGGTCTCGATCTTCATTGTGCTGCCCTTCGACGGACCCTCCCCAAAAAACCTTAACGATGTTATTATAATACGACCAAAAATATAGTGCACTTCCCAGATAGCAGCACAATATCTCCAGTATATCCCGTCAATGTCCCATTTAAGTCGCATGTCGAGGATATTCTTGGAATATACGTTAGCATATATATTAAGGATATACTGTAAAATACATCCCAGGGATCTCCTCGGAACGCATAGCTTCCGGCTTTACCGTACACGATATACCACAGATATGGTAACGGAAACATCAGAATAGAAATAAGGGAAAAAAGTGAAAACCCGTAAAACAAAATGAAACCTAAAAAGTTAAATTTCGAACAACTGAGAAGGAAGATGCTTAGTTTCTTAGATTTGTGGTGTTTTGGGAGACATTTTATTGGCAACGTTCTTGTGCACATCTACATCGACGTCAGTGTTGGCAAGTCCTAAAAAAACCGGAATCAAACCTTTAAATTAAACTTGTTTTTATTATATATTTATACATGAACGAGACAAGAAACACTTTTTAAATAAAAATACCAAGGAAAATACGGATTCATCGAAGTAAAAAAAATACAAAAACGTAAAAATAATATATTTATAAGATCCCATTTGGCAACACTGTTCGGCTGCAACCAATGACGCAACTACTCGCGATCGTGCCGTGCCGAACTCGCTCGAGTCTCATCGGCTTCTCCTCCGTCTCGTCGTCTGTCATCTTTTCAGCCTTGTTTTTGTTAGCGGTATAGTCTGTTCATAGATGTTGGAATTTCCGTCAATGGAGCCGTTTCTTCCGGATGCTTGCTTGCTGGCACCACGTTCAATGCGAGTCAAGTAAACATTGTTTATAACTTCCTTAGTCTCAATAGAAAATAGTGTTTTCTACATTTTGGCGGGAGCATCTCCTGAGATAACACTAGACACGCACATATTTTGCATAATTCGCGCATGATTCAACACACGCTGTATTACACACGAAATAAGAATGATTACTAATAAACTTAAACTAAGTAGCATACCAATCCAAAGAATATTAAATACAGGTAGGTATAAAATTATTTTCTATTACGGACCACAATTTTACGTGAATCTAAATTCCAAAACTTCAGGTAATAATCTTATTGCATTGCATGTTAATGACCACCCTTGGATAGTCCCATTCAAAAGCAGTTGGTTACTTTCTTATATCTATGAACAGACCATATATTTTTTTCTTTCTGATATATTTCTTGAGTGTTGACCATTTTTGGCAGTGTTGAATAATGTTTTTATATAAAACACCATAAATCCTACTATAATTAATTCTCAATGACAATCCTGATAGTGGAACAGAATTAGTTTTAGATATTTATATGTACCTATTTAATGTCATTGCTTTTTCTTATTGTAATTTAATAAAATTATACTAACCGAAATTAACAAAAAAACAGATAACTTCCATAAATGCGGGCAAAAGCCAGCACGATGAAGATTGAGACGGACTATACGGGGGTCAGTCGATAAGTTCCCGTCAAGATGGCAGAGATGATACGATATGTCTTCTTCAGTGAGTCGTAACTATTAACAAGTTGTAACATTGAACTGGAAACTAATAATAATCTCTCATTATTAGATTTTATTGTTGCCGAATACATCAAATCTTATTCGAACAAATAAAATAAATTAAAAATAAATCCGATAGGGGCATTTGTGGGACACCCTTGAAAAATACAGCAAAAAAATGTGGATGCGTTGTCAGGCACGGAACTTATCACACTGCCCCCGTATAGTGCGTTTGGGCTTCGTCTTGCTTCGAACTAAATGTCTGCGTGTTTCACGCCTTTGTACTGCGCAGGTTAATGCAGGGCTGGCTTTTCGTGCATTCGTTTGTCTTCTGGACACGGGAAAGGGTCAAAACTCTGTTGAGTTCTGTACCAACCGTAAGTTTTCATTTTCCCACATACAGGATGTCCAATTAGTGTGTTAAAGAATTATATCTACTTTACAATTTGTTTTAGAAAAAAATGTTTGATACAAAAGTTATAGGTAAGACTAAAAGAAACAATTTAAATCTATTTTCAAATATACAGGGCAATTCATAAATATGTGAGAAACTAAACTTACTTTTTATCGCATTGACAGATACTCAGCGAGCAATGTAGGCTTTTTGTATTAAATTTTGTAATGTAATTTTTTTACTATTTATTATTAAGATTAGAGTTTTTAGTAATTTTTTTATTTCATAATGTATTTTTAATATTTAGAATAAATTTAGGATATTATTTTTTTTAAATATTATTTTTAGCTGTAAGAGTATGTAAGTAATTTTTAATATTTAGTATTAGCTTTTTTTATTAATTAAATGAATTACGTATATAGGTATATTAGGTATATTTCTCATTAATACTATTAAATAGGTTCTTTAATAGTTTTAGCTTCTGGGAAGATATATAGAAAAAGCAAATACAGAGATCTTTTTTTCGTTTTAATTCGTTTATTGTTATTTTTTTTATTATTATCTATACTATCCTATGCTTGATTATGAAGGGCGAGAAAAAATGAAATATATATTATACTTCCATTAACTACTCATCCTCTTTCATTTTTATTAAGCATTCTTAACAAGCAAACTTAGTATTTTTTATGGACACTCCAAAAATTCGTCAAAGTATCAAATGAATTACCGTACCACTTTATAAAATTATAAGCACAATAAAATTAAATCTGTTACAAAAGGCCTTAAAAATATAGGTTATTAAACACAGGGCATTTTGACGAAAAAATGGCCACAAATCATTGAGTCATATTAATGTCATAATATACAGGGAGTTCTATTAAAAATATTTCTGAATTTCCACATATTTATGAATCACCCTGTATTTTTGGAAATAATTTTCAATTGTTTCTTTTCGTCTGATCTATAACTTTCATATTTACCTTTTTTTTTGAACCAGCAATAAAAGAGATATATTACTTTGACACACTGTTTGGACACTCTGTATATCTCGATATAGGGTGATGCAAGGATGGTTGTTCTACTCCAGCGACTACTGGGACGACACCGACAAGGTGAAATCTTTCGTAACTAGTGTTCCCACGGTAGGTACGACGAAACACAATGGGTGGGGCGTTAAGAATACTAGTAAATCAGCGGCGAATCAGTAATTTTTCAGTGCTTGTGGATCTGATTTATTAATTCTTTTTTTTTAATCAGATATAGCGAACTTTCGAGGTGATTTTTGACTAAATGAGGTAATTGAACATGTTAACTGCCTATCGAATGCGAATGCTTACTTAAAACTTAAAATGTTTTAAAGAACAATTCCGATCAGAAATCAATGGCCACACCGTCTAATTTTTTTTTTCAAAGAAACTTTCACAGGCTACTGTAATACTTTTCACAAAACTTCTGGAATCGGTTTTTGCTGAGTCGAACTTGCTGACGTTTCGCTAATCATCCTGTTGGCTTCTTCAGAGTTTGACTGAAACTGGCTCGCATTTTATCCTGTAAATGCTTTTATATTGTTTGAGGGGGCTTTTACTTGATGAAAATCCATTTATCAAAATAAATAAGAACTAAAAGTTCAGACAACACCGTGTCTTTTTTTATTTTGATATTTTGATATTTTACATACAGCCACAAAAAGGAAAAAATTAAATTTATTGGAAGCCATGGAGATTAACAAAATGAGACATTCAAATGTATTGCTTAACGATCAATTAGATTTAAATACCCCTCCTTTATTGAACTTAAATTCTCACAAAAACATTAATTAAAATTTTTATGGTTATTTTTCGGTATATATAGTAGCAGGTAGTTTGTAAATATTACATTTGATAAAGACACGGTGTTGTCGAAACAATTGTCATGTAAAAATATATAATTTCTGAACTTTTAGTTCTTATTTATTTTGAACTACTGATGAGTGTATTTGTCTTAGTCTTAATGCGAAGATGTTGAGAGATTTTTGGACAAGTGGTAAAAACGTTATAATTCTTAAAACTTTTGATATGTGGTCAACGCTATTTTGAATGTAAGGAAGGACCACAGTGGCAAGTGTAGGACTGCTTTCGGCCTCATTGCTATTGAAAAGTTGTGGTGAAGTGTATTTTATGATCGAACGCTTAATACCCTTAATATGGAAATTATATTAAAATCTTAGAATCTGGAACATAACGTTCTCACCTTAATCGATAAATGCTTGTTTGGAACATATTTTTCTTATAAATTTTTGAACAAACGTTGGGACACCAGCATTGCGGGAAAGAATACATTTGGAATGACTGAACGAAAAATATTAACTGGACTCAAAGAAAAACCAGATATCAAGTTTTAGTAGATAAAACTAACATTCTTGCACGTAGTCCATCAAGGAAAAATCCGAGAATCTGTATACTCATCTATATGGGAACCATCCGAGGCCACGTTCATGTGTTTATGCCCCCTCAAACAATATATAAGCAGGTACAGAGTAAAATACGAGCCAGTTTCGGTTAAGCTCTGAAGACGCCAACGTTAGCTAGTTTTTAATGTCGAAGAAAATCTTCCGCAGGGTAAAATGATAATCCTGGATCTTCAATCGGAGCAGTTCCCTCAGTACGACAGGCTGGATCAATATTTCGGCCAACCTTACGTGTGGTGTATGTTGCACAACTTCGGAGGCACACTTGGAATGTACGGATCGGCCACTATCATCAACGAGGCAAGTTATAGTCGCCATGATGCGTCAATAAAACGCCGGACAGAATTTACAATGTTTAATTATTATCATTAATTGTTGATTATTATTTCTCTCTCTTTCTAAGAGGTCCCGCCTGGTGGAAAAATAGAAAAATAGATTCGCATCAAGTGATTTAAGTGATGATCTACTTCACTATTTAATTTAAAATCATGATTTTAATCGAACTCCTATTTTTTAAAATATTTTTTTTAATGAGAGCAACAGAAAAAGCGCAACGTAAAAATATTATCACAAATGAAAAGGAAAACGCAACTCTTTAAAAAAGGAAAACATATAAAATATTAACATACATTCCACTGCCTAAAAAGAAAATAAAAGCATTAAAATAAACAATGGATTTATTGGCTTTTATTAAATTTATACTACTACTGTTCTCATATTTTTTTGTTTTTTGAAATTTTTATTTACTTTTTGAAAATTGTGTCTAGGAGGCTGTGAGCATCACAAATACTATTTACCTGGTCACCTGATCATGGGAAAAATTATAAATGAAACTTTTCTTTACTTGGTTAATGGTAAATAGCTTTTGATGTAATTAATTTTTTACTATAACCTGTAAAACCGGTTCCTTTTTTGCAACATTTGGAAACTAAAATTTTCAAAACCGGTTAATTGTCAAGTCGATAAGATTAAGAATGCAGAAGAAACTTTCGAAAAGCTAATTATTATTCTCGTCATGTTTATCTAACATCCAATCACAATATTGAATTTTTCTTACAAAGTCGGCTTCATAAAGATGTCGATGAAGGTTATACTTAAAATAATGATGGACGTGTTTTTTTTTAATCCTCCTTACAGATTCTCTTAAGATGTGTAATTCTAATGAGACTAATCTTAGCGACGCGGCTGGATCCCACAACATCGATTTCCATTTCTTCACTCATAATAAAATTATCATTATTTATTATTTTATGGATTTTTTTTTGTGGATTTTTCATTTTCAATTTCAGCTTTCTAGAGAAAGAATATCAACAGTTTTTTCTGCATAGAAACAAAGCCACCTAAGTAATATTTTGTTTTTATAAAAATGTATTTACTTATCTGGTTTTTTCATTCCTATTGCATTTACGATGTATTTTTTTTTAATTTTCGCGGAATGTTGTGACACACGTAATGGGGTTCACAAATGTTCACAAAAATAAAGCACCTGTAGTAAAGAAGTTGGCACAGTACTTTCGATCATCGAAATGCGTCTATCGATGACGCGAAATCCGTCCGTTTCAGGAAGTTATCAAGGCCAGGAACGCGGCAAACAGTACCATGATCGGCACCGGGCTAACAATGGAAGGCATTAACCAAAACTATGTCATTTATGACTTGATGAGCGAGTCGGCTTGGAGACGACAACCTACCAACCTGACTGAATGGTTCATCGATTACGGCGCCAGGAGGTACGGCAAAAGCGACCCGAGCTTGGAATACGCCTGGAACATACTGAAAGTACGTATGTTTCGAAATACAGGGTGTCCAAAATAAAATACGCAAAAAAATCATTTGAAAATTGGGTATCGATTTCAATTTAATTATTATAAATGGAACATTTGGCATTATCAGACAAAAATTACATATTTTTATTATATATATTTTATTATATAGAACGTGACGTATATAACAATTAATGACATTTGACGTTGCGTTAATATATTACATATTTAAAATAAACATAATTTTATTTTTTTTATGGCAAAATTTAATTTTGTTGGTTTAAAATTGAATGATATATTTTGTTAAGGCGTGTATATATAAGACGAACAAGCCAGTATTTAAAAAATAGGATCAACGGACATAAGTATGACAAAAAAAAACAGCTCGTCATACCCATCACTACACACACATTCAATTTTCCAAAATTTAAAGTCCTACTAACAGAACCTAAGACCAAAAAGAGAGAACTTTATGAAAGCATAGAAATAAAAAAAAAACACAAAAATCAATTAATTACAAAACGGATTCTAAAGGCCTTAACAAAATATATTATTGAATTTTAAACTAACAAAATTAAATTATCCAATATATTTACTAATGAAAAACATCCGTATCTGCTGCAATCCGCACTAACTATGTGCTGACAAATTATGTTTATTTTAAATATGTAATATATTAACGCAACGTCAAATGTCATTAATTGTTATAAATGTCACTTATAGAAAATAATAATATTTTGAAAAAGTTTGAAATTACGATCTAAACAAATGACATTTGATAAAGATACAGTGTTGTCGAAACATTTGTCACATCAAAATATATAATTTCCTGGAAATCTGAACTTTTAGTTCTTATTTATTTTGATAAATGGGTTTTCATCAAGTAAAATCCAACTCAGTTCAATTTACGAAACGTTAATAGATATTTAAAGGAATTACGTTGTTTTCGAGAGACCGAATACCCAAGAGAATTTGAAGAATATATACATAAGACAGTCCAAGAAATTGCATCTATTAAAAATCCAGATGTTTCGCCAAGATCTCACTTGGCATTTTCAATGCTCGCGCTCCAAAAACGCTTCGAACACACTTTTCTGTTTTCGGAGCGCGAGCATTGAAGATGCCAACTGAGGTCTTGGCGAAACACTTTGGTAACCTAAACTTTATCGTAGAACCCATATTAACAAAGTTATCCATATGGTAATTTATGATGGGATTTATAATGGGATATCCGGTATATTCGCGCCGTTTCAGGACTCGGTGTACGACTTCAAAGGGATCGAGAAGATCAGAGGCCAATACGCCATCACCAAAACTCCCAGCCTAAACATATCTCCATGGGTAAATGACCTCTCAATAGATAAGTCGAATCTCTATTATCTCAGGTTGCAGTCTTGGTATAACTATTCGGCGCTGTTCGACGCCTGGCATAGTTTTTTGTCGGCTTCGGATAATTTGAACCACAGCTCGGCTTACCTGCATGATCTGGTAGACCTGACTCGCCAGGTACTCCAAGTGAACGGAGACATATATTACGTGAAACTGATCGACGCTTTCCAAAGCAAGAACTTCGAAGATTTTCGGTATGTAGTAGTAGGTTCATCAGAAACTTCAGCTTTCACGGCGGCCTTTGTAGTTTTATAAGAAAACCAAAATACTTTAAGTTTTTGGAAAGGTTTTGTAGCAGATAAGGCAAACGCCACTGTTATGTGGCTTCATATCTGTAGTACTCATTCTCAGGAAAAATGTTTCCAGTTTTGTGCTTAATTGTTTTCATCTTGTTCAAGAACGAAAAGACATTTATGGTCATTCCTTCTTCAATGTCATCAAAATACAAGTGTTATAAAATTGAAGAGTACAGGGGAAAAAAGATGAGGGTCCATTTTTTTTTTTATTTCGTATAATTTACGTTTAAGTGAGTTTTTCCGAAGAGCCTATTTTTTAGTTCCTCACATGATCTAAATTCATCGGATTCAGGTGGTAAGTGTACTCAATCTGACCTTTCTTCCATTTGTAGTAAATAGTAAATATTTTCACAAAATAAATCATAACCAATATATTATTTCCGATGTATGTTTTCTGCAACGTAATATACATGCTATAGAGTTAACAAAAATGGCAATACAAATCCAAAATATTTTTTGTTTCACTATTTTGGATTCACTTGAAAATGTGGTTCAAATTTATGTACCGCTTTTGTTAACTTTTAAGATCTTTCCTTTACAAATAAATTGTGACAAAAAAATCATAGAATGGGTGATGCACCACTGGGATAATATGAGTTAATAACGTGCACACCTGTAACACGTCATCGTCCCAGGAAATCTGAAGATGGAGCTGATTTTCATTCATTTTCGTATACTTATAAGGTGAGATTGTTAATAAACAACAAAGCCTTACTTGGTATAACTGCAAAAAGGCTACAACCTAGACAAAGCGGTTTAAAATTCAAGGGTTCAGTGCGAGGAAAGCACCCTTCCAGACCTAACCGACTTTCTAGAGAAGTAACAGATTCGGTCATGGAACACATTAGATGTTTTAAGGGTAGGATGTCTCACTATGGCTCGGCCAAAACAAAAGGTTTGTTTACCTGCTGAGCTCAATATTAAGAAAATGTACTCTACGTGCAAAGCAAAATATCCCGATAAATTAGAGGAATATTCAACACCAAGTTTAATATTGCTTTTGGATACCCACGATGCGATAGTTGTAGTATAGTTGATGAGTTGAAAGTAAAAATTGACACATTGAAAAAAGTTCTGTTCCATACTTATACTGAAATGTCAGGAGTTACATTTTACATTCCATTTTTAACCATCTGGATTTTGATGTCAAGAAGCTTACAATATTTTGTGACTCAACAGTGGACAAAATAAAAATTTCACGGTGTTTACAATGTTTCATTATATTGTTCATTTTGTTAAAAGACTCCAAATGGTTTTTCCTGTTCGTGGACATTCGTATCTAGCATGCGATAGAAATATGAGTTTAGTGAAACAGAGGACGTACGTTGAACTGCCTCAAGAATGGAATGCAGTTTTGAGGGATTCCCGAACAAAACCAAGCCCTTTTAAAGTTATTTCTTGTGAAAATCGGTCCAGTTCTAAGAGTTGGACCAAGTTTCTAGCGGATATCTGTATGCCCAAGTGTCCTGTTCCTTCAAGACCGGTCAAATAATTAACTGTAACCGAAAACCACCCTCGTATGATGATACATAGGGAAAGTTATAATGGAAAAAGACTTTCGCTACCTGAAAACTGTTAGCTCTTGTATCTTACGCTAAATTTCAAAACCTACAGCATCTAAAATGATTCTGTTCTCAAAATGCGCCGTATTTTTTTTTACAGCAATACTACATCGATAAGATTACAATCAATTGTGAGCCTTTGAAATTCCTTGACGAACATTCGATGCAGGTACTCTTAGACCCGTTCAACGACGTATACAAGACTGCTAATATTCCCCATGATTGGCTTCTATCTACTTTTCTCCCAATCCCAAAAATACCTCGACCATCTAAATGTGATGACCACCGGCTTATAAGAATACACAACATATGCGAAACTGAAGCCTCTACCACGCAATTTGCATTACGCAATGGCCTTGGAACTCGGGAAGCCATTTTCACGTTTGACGGTCTTGCCCAGAGATGCCTAGACGTCAATCAGGATGTCAGGCATGAAAAACTAATGGAAATCCTACAAAAACTGAACATCGACTATCACGACATGCAGATTATATCACAGCTGTATTGGGGTCAAGCCACTTTAGAAGACGAAGGTACAAAGGAAGTGTTAGGAAGAATGGGCAAAGAACTGGAAATACTCTTTACCATTGAAAAACACAAACTTGAGTTCCTGCTTTACAAGATATGAGCTGCTGAAACTCATTAATTATTTAGATCGGCAGTGTCAAAAATGAAGGTATGGTCTGTTCATAGATATAAGAAAGTGACCAATTGGTTTTGAATGGGATTATCCAAGGGTGGTCATTAACATACAATGCAATAAGATTATTATCTGAAGTTTCGGAATTTAAATTTAGGTGAAATTGTGGTCCGCAATAGAAATAATTGTATACCTACCTGTGATTAATATTCTTTGGTTTGGTATACTACTTAGTTTAAGTTTATTAGTAATCAATCATTCTTATTTCGTGTGTAATACAGCGTGTGCTGAATCGTGTGTGAATTATCCAAATATGTGCGAGTCTAGTGTATCTCAGGAGATGCTCCCGCTCAAACTTAGAAAATACTATCCTATTGAGACTAAGGAAGCTACAAACAATGTTTATTTAACTTTCATTGAACGTGGTGCGAGCAAGCAAGCATCTTTAGAAGAAACGGCCACATTGACCAAAACTCCAACATCACCTGTATGGAAAATTGTGAATAATACCATTTCAGTCAGAAAAAAATGCTCACATTTTCTGGAGTGGAGATTTGCCAGTTATACGAGGAACCAAGCGTGCCTACATTAGATATCTTAATTAGAAGCCTTGAAAAAGATGAAACCGGTGTTAAATGTGGCAAAACTACCTTAGGGAAGTGTATTCAACACATGGGTTTTAGATTAAAAAAAAATTGACAAAAAGCAAGTTTTAATGAAATCTTTTAGAATTCGGAAATGGCGACTGGAATATCTAGAAAAAAATAGGATTTACGGAGACCAACAAAGGCCAATTATTTACTTGGATGATACCTGGTTCGACACTTATGATACCCCGCAAAACGGTTGGGTTGGCTCAACTGATAAGTGTAAAACAAACGCGCCATCAAAAAGAGGTAAAAGAATAACTATTTTGCATGCTGGCTCTAAAGATGGTTGGATTCCAAATGGACTTTCTCTGTCGGCGAAAAATATTAAAGATTCTTCTATGGATTACCATGAAGACACCACCGCTGATTTATTTGAAAGTTGGTTTAAAACCAAACTAGTTCCAAACATTCCTCCTAATAGCGTCATTGTAATGGACAATGCAAGTTATCACAGTAGACAGTTGACTAAAACCCCTTCTCATATGACACAAAAGCAACAATCCAAAACTATATGTATAATAACGACATTTATTTTCACGAAGATTATACCAAAATGCAATTAATTGAGGTTCTACAACGCTTGAACCTACAAAAGGAATATGTCTGTGATAATTATGCAAAAAATGTAGGGCATACAGGTTTAAGGTTTCCACCTTGCCACTGTATATTTAATCCCATTGAACATGTTTGAATCTGCCATTCGTCGTAACAATGTTTTTCCCCGTGTTAACTCCAATGTCCTCAAACTTATAGAAACCGAAGTTTTTAACGTCCCTCCACAAAGTTGGGCAAATTCTGTTAAACATATAGAGAAAGCAGAACAATCGTATATCCATATTGCAAATAATATAGAACAAATAATAATTAGAACAGGCGATGATAGCGATAGTGATACTGATATGTGAATAATTTTAAGTAATTCAAGTAGGTAATAAAAATAATTTGTAATTTTATTTTAGATTTAAACATAAATACATACATAAATAAAAAAATATTGTTTCGTATCTTTCCTAACAAAACCCCAAATAATTAAATTCTAAGCAAAGTACGGACCTGTTCGGCCATATTTCATTCTTACAGCTTGCCCGGGTCTTTCCTTGATTCGTATCAGTTAGTCACTTTCTTATATCTATGAACAGACTTTAGCCATGATGATCGGCAACCTCCAGCAGGAGAAGCTGATACAAGAAGAAGAAGATTACAATAATAGATTATGGACCTTCATCTTTATTGTCAAGTTTTCAATATATATATTTATATATTTTTTGTATATTTGTCAAACAGTTTTTTACTTCAAGATAGCAATAATTATATTCCAAAATCCTTTTTTTGTTTACCCTGTTCCTAAATGGAAATAAAATTTACTCAGAATTAAGTTTGTACTTTTCAATTGTTTTGGTCTCAGGAATACGGCGATAATTTTCGACGGAATTTTTCGCGACTTGGAGATGATACTCGCGTCCGACAGAGCTTTTCTGCTTGGACCCTGGTTAGAGTCTGCGAAGCAGTGCGCCAACAGTAGCGAAGTATTACGTTTTGCCATATTAAGGTGCTAACCGTCTTACGGTAATTTGTATCGCAGGAGGAAGAACGACTGGAATACAACGCTCGCAATCAAATCACTTTGTGGGGACCCAACGGCGAGATTATGAACTATGCGATCAAACAATGGTCGGGTAAGGTTACAAAAGCTTTCAGTTAGCGCACAAGGGTGAAATTGAGATAGAAAGTTTATCTAAGGGCTAAAATAATAATATAATCTTTATTTAGCATTATGCTACATAAAAAATACAAAATATAAATTCTAAATATAAAATATAAAATTACAGATAAGCGGCAACCAAAAGCTAAGCACTCAGAAATCAAAATTTTTGAACATGACTAGAATAACATTCTCTCAACATAAAATTACCACAATTTCTTGTACTGTAAGAATAAATATCTCTGAAATAGGTAACTTCTTCACAAACATAATCGGGAACACACTGCTGTTTAATTTTAAAAATTTAAATTTGGTATTTCTCATTCTTTTTTTGTAATTCCAAGAAATCTTAGTATAAAAAGGCATTTTCTGTTTTCAAATGATTTTTAACAAGATTTAAGATTTTAAGAAAAACAAGGAGAAATTCTCGTCCCATTTGCAGTAAATTTGGTCTTCTTTTTTTTTCATACAAGCCACAATTCTGAAAAATGTCAATAAAATTCCAAGCAATTTAAGTATAAAAAAGCATTTTATGTCCTCGAGAGATTTTTACGAATATTTTAAAGAAAAAAGACATACCTATCACTGATTGATTAAAAAATCAAAATTATTTCCGAAATTCCCATTTAATTTGACATTTAAAAGACATTTTCTGTTTTCAAAAGATTTTAAAAAAATAAAAACTATTTTCTATAGTATCATTTAATTTGGGGTAAATTTGGTTTCCCCTTTTTTATTTTTCGTACAAGCCTCTACATAAAATAATTCAGAAAAATTTTAGTGTAATTTCTAAAAAGGCTTTTTCTCTTTTTGAAAGCTTTTTAAGAAAAAAGATTTCTTTAAAAATAAAAAAAATATTTTCGAAATTCTCATTTAATTTGGGGTAAATTTGGTTCCCCTTTTTCATTTTTCGTGCAAGCCACCATATAAAATTATTCTTAAAATTTTTAGAATTTTTGAATTTTTGAATTTTGGTTTGGTTGCTGGTTTTACATATATATAGCGACACAATGAACGTAATTATATTTTTAAAGCCAAAGCGATATAGTTTGAGACACACCATACGCCCAATGGAAAAAATCCATTGAGACCAAGTCCGGCCCGTTGGTTGGCCGACCTCTCCGATATTAAGAATCTCTGATTTTTTCTACGACAATATTGAACTTGACGAGTCCTTTTAAGGACCGCAGAAATACGACGGGATTGTTCGGCCTGCAGCCGCATGAATTTTGCAACGCGCAAAACGACGGGACGTTTAAAATTGTAAATAAATCTGCAGGAATCGTCGCGGACTTTCTGCATCCCAGATGGGGCTTGTTCGTTGAAGCGATGAACGCGAGTTTAATCGACAACGAGCAGTTCGACGAGAAAAATGCGACGCTACGGATGTTTCAGGAAGTCGAAGAACCCTTCACGTTCAGCAGGAAGAAATACCCGGTCGATCCTGCAGGTGCGTAAAAAAGTGCCGAAAACGCCATCTACCGGGCAGTTTGTTTTCGTAATAAAGGTGATTCGGAAGATTCACGTTCTTCAGCCTTTATTCATTCTAATACGTATTTTTTTAATTTTGAAATAGTTGCACGTCAAATAGCGTACAGGCTAGGGTAACGGGTGAAGTGCCCTTCGGAAAATCGAGCAAAATGGTATTAAGCAAAGTTGTGTAGAATTAAAAGTAATGCCTTAATATCAAAACACGAGCTACTAAGAAAAAAATAGGTTTTTGTTCGAAAAATATTAATAATTTTCTTATTATTTTTGGCGAAACATAAATTTTATGTTTATCGTTCCGATATTCAATACAAATTTTACAAAAATTATTTTTCAGTAGCCAAAGCACTGCTAATTAAGGAATAATAATTATTACAAAAACGAAGACAAGCATATAATCGCAGATAACCATCAAAAACTTATAAAATAAATGATAACATTAATATTATAAACCAGACTTAACCAATTTATAACTACACAATTTAACAAAATAGGAAAAATAACAAATTTTAACAAACTGCGAATAAAAACAGAAAAAATGAATTGTACGATCAGTTAGTGTAATATTTCTGTAACGAATTTTGAAGTCCTTCAAGATTGATATAAATATATATTTTTTTTAAAGTAATTTTTATTTATTTTTTTAAACTAATGATTTTTTTTAATAATAATGATAAAAAAAATACCTAAACCTCATGGTTTTTCCAATATTGTAATTTTTCAAAAAACTCTTTTTCTCGTGTCCTGTATGTAGTGATTGTCGCTGTTGGGGCCAATAATTTTTTTTCTTCTTGAGGCTAATAATTCTGATCCATGTTTTGAGTTCATTTTGAGAAAATAACTTGGGCGTTGATGTTTCACCTTCCCATTTATCTCCACTTGTAGACTGTCCAGCAGGAAGAAATGCCCGGTCGATCCTGCAGGTGCGTAACAAAGTGCCGAAAACGCCATCTACCGGGCAGTTTGTTTTCGTAATATAGGGGGATTCGAAAGATTCGCGTTCTTCAGCCTGTATTCCTTCTAATATATATATATATATATATATATATATATATATATATATATATATATATATATATATATATATATATATATATATATATATATATATATATATATATATATATATATATATATATATATATATATATATATATATCGCTAAAAGTATGGATCACGTGATGTTTGTATGCGCGAAAAAGCTGTGCGGAAGCCTAATCATGACTGATAAAAAAAAAATCTTTATTTGTAGAGCTGTGTAGTACATGTGTGCCAAATTTCATTAAAACATAATTATAATACAAATGACGGTACGGAAAATAAGGTTATTTTAACGGTTACTTTTACTACCCCATCGCGTGTGAAACAAATTAATTTCCGTGGGGATTTTATGGCCACAAAACGCCCTTAAGTTAAGGGCGAGGCCAGTCAAGGCTGGGCGGTATAATTTAGTGATTATTGTCTATGTAAATCTAGTTGATTATGAAAAAAAAACCGGGTCACGTATGTAACGATCACCCGTTTGCAGGTAGTCCCGTGGAAATTGCCAGAAAAATCGCCGACAAATATTGGTACACCTCTGTCGACGTTATTCCGGAAGCGAAGAACTTGCCAATGAAGAAACGCAAAGGTTTACTTAGACGGCTGAAGAAATTGAAGACATTTTCCTGATAATAAAGCTCACGGTTAAGAACTGTTTTTTATTTCCTGCATATTATGCAGGATGCTTCCGAAAAACGTGCGCCTAAAGGGCAGGTTCCTCCGTAGTTACAGGGTATCATTGTTTTTTATTAACTCCGGATGTATCCGAAACTAGTATATATTTTACCACAAAAAAGGTTTGCAGGTTTTGACCAGTGCTATTTTAAAAAATCTGTTTGTTATTAAGCAGGGAAATTCACTATTGAACGAAGGCGGCCTTTTATATTTCGGGATTTTAGTAAACTACTCCCGCCATCTGGTGACTAACGTCTTTACAGGGAAGTTTGACATTTTGAGGTTAGGTTTACTCAGTTACGTTTTGGTGACAGGGTGTTGTTTGTGCGTGCGTGTGTTGTGGAAGCCGGGGTAAGCCGATTTTTTTGGTATCGGTCAGAATCATTTTTTGCTAGCTGAGCAAATTATTGGTTATTTTTCTTCTTTGTGCGTGGTGGTCATTGACCAGAAGCGAAAATCCTCGACGGAAGTCGGCAATGGGCGAATGATCCTTGCAGTCGAGCCCAACATTTTTTTGTGAAACGCATAATTGAATTGAATTGAAGTCAGCGCATGTAGAATAAACATCCAACGATTAGCGTGTTCTTTAGTATTACTTTGTGCCTTGTGCAGTGAACGTTACAGTTCGTAAAGTATGGCATTTTCGAGGTATTTCACTTCAAAGGAATTAGAGGCGGCTATGGAGGAGATCGTGATGGATGAGGACAATAACAATGAAAGTCGTAAGTATTATTTGGATTTACGTATTCTGATGTATTGTAGCATTCCATTCCTTGTAAATTTATGCTAAAAACAACGTAAAAAAATATTTACAGAACATATTGACGCGGTTTGTATTACACCAGACGTGGATACCTTGACTGACGAAGAAGATATGAACGATAACATAAATCTACAAGAATTTGGGGAACCAACTGATATAGTTGGAACTTTCGAGTTACGTACACCGAATGATACAGCTGTCCTTCAACAGTCCTGTAATTCTTCAACTACTGAACCTGAATGGGACTCATCAGACGATGAAACCCTGGAATTCAAAAGAAGACGACAGCTTGCTTCTACTGTCAAATGGAAGAAAGGTCAGATTGAGTACACGCACACACCTATATCCGATGAATTTAAATCATGTGAGGAACTAAAAAATAGGCTTTCTGGAAAAACTCCTCTTGAAATATTTTTTATGTTTTTAGATGACGAAGTGATTGATTTGATTTTAAATTTTACATTGCTTTGCGACTTTTAAAAACTGATAAAACAATTACTCAAAGAAATCTTGCACCTGCCATAGGTGAAGTGCGTTATGATAATCAAGGTCACCTCATGATTGTTCATGCTAATAAAGCCCGAAGGAGATGTAGAATCTGCCACAGCCACACAATTTACGTTTGTAATAAGTGTAATGTGCATTTACATACTTCATGCTTTTTAAAATATCACCAAAAATGACACCGGGTCTTACCAGTGGTGCGATCACTCACCATTATGCGTTTTTTTGTAATAAATCAGGTTCTATTTGGAAAACAATCTACTTTTAGTTGTTTTCTGTCGAATTTGAACTTTTTGTATATTTATATGTAAATTATATGTTACATCTTATGTGCCCCAAAACATTATTTAATGTTTTTTTCCCAGTGGTCCGTTTACGCACCAGTATTTTTTTGTATGTTTCGAGTTTTTTTCGGCACATGTAATGTATTCTTTAGTGCAACAAAATAAATAACTTCAGAGCAAAAAAGTATTTTTTTTTTATTGGGATAATTTGGGTTAGGTATGAATTTCGTGAAGGTCGCCCAAAATCGGTGGTTGTCCAAGAAAACATTGATGCAGTGCGGAAACTGATTTTGCATGATCGTCATGTTACTTACCATCAGACTGAGGTTAGTGTGGAGTTAGTAATTACTTCCTTGACTTGTCTTTGATATAACTCGGTAGGATCATGTTTGATACATTGGAAAATTTGCGGTTTAAGAAAATTGTTGGTTTTTGAAATATATTCTGCACGTGTAAATATTATGTTATTCTCATTAGCTTTGTTTTTGACAATTTTTACTAGTGACATTTGAGAAATTTCTTTGTGTTTGTTGTTACCTATTAATTGAGAGTTTATTATATTCGCTAATACATGTTTGTTTAAATTACAATCGTTAATGTCCTTAATTGCTAATTCACAATCGATCCCTAAACATTCTTATTCCCTATTAATATACGACTGCTGTAAGTTAAAGTTGAAACCTTTTTGCAGAAATTCAACTTAAAAAAAGAAGCTTTTTAATACAAAACTTTATAGCCTATATAATACAAAACTGCGTAGTGGCTTTGTGAGACCGCCTAGCGATTTTTCGAAAGCATACGCGCATCGATGTTACAAATTTGGAACTGTCGACGTCATATTTAGCAAAGAGTAAAAAGGGCTTTGGTTATTTATGAAATGTAATTTTGGAAGAATGTAATTCATAAAAGACGTTTTATTGCTATTATTTTCGATTTTGACGTAGAAGCCGGATGGTTTTCTCTTCATCGCCTGCAGAAATCAACGATAGAAGCAAATTCGTGTCGCAAAGTGTAGAAGAGGCCCGGTATGGGATCCCTGAGGAACGTTAAACGAAACAGACGCAATCGTCTATTCAATGGTACCAACCAATAGTGTGATTTACAGGTTCCTAGGTCGTTATTACGCGGCCACATTGTACACGCGTCTAGAAAAACGTTGAAATCGCCGTTGAAAAGCAGCATAACCTACCTGGTCGGGTTTTGTAACAACCGCGCCCGTTTCTTCTGCCGAACAAAGCGCGCCCTCTGTCCGTTGCACCAAGAGAGTTTCACCAGTGAGACCTGGTGTCACATGGAATCCCATCGTATGTTATTAAAAGTTCAAGATGAAGTGCGTGTTTTGTTTAATACACTGTATAGAATTCTAGCAAATGTGATGGGAGAAAGTACGGAGGACTATAAGTGCGGTTTTATTGGAGATCGATTCACAATTGATCAGGCAAGTATAGTTCGCCAAACGATATACGGTTTTTACGAGATATTCCGGGATTTAACTTTGGTAAATTTTTATTAGAATAATTTAAATCAGCCCTGAAGCTGAAAAGCAGTTTTTACAGGAGCAAATCCATTTCCCGATAATAGCCCATTGTTTTCGCATTGCGTTTTCAAGGCACTAAGAAAAAAATCGTTTCTCGAAAACCGTTTGCGCAACCGACAATTTTTTCGAAAATGCATATTCAAAAAAACTGTTATCGAAAATTGGCTATAACTAACAGACTGTGTTTCAGATGTCAGTTTCTTTTACAATATGATATAGCTTAAACTTTTGTATTTAAGATTGTAACCTATTATACAGGGTGTTCCCGATATTCCGTGCCATGTAAGAAATGGATTGGGTGCGATCAAATTTCAGCAAGTATTTTCGAAAGAATTTTTGATTTTTTTTTGCTCTTTTGGCTTCCAGATAAACATGGCGATTTTGGAACCGCGAAACGCGGGAGATCCTGGACTGAAGTTGAATAAAAAGCAATCAAAGACACATCGTACAAAAAAAATCAAACCATAGGCAAAGATTTTACAAAGGTGCACAGTTCTTAAGTGAGACACCCTGTATATCTGAAATTACGTTGGTAAACTAACCAAAGTATCGTACGGCTAATAAAGCCTCGAGCTGTGAAGAACGTCGGTCGAGCTAAGACGTACGACATCTATCCGACGCAGGCGAAGCATATCCGCGCATCTGGTGCAACCGGCTAGCCCCTCCGAAGTCAGACTTATATGATTCCACGTTTTACACACTAGTTGCTGGCGTAATTCCGCGGAGAGGAGGTGGGCATACGAGGCTACGCTCCGCTAGTTACGAACGCGATTTCCAAACAAAAAAACTGACGTCGGATTGAAATTGTGTTATAGTGGGTGTCGTGTGTGTGTGTGTGTGTGCGTTCCAAGAAAAAACTATGTAAGTACGATCGGTTTGATACGACACCGACGAAGGCTTCTTCTGGTTAAATTTCGAACAATACTAACGGTAAATCACCGGTGTTGTTATTATATCTGATGTTCTTCCTAGTTTGGTATCATTTATTCGTCGACGTAAATATTGTCCAATGTTTAAGTTTTACCAAAATAACAACATCTACGGAATTATTACTACTATTTACAAATCGTCTGGATATTTAAGAAATGAAGCTGACGCGTAATTATTTATTTTTTTGTTGTTTTTCGATACATGACGATGCGAAATATCGTCCATTTTAAATTCTTCCTTAAGTTCGTTGTTAGTTAGGTGACTGTTAAAAATCGATATATAACATTGAGGTGCTAGATACCGCACAAGAAAATCAAAGTGGAAAAAATGTTCAGCTCCTATAGACGGAACCGCAAATCTATCAAAGATATAATTATAAAAAGTGCCAAGGGGCAATTTGTTTAAAAAATTGGAGGTATCGGAAAACATAACCAAGGAAGTTGAAGAAAATTATAAAACAAGATTGCTTTCGAAAAATTTAAAGAGTCCAAATGCGGGTGCTGTGCAAAGACTTACCGAACGTGGAAGTACATGTAGTCCAAAGTACTATGGCGATAACCATCTAGCTAGATGGAAATAATATACGCCAAAAACGTGTGAAGAAAACAAAAACCAAAGGATTCAGTGTCAGTTGCTCCTGATATTTTGCAGAGAATAAACGCTACCACCTCAGATGATGTAGAGCAGTGGAAACATTTCCAATATATCTTCGAGAATGTTGTAGAACTACCTTTATCAAAAATTTACAAAAAATCATCACGCCATGTCATTTTATAGCCTATATGTCGCTCCCTCAAAAGCAAAATTAAAAACATGTTACTTTTTATTTAATTTTGTTGTTGTGCAATTTCTGTTGTCTCAATAAAAAAAGATTTCGGTTTGTATTTGGAGTTACGGCAAATTGTTTGAAATTCTTACGATGCCCTTTCATTATATTTTATTAACATTGCTTCGAAAAGCCACGTTCTAAGCCGTTATGTGATTTGTTTTTATAGTGTTTATCACTTCCCTTTCTTTGTGCTCGTTCTTCTGCATCTAATCTCTTGAGAGTAGTCAGATTGGTTATAAATTACCTCACTAAAACGTAAGGTAAAACGATAGGTATTTATTTAGGCTCCCATTCGTGATGACTCATCGAATGTTTACGTATTTACCTGTCATTTTTTGTGCGCCGCGAGTGGCGTTTGAAATAACCGGCCTTCGCGTTGTCCCCTAGCGTCTAAATCGCGGTTATTAAGTCAAAATGAAAGAAAAAAAGAACGGAAACGACCGTAGATACTCTTTTAAAGCCGCGATGACATTTCACAATAAGCCAAGGCCGTTTGTTCACCCTATTAGAGGCGCACCCCTCGTGGGAAAGTAACAGCTGCTTTCGGGGTGGGTTAGTCACCCGTGTGTGGCGGAAAGTGTGTCAAGAAAAAGACGAGCATGCCGGCGAGTAGGGACAATAAGGGTAATTCGGAATAGGTTGGTGATTTTCATTTGGATTTTTTCAAATATCTCCTCTGCGTCTTCTGGTTCAAGAATTTTTTCTGTCTTTTAAACGGTTTTTGAAAAATGGTATTTTTTGCAGACCCTTGCACGCGTGATTTTTAATTTTTTTTAAATACTTCCCGATCCCCCAGCCCCCCCCCCATTTTTAATAGGCTCCGTCACGGGGCAAAGCTGTACATATGTACTAAATGTGAAGCCGATTGCTTCAAATTTCGGACACTTATCGTGTTTCATAGCAATGTCCAAAAAACAGTCGAAAAAAAGATGGATACCGGCGTCGGATCAGGGCCATTTCTTATAAGCTTATGTTTTTCGTGGAGGGATATCATCCGTTCGCTTGTTGAACTCCGACTGGAATCCTGCAGACGTTTCGCCAAAATCTCACTTGGCATCTTCAATGCTCGCGCTCCGAAAACAGTTCGAACACTGGGAGGTTATCGGCGGTGCGTGCGGTATTTATACCCTGCGCCGGAGATGGTAACGGTGCTGCTTGTGCGTGGGGGGAGGTGGCTCCGCCCCCTGAATTGTCGCGTTGTTAATTTCGCCCGATCGTAGTTGCGATGTCCCCGTTGGCTGCTGCGCATCGCTCTGCTGTTTGATTATCGTTCTCCACGTGTTGGATAAATGCAGAGCGTCGTCTCTCGTATTGAGCTGTCCGGACTTTTCTATTTCGATGGCCTCTCGTATAGTCCTAGTCCTAAAATCAGGAATATTAGCTATTTGTTTGCAAGTGCCGAAATCAATTTTATGGCCTGTCTGATGTTGGTGCTGAAACAAAGCAGATGTTGTTTTTTTGTTTCTTATGGCTAAACGATGTTCCTCGAGCCTGGCAGAAATCCTTCCGTTAGTATGTCCCACATACGTCAGGCTGCACGATCCGCATGCTACACTGTATACTCCTTGGTTTTCCAGAGTAATTTTTTGTTTTGGGTTTCTTAGTATTGCTCCGATGGTATGGTCAGGTTTGTATGCCGTTGATATATCGTGTTTCCGTAATATTCGGCCGATTTTGTCAGTAACCCCCTTGATGTATGGCAGGACAGCGATCGATCTTCGTTGGGTCTCGTCCTGCACTCTCTGCTGCGGCTGTTGTTGTTTACTGATTGCCTTGCTGATGGTGCGCCTTTGGTATCCGTTTTGTCGAAGATAGGTACTAATTTTCTTCAGTTCTTTATCTCTGTTCCTCTCGTTTGTGAGCCTGAAGGACCGAGCAATTAATGTATTTGCCACTGCCTGTATCTGTGATGGGTGGTGATGAGATTTAGCGTTCAGATATCTATTAGTGTGTGTTGGTTTTCTATAGACAGTGTGTTCCAAGTGTCCATCTTCGGTCCTTGTGATGTGCACATCTAAAAAGGGCAGACTGTTATCCTCTTCAAGTTCTATTGTAAATTGAATCCTTGGGTGAATGGAATTCAGATGATCTAGGAATTTCAAAAGCTCCTCCTTGCCAAAAGGCCATACAACAAATACGTCGAACATTTACGATTCGGAAATTGAATTGAGGTGGCTTTTATGAAAATCCATTTAACAATATATATATATATATATATATATATATATATATATATATATATATATATATATATATATATATATATATATATATATATATATATATATATATATATATATATATATATATATATATATATATATATATATATATATATATATATATATATATATATATATATATATTTTTTTTTTTTTGTTAAATGGATTTTCATAAAAGCCACCTCAGTTTAACACTCGGAGCGCTTTTTTTCGATGTATAGAACTTTAAGTTGCAATAAAACAACGATGTATTATTCGATTGACATGAATTTTATTTATCCGAAAGATAATCTTGTGGCATTACATTTTAAAAATAATTTCTGCCATATGACCGCCACGGCTGGCGCAGATGTAGTCCAATCTGGACGTCCAATTTTCGGTGACTTTTTCCAACATTTGTGGCCGTATATCGGCAATAACACGGCGAATGTTGTCTTCCAAATGGTCAAGCGTTTGTGGCTTATCCGCATAGACCAATGACTTTACATAGTCCCACAGAAAGTAGTCTAGCGGAGTTAAATCACAAGATCTTGGAGGCCAATGCACAGGTCCAAAACGTGAAATTAGGCGGTCACCAAACGTGTCTTTCAATAAATCGATTGTGGCACGCGTTGTACGACATGTTGCGCCGTCTTGTTGAAACCACAACTCCTGGACATCATGGTTATTCAATTCAGGAACGAAAGAGTTAGTAATCATAGCTCTATACCGATCACCATTGACTGTAACGTTCTGGCCATCATCGTTTTTGAAGAAGTGCGGACCAATGATTCCACCAGCCCATTAAGCGCACCAAACAGGTAGTTTTTCTGGATGTAACGGTGATACACTTGTATGCGGCAGTTTTGTTTGTTGACGTAGCCATTCAACCAGAAGTGCGCTTCATCGCTAAACAAAATTCGACGAATCTACTACTTGATGAATTCGTGATGAATTGCCAAACCAAACTGAGAATAAATCACTTGACAGCTGTTAAATCGGTCACCAACTGGAACAGTAATGCCAACTTAAAGTTCTATACATCGAAAAAGAACACCCATTAGTAGCAGGTAGTTTGTATATATTACATTTGATAAATTGTCGAAACAATGGTCATGTGAATATATATAATTTCCTGAAAATCTGAACTTTTAGTTCTTATTTATTTTGCAAAAAGCCCTTATACTATCCTTCAGCTCTTCTACAGTGTTAACCAGACTTTTAAGATGACCCCATAAGAAAAAGTCCAAACTATTTAAAACTGGGGACCTAGGGGGCCACGGTTAAGGTACGCATATGTACATATACGTTAATATTACACTTTCTTCAAATGCAGTGCGAAATTTCGCGCGTTTGAAACACTGCGAGACCTTTTTAAAAATAAAACACCTGCGTTACGTTATATCAGCGCCGAACAATTACTGCAAAACGTTAGTTTTGTATACGGCTGCGAGCTAGTCCAGTCCAGATAATAAATTTCAAGAATGTATTATTTTCCTAGCGGCATTCGAAAATAAACGTAGCTTCGTGAAATACGGGGGACCTTCGATCGGTACGACTGATCTATAGCACGGCGCAAAATTTTCAAAAACAGTTTACTTTCTTTACGGCGTTGCGTAAGATTATCGGCTTGTCCATTGTTCTGCACTGTACCACTACGACACCGAAGAAAAGTGTGTTTTATTTCACAACAAAAAACTATAAGGTTGTTCGGAAAGTCATTTCGTTTTTTCCCGTCGGAGGACTTAATTACATTTTTTCGAAACCAACTTCACGCTTAAGCCGCATAACCATTATATGTCTTGAGAGCTGATATTGCAAGGCTTGTGTGTGAAAAAGTTCTATTAATTCTACGCAGTAGTTTTTGGTTGGTGCCCTTTTAAATATGGAGAGCAATAAGC